ATATATAAGGTTATTTCATTTATATCTATAAGCAGCGATAAACCATTGCTTGACAAAAGACGATTCTGAGCATAATTCGGTAACACATATTTTGAAGCGTCGTATATTTTAATTTAAATTTTTTGCGATTTTCGTTTAAATTTGATTTCGTCCGATGATTTTGAAAATTGTACCACCATTAGGTAAGTCCAATATAAGTATTATTACCGAGTCCCAAGTCTTTACGTATATTTATAACCGAATTACAGCAAAAAACTCCCAAAAATTAAAATTCCCTGCTCAAAAGTGGCTCAAAAGTTTTGACGAAAATACCATAAGAAAAAAAATCGAAAATTTGGCAAATAAGGTGTCTTGTGATTTTTCGATTTAATCATTTTTAGAAAACGCTATCCGTGTTTTTATAAAATAATACAATCGTGAAATTGTACGTTTTCCTACGTTTTTTCCCACTTAAGTTCTTTTATTTAAAAAAATTGGCGTCGAAAATCAAAAAATTACCCCCCCTAAAGTACCATCTAGACAACTTGAACTTTCATAAAAGGTGCCACACTTATACATTGGATCAAGTTTACTAGGAAAATATGTGTCCACAGTCTAGAACAAAGAACAAAGAAATAAACAACATTGTAAAACCAATAGCTCCCTCGCTACGCTCGGAATCGAAAATATATTATAACGAAAAAAAAATCGGCTGGAGTAAAATTTGACTCGAGTGACGGAGCTCTGCTCACGGATGCTTTTTTTTTTACTTAAATTCGCTATTTTATATTCAACAAGTATTCAACGAACAGCAGATAATAAGTAAGTAAGTAAATAAACCCCGTATTAGTATAACCTGCAACCTTCTGGCTTCAATATTATAATATTGTAATCATATTCATAAAATGTCTATGTATATATGTATATATGTATATATGTCTATGTACACACCAACCATTTTTACTCTTATTTAATACTTTATGATAATATTTTTATTTCGTGTTTGAAATTTTTAAAGCGTTTTCTCGGTTACATAGTATAATATTATAATATTTTTCTTGAACGTTACGATGTATTATTCATAGAATAAGAATAACTAATATTATAATTTATGTATAAAGTATATCATATTTATTTGCTTTTTTTTGTTAACATTTTTATGTTTATGTAAAAACGATCTTGTGTTACAAATAAACCAGTATCGTTATAGGAAACATAATTATACTACTGAAAGTATACAGCGTGATTTCTTTTTATCGCGATTTTACAAAGGATTTCAAGTAACTTGGATTGTTGTTCGATTGTTTTTTGTTTTTAATCATTATAGAGTTGTGTAGTCTTTATTTATCACTGTTTTCAAATGTTTACCCCTACTGTCTACCCCTATTATATATATGCATAACCTTAAATTTGAATTATTTTTTAGACAAATGTTTGCTTTTGAAAATATATAGTAGACAATTCCCTTTTCGGATTCGTTTTAAAAATTAGAGGTCATTGCTGTATGGAAATTAAATATTGATATGTATTTATAATGACGCACGGGATAAGGACACGATTTTGAAAATATTGTAGATAACATGACAATAATAATTACTATATCATCGGATAGTTCTAATAAAAGGACTAAGGCAGATATTATACGTCAATTCAATGAGTACAGTCTAATTCATTTTACTCAAAATCGCCATAGATAATCCCTGGATCATGATAAAAATGTCAAAATAAAGACCACCCTGTATGAAACAAGTGTTATATAATCAAACTTTATATTTCGTTACACATATTTCGGTTGACGGACAGATGACGTTTGCGGAATAAAATATTATCACATTGCACGTATCGCAGTCGAAAGACGCGCTCAAAAGTTAAATAATAATACTATAGTTTTCTGAAAACAATAATAATAATAATATTATAACAGCTCGCGATTGTGACGCCGCAACCGTACCGGACAATAATACTATATTGTTCAGTTATTAATGACTTTTCTCGTCGACGTGAAACTTGATAACAGTTTTACGAGAACATCTCTAACGACGGACGTTAATATTACCAGAGTTTTTTCCCGAATTATTATTTAAAAAAAACAAACCAAAATCGATAAATGTCTACCCTCAGATAAATTGCAACATTTAAATATAATTATTTTCACGGTAAAACTTTACTTTTTAAACATAAGGAATTTGATAAAATCATATAAGCGGTTATTTTTCACATGGTTTAGAAAATATAGACGTTGTTCAGTAGCTACAAAGTCTTGTTACAAGCTAGCCCGAAGGTCTACTCGTTATATCTCGGGCACGTCTCACAACAATGCGCCGACTATATCCAAAATGTCACAAAAAAGTACTAATGAAGTTTCATGATTGGAGTGAGAATCTTCTGGCCGAAAACGAATTTCTTAAAGATGCGGAAATAAAACACATTCCATAGAAAATAGAACAAATACCGTCATTTTGAGGTAAAAAAAAAATCATACAAAGTTTTAACTAGACAAATAGATTCTTTTCGTAGATCCCGAAATTTTGGTTTGACTCTTGAGCTTTTAAAATGTACTGTTATAATTTTTCATATGCATTTTCAGTAGATATGAATAACATATATCTACATATGTGTGTGTCTCAATAGAAAAGTAAAAACTTATTCGTGTTCGTCATACTATACAGTTGTATGATTAATCGTTTGTCGTCGAATACTGTTCAACAAGTTGTTTTCATTAGCTGTAATTTCTTATAACCGATCCAGTAACGAGTAATGACCTATAACCATTAAACTTGAAATACTTTTTATACACATCATATTATTTTGCACGTCAAACGCGCATATTGGAGTTTTTTGATTGTGACAAAATGGAGAATTGTTGAACCAGATTTGAAATTGTTCAGGAGCAATAAAAACTAGTTATTATTTTTTTTTAGATTCTTCAGATTTTGTTCTAAAATATAGAATATTTTCCCTTTAAACTATTACCTATGCCATTATAAAGTGCATTTTCAAAAAAAAAACCCCCGTTTCCAGTTCTTGAATCGTGTACAATAGTATATTATAAAGTCGATAACATCGAATTAAGACGCATCGCAGAATAGAACGTGGACCAGGTAGTTTTTGGTATTACGTTTGGACAGATTTAATATTCTTATAGAATATAATACCTCAAAAATATAATAATATAAATGAAAAAAATCAATTAAATTGTAAAATGGTATGAACATATAATTGGACAAACCTTTCAAAACTACTCGCATATTTAGACGACCAATAATTATTTACTAACGAATAAATTGCACATTTAATGTGAATTAAATAATTATTTTTAATCCTATATTGTGTTTTAAATTTTAGATTCCGAGCGTAACGAGGGAGCTATTGGTTTTACGAAAATGTTTATTTCTTTTCTTTTTCTAGTAAACTTGCTCCGATTTTTACGTGTAGCACTTTTTTTGAAAGCCCAAATTGTCTAAATTGTACTTTGAAATGGTTATTTTTTTATTTTCGACGCCAATTTTTGAATAAGTGCACTTAAATGGGAAAAACATAGGATAACGTACAATTTCATGATTTCATTATTTTATAAAAACATAGACGACGTTTTCTACCGGAAAAATAATTTAATCAAAAAATTACAAAATACCTTTTTTGTCGCCTTTTTAATTTACTTTTTTTACGGTATTTTCATCAAAACTTTTGAGCCACTTTTGAGATTTTAAGGAATTTTAATTTTTAGGAGTTTTTGCTTTAATTTGATTATAAATATACGTAGAAACTTAAAACTTGGTAATAATAGTTATATTGGACTTACCTAAACGTAGTGAAATTTCCAAAATCATCTTTTTTTAATTTTTTACAGTGGTTATTTAATTCTTTTTTAAAACTGTAGACCACTTTTATCCTAGAAAACTTGCTCCAATATATAAGTGTAGCACCTTTTCTGAAAGCGAATTTTATCTAATTGGTAAATATATAGATCATTTTATGATTTTCGAAACGGTATTTAAAAAAACAAGGATTAACCAGAGAAAAAAATACGATTTGTTCACGATTTCGCTATTTTAAATAAGTACCTACCAGGTTTTCTAGCACAAATATGGCTCCAAACAAAAAACCCTATTTTGTTAAATTATTAGTTTTATTTTAATGATACAATTGGTTTTTTTTGATTTTCGAATTCAATGAGAAAACTTTTGAGAAAATCGAATAATGATCTTCTTAAAGTACCTCGTTACATCGATTTCCTTTCGGAAAAGATGCTACACTTAAAAATCTAAGCATGCATTCTATTAGAAAATTTGCGCATAGATAAAAAAAACATCTTTGTAAAACCATAAGCTTCATCGCTCTACTCAGAATCTAAAATGTTGATACTACTGATTGGTGTATCAGTGTTTTAGGCAGAAAGTTGAAGGGAGGATTCATAGAACTATTTAATTTGTATCTGTGCATTATCATAAATTCATTGTTAACGAAGAATTAATGGGAAATTTATTATTGGTCGCTGTTGCCAATGTGTCCCATAAATCAACAAAAATTAAACAAAATAATGTTTATTTTATACCACTTATTAAGGAAAATAAAAAAAAATTGGCCTAGTTAATGCATCGATCGAATCGAAGACGCTACAAAAAAAGTTCCTAGAAAGTTTTCAATTATAGCAATAATCCTGATGGAAAACATAATATTTACAGACACACACATAATACACATTTGTGTAAAAAACCAATCGGTTCGCTCAGAATCTAAAACTACCGTTGCCTGAAATACCATGGCGTCCTCTTGAAATTTGCGGCATCCGCATATAAAGCCCCCTTCCCCCGCATTATATATGTCTTTTTCACACCCCGGAGCCGCGCGGCGGCATTTTTTTAAACGCCGCACCGGGACCCGGCGTTGGCGGCCCCAAATGTCAGATCGCGCGCTCACGTTTCTGCGGCGCGCTAATGCGCACGGTCGGCGTGAATTACTCGAGCGGCGACCACGACGACGACGACGACCCATCGCCACCTCCATATTCCTACCGGTCGGCGTACCCGACGTACCGCACCACCGTCGCTGAGAATCGTACGCGCCGTGTGCCCCGCACGTGATCTTCGACCAGTATAATAGTGGTAAACACAAACGACCGATAAAAAAAAAAAAAGAACAAAACGAAATCAAAAACACGAAAGTATTATTATTATTATGTTCTAATTTATAGTGTTCGGCATTCCATACTTTTAAATAATAATAATTCCATCGTGTAATAAAAGCGGAAAAAACGTGCAAAGAAAAATAATTATCAAAATCGCCACGATGACCAAAATTATTCCGTTCGTTTCGTTCCTGATTGGATTTTCCGGATTCGCGTCCGCTGGTGAGTACCTATATTAAATTCTCATATTTATTCACTTATATTATTATAGGTATATCTTTATATATATATAATTTTACTGTACATGTGTATGTCACTGAACTCCTCCTAAACGGCTGGACTGATTTTGACGAAATTTTTTATGTGTGTTTGAATGGGTCGCTGGATGGTTTATATTTACAATTGAACTCAATAGGTTGCAAGGGTAACTGACACAGAGTAATTGGTATTTTTATTACAGCGATTTTTTTTTTTTGTTGATTTATGTGTTACCTTGGTGATACGGATGAAATAAAAAATTAAAAAAATGAATAATCAGTAAGATATTCCGTGTAAGTTGTCCCAAAATTGAAATGTTCATTCTGATAGAAAATGAATAAATAAAGATATATCAGAGGGCGCCAAGAGAGTGATACAATCGAGTTATTATTTTTTTAAATATAAATTTTAATACATCGGCAAATACGCACATTTATATTACATAGGTATGTATAAATTAATTGATATTTTTTCGCCGACGCCAAACTTGAAAACGGACGGACCGATATGTCTGATTTTTTTCACATGAAGGTATAAAACAAACACCGTGCCGTCTGCGAACGACAATTAGTTATAATACGGTACACGCGCTTTCCCGCTGTCGAGCGGCTCCACTCCCTGATAAGTTAGATTAGACTTAACTTCCTTTGAAATCCATCAACCCTCCCTATTTAAAAAAAAATCGAGGTTTCGTTATTTTTCGTATGAAAATCATGGAAAAAATGAAAAAAATAGAACACCTATTCCACCGAAGATGGATTACCCACTTTCCACTTTTTTTATTCATTACTCACACGGTAAAAAACTAAAAAGGAATAGGGGTAAAAAAAACAATAGAAAATTGGCAATGCTAGGTGGGACAGCTAGAGAATTATATATGTAAGATATATACACCAAATAATTTAGCTAAAAAAAATAATAAAAAATGCAACGGGCAACACTGAGCAGGACAGCTTCACAATCATTCTAAAGTTTTTATCGATAATATATGGAAATACACTTCTACTTTTCATGAAGAAATGTTATAACAGAAAACTATTAGACTACTCACTTTTTACCTATTTGTTTTTATTTGTTATTATTTATTAACTGACACGGTCAAAACCAATAACGAATATAGGTAAAAAATGGCGCGGGAAACGCTGGGCAGGACATGTAATTTATATAAATATTATATTTCGACATCCGGTGATACTTAATTGTAATTATAAAAACTCCAAAACCCAACAGTTTTATAATATTTCATTGTTGGATCTTGTTCCGAAATTTAGCGTTATCAATTTCCATTAGGATCTTCTGCAATATTTATTTTACCGAATTTTCCGATCGATATAAATCTTATCAATGCTTGTTTGTTGTTGTTCGCCACGGTTTAGATGTATGATAACGATAAAGCACTTACTTTATTTGGCGATACATAACATACGAATCGTACAAATTATTGTGTTTCATATTATACATTGCAATCTAAATATCCTGACATTCGACAACTTCCCAATAGATCCAGCGTTTTATTGGATTATTTTGGGAGGCGAGGTTGAATTTGTAACCTTTTTTTGTGTAATATATTACATTTGTTTTTCTGGGGTAGCGGTAATGCGTCGTTTCAAAAACGGACGATGCCATTATATTATATTATTGTGTTATGTGGTCCAAAAGTAAAAAAAAAAAAAAAACCAATTTTATTCGTCGTACAAAAATTGAATTACCTATACCAACCACGTTACTTTGACAAAACAAAATAAAAAAGTATTACGCAAAAGGGTTAATAAAAACGCATAATGTTGACATTTAAAAAAAAAAAAAAAAACGATTACACGACGCGATGACATTTTCGTCGAGTTTCGCGCTTATAGGTACCTACAAATGATATAATACATAATACATATATATATATATTATGTATAATATTATACATAATATTATGTATAAATATTATATATATATATATATATATTATGTATTAAAGTATGCATGTTGTAAAAAATAGCATAACATGAAGAGTCATTTCGAATTTTGTTTTTCTTAGAAGTAATAATATATGTGCAATAAAATCAAGGGAATTTTATTAAAATGTTTTATTACCACATCATAATATAATATTTATAAAATCTCTATACATTTTATAAAATTGACCAATACCAAAATATTGTTATTTTTAGATTTTGAGTGTTTTTATATTTTTTTTTTTTTTTTTTGGTAACAATTAATAACATTTTTACCTAAAATCTCGCTCAAATCATCCAATGTATGTCCAGGGTATATTCAGTGTATTTCTGCGATGGCAAAGTACATTCTTAGATTTTCCTTGTAGTTATTTTGAGAAAACCTGTTAAAAAACCTAGGTACAACGGGAAAATATACGGAAACAATACAATTTCATTATTTTAGCTTTTGCTTTTTAGGTTTTAATTGCCCTAAAAATAATCGTAAAAACCTTAAGAATCTCTTCTTAGCCTTTTTTAGATCCATTTTTTGAGCTACTTAATGATATTATTGTTTTTAAATTTTACAACTTTCTAGTTCTCTTTTAATGATTTGAAGGATTAAAATTAATATTAAAATTAAAATTCTTGGTAGTGATTTTACACGCAGTAAGATGTATTATTATAATAAGTAAAATTATTTAAATGGAATGAAATAAACATTTTTAATTACAACAGATATAGAGACTTCGATGATGACGATCCAATCGGTTTATTCGTCCATAATGAGTCTTTGTCGAGTAAAACTTTTTTATGTACCATATACCTACCCAGTACCCGTCCTATCCGAAGAAAAGTCAAAATAATAAAAAACCGTCAATTCAAAACTATACAACAATAATGACAACTCTATCTTTCCCTTTATTAAAATAAACAAATCGAATCTTAATTAAGTATTAATACAAATACTCTATAATTGGTGTATTCTATTTTTTTTTTTTTTTTTTAATTCTCATCGTAGCGCGGAATGTATTGATATTTGTTGTGCCTGTGTGCACATTTTCTAACAGAAATTTTATTCCAATTTAAAACCGACAATTGAGCTTTTTTAGAGCATTTTGGATATCCAATCTAACCTAACCAACTATATAGTTGGTGCATTAAGGAAATCATATTTTGATTTTCCAAACAGTTTTAATAGTTAATGGGAAAAACCGAACAAATTTACGGCAATAAAAATTGCATTATTTTATAATTTTTTTTTTCAATTTTATATTAATTTATATTTGTATATAAATTAAATAACTTTATGTATCCTATACCTTCCCAACTACAGAATATGATTTTATTCGTACGAATAGACGTTATGCAATTTTTATAGATTCTCGGTCAACAAATAAAAACTAATAACATTTATAACCAGCAACCAAATTAACAAAATAAACAAAATCCGTAACTATACTCAAGGAATCGTCCCCGGTATCAGCTCTTTTTTTCTTTTTAAAAGGTATAATGTTAATCAAACAATATTAATATACGTTAATCTCAAAATCAAACAAAATAATTATATCATATCTGCTTACCAAACCATATGATTTACTGAGATATTTTTTTTTAATGTAAATTATTGAAAGGAAAGAATGGTAAATAAATGCGAATTTTACTGGAGAGAAAACAAATCAAATTACTTTTAAATTAATATATAAAATGTAGATTATACATACATATTTACTATATCGTCCATGAAACGAATACTCTCGTGTTCCCTTTGATTTATGTGTGTGTTTTTTTTTCCACTCGGTTTTCTTGTTTATTTATAAAATGAAAACAATTGAATATAATAATATACCGAATAGAAAAAAACAAATAGGTAGATATAATATTATACTACTCATGATAGCTGATTGGATTATATTGTGAATGAATAAATAAACTTAATTAAATAATTCTTAGTTAGGTATAATTCATATAATCCTATAATATGGTATTGATATACGTTTGATTTCTATAAATATACACCGGGTGATTCCTATTATTTATACGTAGATTTTGAAAGAATTTGATTTTAACGATTCAGTTATTAGAACCCTTTTTAGCTCGTATTTAATGAAAACATAATAACTTATTGTAATTTCGAATCAGTTTAACTCGTGTTTAATCGTATTTAACTAGAGTTGACTCTTTTAAAGATCTTGATGATATTATTTCTAGTTCTCTATCTTTATCAACGCATATTCAATATATGTTAATGAAAATTGCATGCCTGCTCGGTTTTATAATTAGAAACACTCACGATTTTAATAACATTTTATTTTTAAAAACAATATATTTTTCGCTAGTTCGCTCAACAACTCTATTTTATGGAAATATATTCCTAAGGCTTATTAATTCAAAAGTTCCTCATGGTTATACAGTCATTGACCAAAACTACAAATCTCTTAGGTATTTGTTAAATATCAGTATCACGAGTTCAAGACGTACATACTTAGACGTGTTTTTATTTATAAAATATTACATGGTTCATCAGAAACAGTAAAGTTTTCTCCTTAGTTCAATTAATATAACAGTTCCATCTTTCAATTCAATTCCGGCCAATATTTGTATACCAAAACACAGAACACTATACTGCTTTTTTCACCTATCAATAGAGCTCTGACCCCTTGTAATAATCTAAAATATAAGACATAGACATTTTTCATTTCTCTCAAACGAAATTACAAATCGGCACTTTACTGTCCTAATTATTCGTAACATGTTATTCTTTTCAGTTTATTACCTATTATTGATTATAATTTTGTAATGTTATATCACTGAATTTTAATCACAATCAGATTATGAGTAATTATTGTGATTATTATAATATGTTATCTTATTAATTAACTGTACTTATACCCTCGGAAGTGTATTCAATAAATAAAAATAAGTTTAATTTTACAATCTCTATAAAAAAAACTAATATAAGTATTCTGTGAAAATGTCACGTATTATTTTCACGATTATTTTTAACCGAATCACAGAAAAACAGAATTATAGAACTTTCCCCTTGTTAGTAAATGGTTCCCAGTTATTTAGAAAAATCAAAAAATAACTCATCATTCCAAAAACTAGGGATAATTTTCTCTCGGTAAAATCTACACTTTTTTCAGAGTAAGATTTCTGGTAGAAAAGTTTTTTATAGTCAGAAAAAAAATATAATAATACAATTTATTAAATATAGTTAGTAAATAAATATATGAATGTAAATAAAATGTATATAAAAAAATTTAAAAAATTAAAAATGCATCGCCTGGAGTATTATGATAAGTGTATTATACGACTGGTTTCGAATTAAAAATTCATCATCAAGTATAGCACAGTTAAAATGTAAAACGTGACTGAATATTAAAAACTAAATGAAAGAATAAATAAAAAAAAAAAATTATACAAATTGGTCGTTTTACATAAAAATAATTTATTTTAATAGAAGAGATTATTTAAAATGGATTATTATTAAACATAGATGTATTAAGAAATATAAATCATTTGGTTATTATTTATTATCTAAAATTTATTGATATAATTTATTATTTTTAAAATCGGTTTGTACATTTAAAATATTATTAAAATTATTTTTCTTTATTTCATTGTAAATACCTGATGATAAATTTTTAATTCGTACAATACTCCAGGCGATGCATTTATTTTTTATTTTTATATATACCCTTTAATTTATACATTTATTTACGAGTATTAAATATTTTGATAATTTAGTTTTTACTTTATTAATTTATTATAATTTATTAATTTAATATCAATTATTATGTATAATATGTATGCTAGACATACGTTTTATCACTATCTAGACTCATAAAATTATATTATTTATTATTATAGTTTAACCGAAAAATGTTGAAAATAGCACTTTAAAAATATCAATGAATGATTTCCAATACATTTTTTAAATAATTTATTAAAAGTATTAAAAGAAGTGTATAATTTTAAATTTATAATGAATGATTTAAAAAATATTACCCTGTAAATTACATTTTATGTTAAAAATCGTTATGATGGTTAAAAAAATTTAAATCCACGTACCTATACGCAGTGAGTAAGGTAAAAAAAAATTGTATTTAATTTAGATAATATATAATGTGGACTATATCATTTTTCTTGTTTTTTTTTTTCATTGTGTTGTCTGGACAAAAAAAACTCCGTGGTCCACCCCGCATAATACACGCGGTTATACATTGCGCATGTGATTATAACATAATGAATTATTCATTGTTTTGAATCATTTTTTCACTGGAAATTTCAACAATAGTGTGCACTAAATATAATAAAAATAATATTGTGTATAATACCTATATGCACAAAACACAATATATACGAGGTGCACTCTAAAAGTAAAAAAAAAAATAATAAAATAGTAACCGGGTACAATGGTCGTGTGCACAAGGTTTGCAGGGACACTAGTCTCGCTTCGCTCACATCGGTTATTTCGGAGGAATGATATAAAACATTTAAGAGGTTTTTTCTTTTCTTCAAAAATTATTTTTTTAAAAAAAAAAGTAATGTTATAAATACAAACGACAAGGGTTATTGGAGTAAAATACAGTTATACAAGTATTACAATATACGAACATTGATCGATTATATAATTAATCTAATCTTTCTATAAAGACATAAACGTTTTTTCTGTAAAGCATTTTTAAACGAAAAAACTGGTCGTGCGCTGACCTGACTTGTAGTATTTGTGAAAACTTGTAAATTGTAAATGTCCACAATAGTACGTGTAAAAAGCCACGAGTATGACTCTTAATATTCAAGAATTAAAAAAAGCTGATACTGCTGATGTATGTACGCTGTTGTAGGTGGAAAGTTGAAATGTAGGACACATAAAGTTATTTAATTTATTTATATGTACGCAACGATAAATCATTTCACATAAAATTAAATAATAACTAAAACAAACTCAAAAATTTCAAATGTCTATAAATACTCAATAGTTTAAACATTTAACCCTGTCTAAAAAAGATCAATATAAGTCTTCTGTGAAAATTTCAGATCTCTATAGTTATTCTGACCCGAATCACAACAAAAGAACTAAATCGAAAATAATTAAAATCGTTATTTCCGTGAATTTTCCGGATTTTTTCAAATTATTAAGACTTATACAAGTAAATCTAAAAAAAAAAAAAGATTTACGCATCAATTAGACAATATATTTTCATAAAAGATATTACATTTTAAATTCAGAATAAGATTACTGGTAAAAATACAAAATAGAATAATTCGAAAAAAATAGAAGTTTTATTGCCGAAAATGTATCTAATTATTATGAATACTGCTCGGAAATCAAAAAATTATCTCTTCGTTGCACTAATAACCAAGTTATCTTAATTGCTACAAAATGCTTTTTCGTAATTTTTTTGATTGTAGAAAGATTTATTAAATCACATAGTAAAACCAAATAGTCAGTTGCGCTCAGAATCTTAAATGTAAAATTCTCACCATTTAGTAATACCACCATCGTCTTGCGGTTCTTATTTTCTGCATTTTCTAAATTTTACGTTAGCGTATGTAAGTGAAAACATGAGACTTTCGGAGGTCGTGCGAATTTATAACCTAAGTGATTTACGCGTAGTAATATGCTGAAAAAACTAGACTTTTCCATGCGCATATTATTATTATTCGCGTTTTGCAGCGAATCGGACATTATATATAAATATATTTTTATAATTGACCCTAGGGGGACGCATGCACTGGTCGTGAATAATGGGCAACAGAATCTCCCCTACCCTTCCTTACCAAACCGTTTGCTGCGATATATTAACAATGAAGCGGAAAAACATCCGTTTAATAAAATTTATTTATATATAATTAATTTAGAAAAAATAAAATAAAATACACGCAAAAGGATTAAACACTCACCGCGGTAATATGCATAGATCCAGAACCCATTAATCTTGAAACTTTAAAACGTTTAAATGTCTGTAGAAAAAACCAAACAATAATAATCATAATCGAGATATATTTGTTAATCCACAATTTTTTTAAAAATAAAAATAATATTACAATGTTAATATTAAATATTGAATTCGTTTTGCAAGTCATATGAATATAATCATTATTATATAGAAAGTACTTTTAGCGATTATACAATTAAATAATATTCGTATCACAAACAGTTTACCTCTTGTTATTACATACTACAACAAACCATGAACACCTTTATGTTCTAAAGATTTCACTCTAGTGCCAAAAAGTCAAAAAATAATAACACCCTAAAAATGTCAAAAGTAGCATAAAATCATCCTAGGTTTCAAATATTATAGAAATATACCATTATGTACGAGTATAGTTTCACAAGTTACAATGAAATAATTTGTATTTTATACATACATATGTTGTTTGGGCAGGAAGGGCCAATGTCATTAAAATAATAATAATAATAATAATAAAACACAAACTGAAAATTTAAAGTTGAAAAAAATAAATTTATTTCCAAAAATCTAACGTAGAGTCTATGCTATAAGTGTAATATATTTTTTTTTTAAATTTTCACTTCTTGCACCAAGCCACATAATTAAATTATTTTAGATATTACTACACAGAATTAATTGTTATACCAATACCTTTTTATTTTTAAACTCGTTGCATTTGTACTGACACCCAATTTCGCGGAACAAATTACCAGGGATGCATCTATAATACTAAAATCAAATGGTTGCAAAAAATATGCGGAAATCCATCTGTAAAGGGGGCGAATTTAAAAAACAAAAACTACGTCTTATTATATTAGTTTTTAAATTGTTTTGCAGGTTTTTTCTAATTCGTTGCCTTCGTGGAACGATGTCAACTTTGAGGGTACCGATATAATAATAATCGTCCACTTCGAATTTGCTTTGGACAAAATGCCGACTTGTTCTTAAATTAAGAAATGAAGGGGATGATTTAAAACTTTGTGAGCTGCACTTTTGATACTTTCTACTACACCAAATACTAGTCCTATGTAGTCTGTTAGAATAACGCCTGCATGGCTGCACATAACATAGGTTTTAAACATTAAAGAAATATGATTCGTTTAATCTCTGCAACACTCTTTCCGTTTGTTTAGTCTCTCTTCCCGTTCACTTCTATATGTAGTCAATTTTCTAGTTAAAATATTATTAAAACTTGAAAATTATACTCGAGATCAATATTATGATAAGTAGGGTTGTGAATTTAACGCACTAAAAACCTTTACAACAGGCAATTGCCACTTTAAAAAAAAAACACTCGTGAATTCCGCGGATCTCGGTCACTAAAATCGAATTTTTCCCTATCTGTTTTGTACATTAGGTATAGAAATATTCTCTGTAAAATAATAAATAACCGAATACTACAATATTAAAAACTATACTTTATACTTACAAACATACGATGAAATTCAGTAATAAAATTTTGGAGTTGATGATGGGGGTTGTAGTTTAAAGTTTAAACACCCAAAAGAAACATCCTTGATACTAATGCGATACATATATATCTGAAAAATTGTCTTTTTTCAGTTGCAATTGCTTTTTTTTTTTGAAAATTAAATACTTTTTTTTAAAAGATTTTTGGTTTATTTAATTCACTGGCCTAATGATAAGTATACTCATTTAATATGACATATTGCTTTTTTGTAGTTAACTATATATGTCTTAAATTAAAAATACAAAAATAAAAATATTTCAATTAAATTGCAGAAATAATGAACTACAAACTAATATTTTTGGAATGATACACCTAATCAAAACGTATTAATATGGAACTTATATATTTAAACAATAATGTTGATATGGCCGAATAATAATTGAATATCACCCATACAGAACGTTTTCGACTTTTGTGACACAACAGCATACATTTATTTATATGAGGGTAGATGATTTTAAAATTGTTCTGTGAGGTGCAAATATCGGTATCTACATCAGGGAGCGTAATATTTACCACAGTAATTATTATCCCTTTAACTATAAGTCATATTGTATTCCGAATTTTCGGAAAAATAACGATTTGATTTACAATATCACGACTCGTCAATCAACAAGTCGATGCATCAGTTTATACATAGTATATAATATATAGTAGTAAAATATTAAATAGAGGGCGTTTCTCCGAATCAATATTTTGATAACCTTAAAATACGCCTCCTTCCACCTACATTTAGTGGAAAAAAATAATGTTCCACCGTTATTCATACGCTTTTATTATAACTCTACACGATATAAACATTACGGTGTCAAAAAAAAAAAGAAGAGAGTATGAGGAGAGGTGCCCGAGAACATTGTACATAGTTAAATATACTTTTTTTTTATTCCGAACGCAAGCGAGGACCGTATTGATTTTACTATAATGTGTTTTTTTTTCTATCTATTAACAATATTTCTACCTGAAATATTACTCCGATCAAAAACTTTATAGACATTTTATTGTAGAATATTTTTGATCTAGTTGGTGCATTTAAGTTATTTTCCTTGGTAGTTTTTTTAATTGTGAAAAACATAAAATCTGTTGTTGATTTGGTCAGTTACCTTGGCCAAAACACAACTAATACTTCTCCGCCCAGAATATATTTTTCGTTTTGCAATGATTTATCGTTGTATAAAATATACTAACTAAATATCCCTGTAATCGGTTTGCATATCTTTCCAGTACCCAATACCCACCTATAACAGTAACCTATCCCTGAGTATGACCTTTTTTTTTTTTTGCATTAATTAACAGTGGTCTGCAGACAATTTTCGAGACGGCGTTTCGCTATTTTCTGCAGGGTATCGAACCGAGAATTTAAAAAGTACATTTTACGTTAAATTATTACTTATCCATAAAGTTTTCAAATAAAACTTTTTGAGACTTTCATCTATACTACTCCAAGTGTTTTCCGAGACAAAAAGCACACGTGCATTTTTAAAATTAAACATGATATACATTTTATTTAAATCGTAAATATTTACCTTCCACGGCGTCTCGGCACGATCAATTTTTCGTCTATCTGTTATCCGCTTAATAAATATAATATATTATGTAGAGAGTTATGTATAACTTTAGTTTATAAGTATGAATTTATTTAAGATTCATAATATTTAAATATCCTAAAAATAAAAAAATACGTATAAAACCAACGAATATATTTGTATATTTCTATTTTTTTTTTTTTTTTTTTTTTTTTTTTTTTTCCCCGTAAATTTTACCCAAAAACTCGTAATAATATGAAATATAAAATGACATTCAATCTAAAAATTCAATTTATTATTTTTATTACAATGAAATGTCAACGGGGTTATAAATACCTAAGTGTTTTTGTAAAGTTTTAATCGGTATATTGAGTATAATGTATTATTATTATATATTGAATGTTGGTGAGACTTTTATTAATTATAACGCGAATATACGTATTATACGACAAAATAAACAGTTCATACAATGTATACATTTAATATCACTATATAATGCTCGTTAAGATCGACTTTATGCATTTTCGATAATTTCTTGATAACCGTGTTTAAAAAAAAATATATATATATATACAGGGAATATCAAAAACCATTCCCCGAGTGTACAGACAAAATATTTTATCAGCAACCATCATCAATCCCGAAGTTGACGTTTGGAGCAAATCTTTAGTCGAAAAATTTTTTATGAGAAAAAAAAAAGACGTCCTAGGATAATAGAGACGAGTGAAGCCGCTGTTATAGATAATTCAATGTATACCTGTAAACAACGATAAACCATTTCTAACAAAAAAACGATTCTGAGTGCAGTTCTATTCAGCTTTGTCAACAATATATGTCATTATTTAGTTTTTTTATTAATATTTGTTTAATGATATTTCGATATTCTCGTTATTCTTGCGTTTTTTCCGGTTTTCCAATGTTTTTTCCGTTTTTTTTTTTTACATTTGTTGGGAAAACTCCTGTGAAAATCATAAAATTACCTCCTTAAAATACCTTCTCAGACAGATTTCCATTCAAAAAAATGTGCTATCATTTTAAATCGGAGCTAAACTGTTGGTAAAAAAGTTGTACACAGAAAAAACAAACAAATCGAGGGGTGTTTTGCAATTAAAATAGTCCGAGAACGAACGATAGCTTGGGTCTCTAGGTACACCCAAAATGCATTTGTTTTTTCCTTGTTTAGGTAAAAGGAGAAAAAAATGCAAACAATTTTATTCAAAACCCGGGTTTGAATTCGGGCCCTTACAATGATAATGAGCATGTATTACCATTAGATTACAACAAATATTCAAGATATTTCAAAGAGATACAATGCAGAGTTATTTAACATAACATAATATCCGCATAATATCAGAACTTCAAAAGCTCCAATTTCGAAACTAAGTCAGTCCTCTCAATTTTAACTTAACCATTTCTATTAAATGATCAATATAAATATGTTTAATACAAGTACAAAACACATTGAAAAATAAAATTTGTTCTACACAATTTTTTACTCAAACGATTTCCATCAAAATTTGCTATTAAAATTCCTTTAAAAAAAAAAAAATACTCCATTAAACTCAATTTTTTTATATCTCAAAGTAAAACTCTTAATGAACCACTTGTTAAATTTTCAAGCATTTCTGTTAAGTTTAACAATTTTACACCAGAGTACCTACTGAATACAAATTACCTACAAAATTAGCAAAATTAAAATGTCTATAAATAGCTCAAAAATGGTTTAAATTATTTTTAAGTTTTACTACGTCTAGAAAAGGCAAATAAAAGTATTCTGTCTAAATTTCAAGTCTCTACAAATATTTTTAACTGAATTACAACAAATAAAAAAATTGAAAAATAATAAAAGCATTATTTTTGTAAATTTCCCGTTCGTCTTACGTTTTATCCTGGTTTTTCCTAGATATTATAAAAACCACTTGGAAAAACAAAAAATGACCTGGAAAAATTACCATTTGAATAAAATTCCTTTTCAGAAATGGTGTCTCGTGTATACATCCAATTCATCTGATCAAGATTTCTGGTAAAATTTTTGTACACAGTGTTAAAAAAAAATAAACATCTTTATAAATCCAATAGATTCTTCGCTGAATTCAGAATCTAAAAGGAAATATATTATCATAACTATCGGAATTTCAAAATTATACAAAAGTTGTAAACAAGTTTAAATCATCGTAGCGATATATGTACACATATTTTCGAAATGAATCGAACCTTGTGATACCGCGTGAGATTCAAATGGCCTAACTGAAATTCAATATAAGAACGGCGAAACTTCAATTGAACATTGAGATATATTGTAAAACTTTTTCTTTTTATAACGCAATCGATTTAATGATGCGTTTTTGTTTTGGACAGCAACAAAAAGAGAAAAAAACGACTCGGACGAGGTATACTACATTTGAATAGTTTAACGGATTTGAATGAGTTTAAAAAAAAACGAAAAACATAAAAAAAGCAGTTAAATCCACAACTATGTACTACCATAGTAAAAAAATAATGTAGTTCTAAAAACATACTTATACTTTATTATACGACTACATATTATATATCTATATATATATATATAGATATATACAAACATTTTTAACCCGTATAGAATAACGAAATTATTTTAGCCTGTACAATAAGATACTTGAACTTCGGAATAATATATTAAATATTTTTTCATGGTTAAGATTTTTTTTTTTATTGTTATTGCATTTTATGAAAAAAATTTATGCCGCAGTTTTGGTTCTTTAGCTAAGTGCTGAATATTGTTACTGCTGCAGTCAATCGAATAAAATATTATTGGCGATGTTTCGACGAGGAATCTTACGGGAAAAAAAATCCCTTTCAAGCACTAAAATAATGTAAAAAGAGAATGTTGTTGCATTTAAAAAGCAAAAGACGATACAGTCTATATATTCAAAGCAATTCTTGAAACAGACGTTGATCACTAGTTCTTATCGATATGAAACTGAAACCGAAAAAAACGTGAAAAAAATTCAAAATTAAATTTTTACAGTTTCAAACGCTCATAATAAAATTCTATTACAATAAGACGATAAATTCATTTTGAATAATATTATTAATAAAACCATAAAAATGTCAACCATGAATAGGTACCTACACTTATAATTATTCCGAAATACCGATTTTTTACGTCGAAAAAAATGGCTTTTTAACAAACTTAGATTCAGAGTGAAAAAATAAGGGATCTATTGTTTTTACTATGATCTGTGATCTGTCTGTAAACAAATTTTCTTCTAGAAATCTAGCTCCAATCAAAATATGACGAGAGACCTTTGTAGTTACTTAGTTGGTACCTAGGTACCTACTTTATTTTGTTATTATTTTGAAATTCTCATTAATAATAGAAATAATGACGAAAAACTAGTTCTTTAAGTTAAAAAAGATTAAAAATAAGATTGTCACTGGTAACCGTTTTTATTTAGTTTTTATTATTTTAATCTTTTTTAAACAATCGTTGTTGTCCTGAAAACGCAAATTGTTTAAAAAGCCATACTATTAACCGAGCTCCGCTCAGAATAGTTTTTCGTTAGCAATAATTAATCGTTGCGATAAAAATTAAATTTCACTCTATATCCTTTCTTCCAAACTTCCCATCTAAAACAGTAGACGCACCCGTCTCCAGTATCAGCACTTTTTATCAAAATTTAGATCCTCGTCCCCCAAAAAAAAAAAACAACAGTTATCATTTTTTTATATATAATTCATCTTCTTGGTTATTAAAAAAAATAGTTTATAGGTACAAACTATAATTAATAATATACAAAAAGAAATGATGTGTGTGTATGTTATATCATTATCCCAACTTTTTGGTAACGCTGATAAAAATACCAAGAAATAATAAATAACACGGTTAAAAATACTATATCATTTTATTGCCTATAGCCTATAGTCGTGATTGAAAAATCACAGCCAAAATATTCTAAAGAGGGGGCAATCTACCTATCGCCCCCCCTCAAATACGCCTCTGGATTTTATAGACCGTAGAATAATCATAATGATCTCTGAAACGAGCAAAAAGATTTGAGCAATTTTTCAAACTATCAATCGCTCGCCCTGAACCCTCGAGAAAATAAATGACTTCTGGCCTTTTTCGCTGCAGGTGCTAAAGCTCATAAATTATAATACAGTACTTACGAGAAAAAGAATAGAAAAATCGTTACCTATGAATATATTGTTTTTATTTACTAAAATAATTACAGTACGCAATTATTGTGTATTGTATGTAACGTAGAAATACATAATTTACAGTGAAACGACCTTTGTTTACTTATTTATTATTTTCGTAAATGGATAGAGGTCCCGCCATAATAATTAATGTTCTGCAAATGCATACGCGTATATAGTGACGGTTTAACATTTACATTTTAAAACGAAGCGCATATTGCATAAATACCTTCACTTGCAATAATACAGGATAATTATTTTAACTTGATCTATTGCACCATTATTATATCATACATTTATTACCTTTTCTTAATTTCTCTGTCTAAATTGTATACTTACAATAACACTTATAATCGGTAAATCAAATATTAGTGCTGTGCGTATCAAAATAAACTTAGACATTATTTTTTCGAATCTTTATTGAAAAGAAAAAGCGGTTGTATGGTTGTTATATTTTGAAAGTTAAAAGTTAATAACTCACTTTAGGTATAAGTGAAGGAAGTAAAATTTTGAAAATAGTGTTACAATAAACCTTAAATAATTTCATAATGATTACAGAGAATAAGAGAAATCAAATTTACTTAAAATTCTTCGAGAAAATCGCTGAACCGTGAAAAAAATAAACCGCCATTCATATACTTATAGGTTAACATTCCTATAAGCTGAATCGATTAAATATTAACCGAAGAACCTATTAATAATAAAATATTATTTTGAATGAAGCGATCCTGGTAAAAATATTTTTGAGATAACTAATTGGTTTTGATCAACAATCAAGTCAAGGAGTTGGAAAGTAGGCATAATACTTAACATAATAAATCGCCGAAGTCTGTCGTCAAGTGCGGTGTTAAATTGAAAAATATGCCATAACCAGAATTCTAATATTTATATTTGGTTTACGGATACTAAACGTATATTTTAATGCAATGAAAAAGAAAAACAGATAGTATTCAAAATTAACGAATAATAAAATTATCCAATGAATAACACAAAACGTAGAAAACGAAATTCCTTTCATTTCTATAAAATTATCAATTATAGATATTATTAGTTAACAAGTAACAATGAAGTTTACTTTTTGTTTTCTGTGAACAACTTTTCTACCAGAAATCTTGTTTCGATTTTTAAATGTAGCACTTTTTCTAAAAGAAAATTTTATTTTGGTGGTAATTTAAGAAGGTCACTTTTTGATTTTCCAAGCGATTTTCATAATAGTTGGAAAAACCAAGAAAAAACGTAGAAAGACGGAAAGGTTTACAAAATGTATTATTTTCAATTTTGCCTTTTCTAGGCGTGATAAAATATAAAAATGTGTTTTAAGTATTTATAGACATTTTAATTTTGGGAGTTTTTTTCGTAACTTTTATTCTGTAGGTACTCTGTGAATAAAATTGTTAGACCAAACAGAAATGCTTGAAAATTTAACAAGAGGTTCATTTTAAGTCGTACTTTGTGGTAAAAAACAATATGCAGTATTTTTTTTTATGGATTTTAATATTAAATATTGACGAAAATCGTAAATATTACGGTCTTTTAAAATATTTATAACTGAACTCCACTCAGAATCGTTTTTTGTTAGCAATAATTTTTTTTTAAATATATACATAAAAAAAAATTTTTTGTCTGTACGAGACCATTTTTATTTATTCATTATTTTTCATGCTTGTGGAGTGATCTGATTTCGATAATTTTAAATTCTGAGCACAGCGAGGTCTTTATTGATTTTATTATGGTATGAGCTTTTTTGATTTTTTTCTTTCTTTTTTTGAGCAAATTTTCTACCACAAATCTTGCCTCAATAAAAAAAAAAATAAACACATTTTTTTTGTTATTTTTTAGACCTAGTTAGTGCATTTAAGAGGTCACTTTATGATTTTTCAAATGGTTTTCATAATAATTGAGAAAAACGGACAAACATTTACGATGCGTGACGTTAACATTTCATTATTTATGTTTTTTTCCTCCCTATTGCAAATCGGTGCTAATTTAATACAATGCAGCATTAAAATTTCAGCTGATTAGATGTTGGATTTGTTCACGTAAATTTATCTCGAGAATTATAGCAGCTTCCAAGGTTAACTTAAATCAGTATCTATACATAATTTTTATATATATATATTCCGATTTATGGAAATTTTAAGTGTAATTAAAGACGACCCTTGGCCATCTTACTTATTTCGCAGGCAGGCATTGCATTATGTCAGTAAATTAGCAGCCAATGGAGCAGTAGTAAAATCTTGACCAATTTTCTAGTTTCTTATATTTTTGACGAAAAGTTCAGATTTTTGCCATAATTCTATAGATGCGGAATTTCCGCCCGGAGCAGTGGTACTATAATATACGATAGTAGGTACACTTAAAATATTTTTAATATTCTCAACAGATTATTTTCTAGTTTTTTTTTTGTGATATGATTTTCCATCCTCGTTATCGTTTTGGCGCTTCGCAGTATAATATTCATTGATTTTAAATTTTATTCATATTCTACGATGGTGTTAATTTTGTCGACAGTGCACGTTAAAATGAAAATATGTTTAACCTTAAACGTTGCACGGTGGCGTACTGCGCAAGTATTGAAGACATAAAATTATTATGAATTATTATATTGTTTGTGTATATTTTCGATGGATTAATAAAAAGTTATCTATTATCAATCCAATAACTAAATATACACACATTTAAAAATCAGGGTCAAAGTATTATTACGGTGTTTGCAATATTAACGGGGAAGCGGTCGCGGCTGTCGGTTCAAAATAGATAACCAGCTTTTCGTGCGTTATTTAAAAATTAATCCAATGCGTCATCCGGTATACAATAATAATATTATAATATATTGTACAATTTAATATCAATATAAAATCACATCACGCATTATGGATAAGCTCCTGTTGTAGGTGGAAAGTTGGGAAAACGAAATATATTATAGGATATAATTTAGAGTTTTGTTGTTTTATTGTAAACGATAAACCATTACAATTGAAAATTAATTCTGAACGTGATTCTAAGCGTACCCAAAGTAACCCAGAAATCAAGAAAAAAAACTATGTATCGTCACTTGTATTCAGTTTTTTAAATTTTAATGAAAAATTGTTTAAATAAAATACCACCGATAAAAAATTCATATCTTTGCAATATGAATGATTTATGGAGTATTTTTAATAACCTTTCAAGAAAGAAAACATAATGAAATCAATAGCCTCATCGCTACACTTAACAGAATTGAAAAAAAAAACATATTTTAGGAAATAATCAAATAACATTGATTTTGGTATACATTTAAGAACTTAGATATATTAAAATACCAGGTAACTAGATTACTATACTACTTGTGTGTATTTTCTGAGTTGTAACCATTATGATATTCTGTATAAAATAATTATTGTTGATAATAAATACAATTTCTTAAATATACAAATTCTACATGTAAACAAAAAATAGTAATTCTTCTATTTATTCTTCGTTATTTTTTTATTATTTTTTAATTCGGTTATTGTGTTTCATTTCTGTGGCATTATTTTTATAGTTTTGTATATTACCTGATGACAATTTTCGAAATTGAATCCGGTCGTAAATACAAACACAGCTAGTAATAATACTCCGGGCTACGTTTTTCTTTACTTGCGTATACTTACCTATTTATTTTTCTATATTAAAAATGTTATATTTGAAAGGAAAAAAAATAAGAATAACCAGATGCACGAGAACGAGAAAATGGTTAGGTGTTCGTAAAACGTATGAGCAAAAACAAAAGAAAAAGAAAACGTGTTACATTTTTCAGTGAATAACGTATAGTTGTTCTATAAACTCCCCGCGGAATACCTCACACAAGTCTTTAGAGTCTTAACGAATAAATACAAATATGAAAATACATAATAATCCATCACAGCGAAAAGAAAATTAATCATTTTTCTCAGTAATAACGGATTGGCTTTTTAACGGGTGGATTATAAAATCCCCAAAATTGAACAGTATTTTTACTTATAACTTTGGAATACTGCAATATCATTACAATTCAAAAAGCTAATGTATAATAAACATGACTTTTTTTTTATAGGGGGGATATCAAATATATTACATATAAAGGGAGAAGACTCAAGACTCAACCACTCCCCAAGAGGACAAATTCTCATCATTCTGTCGCATTTCCCAAATATTTTTTGCAGTATATTTCTTTCTTTTTACAATAGTTTTTTTTTAATTTTTGATTAATGTTTTTCAATTAAAATCAAAAATACAATATTAAAAAATAAAATATTGTGAGGCAATGAAGACACCATTTTTATTAGATTTATTAAGAATTGAATACTATATTTCATTTTTACGATATATAAAACAAGAAAAAAAATATGAACTCTCCTCTCCCCAGGATCTTCCGTGTATATACGCCCGTGGTTGTGTAACGTTTTTGGTCGTTTAAAATCTACGAGACGACGATAAATTCGTTAACTTTTCGCTTTTACACCATTATACGATGAATACCTCACATCCTCTTTCAATGTATTCGCAACGTATGTTATTCCTATTCGTTTATTTTCCTCCCTGTCGTGGTCGTCGTAAGAGAGCGGACGGGGTTGATCGATTTTCGAACTTTGTAAAAGCTAAAAAAAAACACAATCCAAAACACCATAAGGAGCTACACAATATATAGTGTGTTGTCCGTATACAATATTATTAACAATTGCATCGTATTCGTATACAATCAGCAATCGTTCGTTTTATGCGTAGGTATATAGAATTGCGTAGGCTCGTTTTATAAAAAGAAAAAACGGGATTGATAAAAAAAAAACCGAATATTAAATGCACGAAAGAAAACGTGACACAAAACGATTTTTGATAATGTTAAAGTATAAAAGATGCTTTAGGTATTTGATTTTTATAAAGGTGTGGCAATTTATTTTATTTTAAACTCTATGATAAAATAATATAGTCTGACTTCTCTAATATAAGGTTATGAGGATCACTTTTTTCAAAGATTTACCAGTTTTATACTAAAATGTATGATCATATGAATATTTGCTTTTCTCGGAAAATTTTTAAATTCTAGGATGAATAGAGTTGCTAAGAAATATACTGGTGTATTCAACCCCAAATTGGTCCAAAATATAAATAAAATATGTATCAATTAAGGACCAAAATAAAGATTTATAATTTTCACCATCGTAATTAGTGAAAAATATATACTGTAATTTGCACCAGAATCCAAATAGATAAATCTTTTGATATAGTATAACATGATAATGAAAACATACATAATACATATTATAGACGACAGATAATGACGTCGGTAATATCAATATAAATCATAAAATTAGCTATGGTTAATTTATATTTTTAAAGGGCCCTGTAAATAAATGTAAATAGAGTTAGACGTTAGTGAATTAAACTGAAAAGTTAAAAATGGAAAAAAAACTATCGAGTTTGTTAAGTATTATTAATATGAATAATAACTCAAACGTATTAATTAGTCCTTTATTGATAAAGGTAAACTCGGAATGAAGTTATACATAAATATTGTCTGCGAGACGAACAACGGTGGGCAGTCCCCACCGATCGTAATATAATATGCTATGATTATATAATACTCATAATTAATATAACATGGACGAATAATGTTTGTCGCGCCGTAAATGCTTAACATACAACAGAGTTATTCGTTAAATTAAAAAATTTAAATTTTTAAAAATGGACATACTTCGCACTTCCCACTGTTATAGGTAAGAAGTTGGGAAGATATGATATACATGGGAATTCAATATATATCTGTACCAACGATTAACGAAAACGATAATGAGTGGAGTTCGGTTATACATGTTTAAAAAGGCCGTAATATTTACGATGTTCGTCTATATTTAATATTAAAATCCATAAAGAAAAAAATACTACATTAAATTGAATTTTTTCTTGTTGACTACTAAGTACAACTTACATAATGAATCTTCTATTAAATCTTTAAACATTTTTGTTTGGTCTATCAATTTTATCGACAAATTACCTACCAAATAAAAATTACGCGAAAAATTCGCAAAATTAAAATATCTATAAATAGCTCAAATATTTTGAAAAGTTTACCACGTCTAAAAAAGGCAAATATAAGTTTTCTGTCTAAATATCATGTCTTTATAAACATTTTTAAATTAATCACAACAAGAAAACAAAATTGAAACTAATATAAAAGCATTATTTTCGTAAATTTGTCTGTTTTACCTACGTTTATTTCCAATTATTATTAAAACTCCTTGGAAAATAAAAAAAAATTACCTCACTAAAGTAAACGCACCAAATATATTGGTATACGTAATACGGTAGTATCCATTATAACGAATGATTTAAAGTCATAATATTAATCTGAAATATTCATTTATATATTCTCAAAATTGAAAGAAATGTATTTCTACGGCATTTGTTTTTAGATTTCTAGATTCTACAAAATCGTAAAATATGCAATTATATGCAAATAGAAATGGTATTATTTCGTTCAGTATATAACACCCGATAAGTGAATCAAATTAGTATTATAGTATGTTTGTCTTAGTTTATCGGTAGTATGTACCTATTGTCGATCTAGTGGTCACGATTTTAAACCTAAATTCCGCAAATTTTTTTTTGCAAATCACGTAGGGTAGATATCAGGGAAAAAACAAATTCGTTTTGTTTCAAAATCAAATTTTGACGAAAATCGTAGATATTACAGCCTTTCATTCAAAACATGTATAACTGAACTTCGCTCAGAATCGTTTTTCGTTAGCAATGGTTTATCGTTGCTTACAGGTATAAATTTAATAACTGTGTATCCTACCTGCCAAATTTCCCACCCATAACAATAGCACACCCATCCCCAGTATCAGCTCTTTTTTATTATTATAAGCAAACCCAAAACCTTATCTACACAAATATATTATTTATTATATATTGTACAAAATATATGAAAACAACGCAAGGCAATTCTCTGGAGTTGAATATGTAATATTCAACAGTGTGTGATCCATCAATACACCAAATTTCTTTTTTATAATTTTTTGAGTAAGTAAAAAAATAATCTTCAGCGCATCGATATCTGTTACAGTAACTACTGTAACAAAATTATGTAGGTATACAAGCGATAAAATTAACTTTTTTATACATACTATGTACTTTAAAGTACACGTTGTATTTAACTATATTATATTAGATAAAACCTATACATAAATTGAAAAACTAGGGGGTGGAATTCGTAATTTGTCGAGCTATTTATTCCAGGGTTACTCGAGTGCATCCAGAATATGGAATATAATAAAAGAAAACCCGTAGATTTACACTCCCTTCGGTCTCTGATATCATTTTAACTTTGCTCCCAGGGAAAAAAAGTCTTAAAACGTAATTTTTTTTTCCCTTTATGTTTCGGTCCAAATAGCATAAGTGTATTTATTTTCAAAATGTAATTTGCTTGAATTGAAAATTATGTAATATACAATTTGATTGAATTAATGCCTTCTTCCTTGGGACCAAAAATATAATATCTTACTCGATGTTTTTTTATTTCTGTTTTTCTAAATTTATTTTTCAAACAAGCCATGAACTCATGTCGTCGCCAAATACTTAATATGATAATTATTGTCAATCTTTCCGGCGGCGGTATACAATATGTGTAAGTACTCGAAATTACCGTTGTCGCCAAGTTCCACTTCTCGCGTGTGAAACCCTGTCAGCCGCACACCTCGGCCGACTGTGGAAAATCTCACGGGGACACAACCCCCTACTAAACGTACTCCACCACAACATCTCCGTCCATCCACTTCAACGTTATAAACCGTATTATATACGCTCCGAAGCAAAGTTTTTGAAAAGATGTTTATGCGACACGAATCTACCGAAAGTTATACACCATAAGAATACGTTCAATCAGTCTTCATATTACAATTTACAAACATAATATATCCTTCGTTCATATTGTATATATGTACACCAAAAGTTGGTAAAAACACGTCACACGAAACGCTTCTCCGTATAATAATTTGCAGATAATCAACTTTCAACAGAAACGTATACACGAATTAGTTAGGCTTTTTCGATATTATCCGAATTTATCCCTAAAAAATCTAAATTTCAAACGTTTCTGACATTTATACCGCCATAAAAACCGAAACTTAAGAAATACCATAGATCAAACTTTTGAATACATAAACAGAGCCAAAAACAATTGTTGTCCACATATCCCCACCCAAAAAAAAAAAACACCACGAAAATTTCAAATAACTCACAAAAATACAAGGTAGAATATTTTGAAAATTATACCACGAAAAACATAAGCTTGTGTAACATATAACTGGTAAAAATTGCAGGTTTCTAGGAATTTTTTCCGCTGATATCCATTAAGAAAAACCTTCAGAATCGATTTTCTAACAAAAGCCGTTGTTGATTAAATATCCCTGTTTTCTAATTGTTTTTTTTTTTTTAATCTCTCCCATTATTATTGAGAAAAATCAAGATAATTGGAAAAAATTACCCCCCCAATGCTCCAAATCAGATGACATTTTCAAACAAAAACCATAAATCTACTATCGATTGATGATCGGAACATCAAATCGAAAATTTTTTAAATGGGAGAAAAAATCAGACGTTATCATAATAAAACTAATACATTGAATAGTTTCGTGATTGCATTTAAACTCGTATAAATTTAAATGTACATCTAATTACGCCCTTGTGTACAACAATATGATAATATCTAATCAAAATGCCGACTATAATCAATAGTATAGGTAATCATATTAATTTAAATACGCATTACATTATTATTACTACATAGGTACTATCCAATATAAACGATCGGTTAGTATAAACAGTAACGGTTTCCCGTTTTATTGTGTAAAATGTAAATATATATCTAACAGTGGAAACACTACTTACTCTATAGTTACATACTTAACGTCTAATCATTTGTCATAGTGTTGTTAACATTCATCAAACCTATCGCCGTCGCTTTTGAAGTTTCGACAAAGACCCCCCGGTTGAGGTGAGACCTTTTACATAATTGTGGGTAGTCTTCTTATACTCCACCCATAAATCTTTTATCGGGTCATAGCACACAACAGAATCTCTAAACGAATTATATTGAGCGAAAATATTTTTTCTGTTCACAGTTTTCTAAAATAATTTACTTGAAACGTTTTTTTTCGTTTTAATACGGATTTTCGACGATAAGCGGTTATAGGCGAGGTTGATAGTTTTAAGTAGGTATCTAGGATATTTTATACAAAAGAACATTAAACATGTGAAGTATAGAATTAAGAGTGGTTAGATAAAATGGAGAGAAGCGCTGGGGTGTTAGAAACGGGGAAGGGAACAGAAAAATAGAACAGAGAATTAATGTAGCAAAAATGAGAAATTTTTGGCGTGGATAAATGGCGGCTTCGATAGTAGACAAAATGAAAGAAAATAGACTGAGATGGTTTGGGTATGTCACGGGAAGAGAAAAATATGAAGCAGTAAGAACTGTATAATTAGGTAGGAAAAAATAGATAAAGAAAAAGAACGAAAATAAGACGGTTGAATACGATTAAGAATAATATGAGAGGAAAATCAGTGTATGCGAGGTGGGAAATCTGGTCAAATTGGGTTTAGAACTAGGGTGACCGACCTCAAAGAGTTGAGCAAAAGGAAAAGAAGAAGAAGAATACGGATTTTTTATATTAGTATAGTATTATAGGAATAACTTATGATGGACTTTATATCAAACTTTCAAACACTTTTTGAGTCCACGCAAAAAAAAAACTCGGACATTTTGAATGGCCATAAAGAGCTTAAAATTCGTCACATATTTTTAAAAACTGAAAGCACGTCTAGAAAATGCTAAAAATTGTAGGTTTCTTCGATTATTTTGAACTGATGAAAATAACAGAAACCGTTGTTACAAAGATTTTACAGTTTTGTCTTAGTTTTTTAAAAAAATTCTGAAGAAAATCTCAAAATAAACTCCTCAGTTCACCAACTAGACTAAATTCGCTCTTAAAAATATTCTACAGCTAATTACAGGATCTAGAATTCTAGTAGGAATGTAGTTCACAAACAAAAAAACAATAATAATTACAATACGCATCACAATAATATAATGAGACAAAATATGCAAGTATTCCAGAACCCCGTCAACCCTGCAGTAGCGTATATGGAAATTAATTTGGGAGAGGGGGGGGGGGGTTATAAAAAAAGCTTTTAAGTTTTAGTTAATGCATAGATTAAATAAATTCATAAATACGTTCGCGTGCCGTACCAACCATAAATTTCGGGGATGGGTGTTTGAACCCCCAAAACCCTCTCCCTTATATGCCACTGTAACCCTGTGTATTAAAATCTACAGAGTATTAAATATAAATATATAACTGTATAATATATAGTAACTGTGTACTTTTTTGAGTAACCCGTGAAAAACAGACTGTACATTATCGCCTGTTTCGACTCGTAAAGAATTGTACGTGCATAATATTATGTATGCAATACGAGTCGTACGAATGTTGTAAATCCGATAGGTTTTCCGTACCTATGTTGTTCACGAGTGTCAGTAATAGATGCGTACCCCCGTATTATTATAGTGAAAAGTTATTGCTCACCCCTATCATATTATTATTGGTTAAAATAACGCGATGCCGAGATTCCACAACGGGCTGCACAGTACCGGAGCCAGAGTTAAACGGGCCCCGATGCAAATTTAATTTGTGGACCTAGCATTTTCCATTAATATTCAATCTAAACATTTATTATGAAAACGATATGGACAAACTACGCACGATGGGTGGGCCACTGTTATAAATAAATAGCTGAAAAGGTAGAGGGGGAAATTAAATATATATTTGTATACAACGATAAATCATTACTAATGAAAAACGACTCTGAGCGAATTTCGGTTATACGTTGTTTAAATGGCTGTAATATTCACGATTTGAAAATAATACATTTCGTAAAATTTCCCAGTTTTTCCTACATTTTTTTTCGGTTTTTTTCCAACTATTAAGAAAACTACTTGGAAAACCAAATGAACTCCTCAATGTAGCACCCTAGTCTGATTTCTCTTCAAAAAAGTGCTACACTTGAAAATCGGAGCAATAGATTATTGTATTTTATACATACATAAATATAAATGAATAAAGCCACTTTATAAACGACACAGTATAGATATTTTAAACAACATCATATCGATACTAGATCGGTTTATGTGCTATAAGATGGCACCTACCGTTATCGCATAAATTAAACTTACCAAATTTTGATTTTATTAACAAAATATTTTGTTATTAGTATAGGTACTTAAATGATTTTAAGTATGGGTCCCATACAAGAACTTGAAGCGAGGGGCTCTGGTGCAGTGAACCTCTTGCACCGCGGTTTCTACGGCACTAGGGTTGTAAAGGAAAAAGTCGACGTGTAATAAATAGGAGTGGATTGAGCCGAAGTACGGGTGGGCCCACGAGCCGCTAAAATTCTCCGGCCTTTACACTATATATATATTGAACTCATGTGTTAAAACAGTACACATCTGCAATATTAGTGACTATGTCATAATACTTACAAAACTAATAATACTATAATAAAGTTGGTGGTTACGAAGCATATTTTAAAATATGTGCTTGTGTGTGCAGGTTCTCTAGAAAGGGCTTAATTCCCCATTACATTGATTTTGTATACTTAGTATTTACTTGATGAGTACTTATGTTTAAAAGAAACTTAACTTAGTTTTAGGGGAGGTGGGGGAAAGGTAATATCCTCCAAAGCCTCCTCCTCTATTTGCACCAATACACAAAATCAAGAGGACGTTAGAATGTAATATTTAAAAACAGATTCATACCTTACATGTTTTTTTTTTTAATATTTTGGCGGAATGGCGTATTGGTGGAATGGCATATTGGTGTAATTAGGTGCTTTTATCTACGAATCCCCGCGCCAATTTTTATCCCAGTTCATCACTGGTAATAAACAATGTTTATAATGATATGCACATACATAATGTATACTGTTGCACAAACACAAAATTAATCTGTTGTTATATGGGTGAAGGGAAACGGGAAACTTTTAGGTAAACGGATAAAATAAACGTGTGAGCTTTTTGGCAATATATAATATTCGTCCCGATTCAGTATAGTATATAATAACGCCGAAACACAATAACTTTACGCTTACCTAGTATGTCGTATACTATAATAATATTATGTGTGTACACTGCTCAGCAGCTCGACTCCTCCTCAACGGAACAGAAACGTATTCATCGATTTTTATGTCAACGTTCATATTCTCATATACGCGCGTACACGTACAATTTCTTCGCGAACGTACATTTTTATTTTCGTATAATTTTCTCAACAGATAAAGCGCGAATCCAATAGTCCAAATATAGTACAATATTGTTAATTTTATATTTTATAACACAGTAGGTACGTACCTAATAATAATGAGCGAAATCCAGATCTCCTACAAACTAATAAGAATATTTTAGGTGACAATTCAAAATTCCTATGAAACCAACTGTGAATTGTTCGAACATCAACATCGAGAAGCTTAGTATGAATTCTTGATTTCCAATATTATGTACAAATTACTGCCTACACAGATAGGTGCTAGGAGCAGTGAGCTTGTGGTGACCAATTTTTATAGTTATTTTTCTTTTTTATAATACTAGTATAATATTATCGAATGATAATAATATTACCATGGTAGATTAATTCACGTTGAATATTACAAATTAAATGATATTTATGATTATTTTTTAGTTAAGATTGTTTAATTTAATTTCTATTTCTTTTACAGATTTACACAACCACATTGGCCCATTTAATTGACCATAATTACATTTTACCATGTATTAATTATGAATTTCTCATAATAAATAGTAACTAGTAACTCATATAACCTAAATCCACCTTGTAGTAATTACTAAAACCAACCGTTAGTATTAAGAATGGATCACTTTAAACCACAGAGTAAAAATTACTCTATGCTACAAGCTTATTTCTCTTATATTAGATAATACATATATAAATATATTATTATCAATGATTCCCCTTAGCACCTATTCGGATAGGTGATAATATGCACATGGTGATAGAGGCCCATTTTAATTACAGATTTTGGTTTTCTATGGTTGACAATACTGGAATGATACATTATTAGTAGTAGAACTGGTATCATCCCATATAATATCAATAACTTTTGATATGATTATAAAATATACGTAATAATTCGTCGAAATAAATAATGTTCGTTTCGATTCTCGTTTCAAACATACTGACATTATTATTTACATCGTACAATTATTTCGGTTGGTTCGCGCGTAATTAGCGCGTTATTTCAAACGAAATTCGATAATTATTATTTGAATATTTTATAACATTTGTTTATTGTGATAATAATAAGGGTATAATACTATTCAGCTATATTGTTCTACGGTATACGTTCTATACAGAATAAAAGATAATTTAATTAGTTTTGAGTTTGGTTAAGGGAAAATCGCTATAATGTACACTTTTGTTGTATTCGATTTTTCATTAATGATGATGATGATGATAATAATAACATTAGTATACCTACAAAAATCTATAACTATAAAAACTGATATAACTAATGTAAAATAAATATAAACAAATAATCATACAAATCACAAACACAAAAGGATATAATAATAATAGACTTTCTAGTGCCGTCTCTAAAACATTTAAAAAAAACCGCGGAGCTGATTTAATGCAATATAAAACAATTGGCAGTTGCTGTGCCTCAAAATATCTCAAAGATATAGACATAAGTAAGTGAAGGGGAGGATTATGGAGTTGTCTAAACCTCTGCTATTTCGGAATCTCAAGCAGTAAATAAATATTATCACTCATATTACAAATAGCTTATAATCAGAACATCCCTCACCTCCCCCACCCCCAAATAAACAATCCACACTTTGTTTACCTAAAACATTATAATACAACATTTAATTAAACGAAAAAAAGTAAGTATTCTGAAAAAAAACAGAAATTGCTCAAAAATGAATTCATTCGAAAAGAAAAAGTATCGTTATATCACAAAATATATTATGCCTACCTATAATATTGTAGTCAATGAGTGTCATGTGCGATATATAGTGCTAACTAGTATGGTTTATTTAAATTTTTATTAAATCCCAATAATTTCAATCTAAACGCCACAATTCATAATCTATTTAATGTGATTTTGCTATTAAGTAGGTTAATATGACGGAAATAACACACGTAGCCATATACCCACATCCCGCAAATTTATTAATTTATTCTTTGTAATAATTACGACTGCGATACATCTTTACGTCATAGTGTACCCAAATTTCTAAATTGTAAATGTCCATCAAAAGTGTATGTAGTCATTGCGGTCAACTTTTATTAAATTAATACAATTATTGGCGTACAATAAATTATTGTCAGTTGATCTTAAATAATTTTTTACAATTTATTTATATTTCTTTGATCAGTTTTTGTACGTAACAAATAAATGATTGTTTCAATGTCCACAACGAAATAAAACTTAAGTTAAAACGTTCATTTCTGTTAAAATTCGTACATAAAAAAAAGTTTTCGCTATAAGAATTTGCAACATTCCAATAACCTATGCACTCTATGGCGTACAATGTAATAATACGAATAAATGACGAACGTTTGACTAATAACCAAATAGTTTTCCGAAAATTATATTATTAAATATGAAAACATAATTTAATACCTATCGTTGGATAGAGTAAACGATGATCACGCGGTACAATAGGTACTCAATATATATATATATATATCAATATTCGACGCGACGTAAATTATTGAAACGCGTATATGATTGTAACTAAATGCATACACGTAAACTAAATAAAAACATAATATACAATAATAATATATGTATTGCAGACGAAATATTTAATATTTTATAAAGCATTTTGTAGAACTCTCGAATTATTCTCAATTCGAAAGTTTCTTTTACGAAAAAAAACCTATATGCGGGTGGACGCACAGGTATGTGTACGCATTTTACAATGTGTCCCCCGGAGGATTCGCCGATAATTTAGTGTCGCGTAAAGTTTGCATATTATGTAGGTAGGTACTTCCAGTCCCGATTCAAGTATATAATACTACAGATATGTATTCGGGAATAGAAAAATATATTTACAAAAGTTCCGCGAAAATCCTCGGCACCCTTTGATTTATCGTTTGACAAAATTCTAACGAAAAAAAACTACCGATTTTGTAATTTATTATGCATTATGATTTACAGCCACTATATAAGTCGTGATTACATAATAATAATTTTAAAAAACGACGCAAAGTCGCCCGTTGGGATGTTGCAGAGGATTTGTATACTTTAGGAATACATTTTATTCAAATTATTATTATTATAATATTATGGCCGCAATTTCGATAAAAATCCATCCGCATCACCGGAAAACTACAATATTATATAAAACAAATACTTAAAATAGAAATCGATAATGGAAAAATTCTAAAGCCTAATTATATACAATACACGTACATTATTTTCATTCGCATTGCTATAGGTGATTTATTTTTTTCATTGCAAGTATGAAACGTGACCAATGTATAAAAACATATTTCTTTAGTCTCGAGGAAAAAGGACTCGGGTAAATTTTTGGAATTTTTTTCACGATTTTGTCTTATACAATTATTTTCCTCTATATTGTTTGGTCTATAATGACACAAATGTACGGTACACATGTTATTATATACTGGCAATTGAAATATTTCGAGTACCTACTTCAATAACGTAGGTACTTTTTGTTTTATAAAAAGGTATAAATCAGATTATTATAAGAACGCCGTATTTAGATTATTCCATTTAGCAATTATGTTGTTATGTCATTGAGCAATTTTCAAAATTTAATTTAATTGTATTAAAACTATAAAAAAATGTGACCATATGTTTACAAAAAAAGTTTACCACTTTATTACAACACAATAAAGTCGAATCAAAATTTTGTTTAAAAATTAAATATTTAAATTACTTGGTCACTATTTGCATAGTGGTGACGAATTGTATAGGTGTCTCATTGAGAACACCGGATTTAAATCGCTCGGTATTTTCGATATTTATCGTTTCATTGCAAAGATTGCGAATGATGATAATAATATTATTAAAACAGGTTAGCCAATACACAAAACAAATATTACCTGACAATTTAAATCCGGCGTTCTCAAATGGGACACCCTATATGTTAAACGTTAATCATTTCTGTCAATTTCTTTTTTTTTTTACTTACAAAAAATATTCAAAGTCCAAGAAGTATATGAATTTAATTTTTACGTGTTCAGTGTATACAATACACTTTCAGTGTACACGAATTCCCCGGAAAATTAAAATGCATAATTTTTTCAATTTATTCCTTTTTTTTCATTTTTAATGGACTTTTCGTATACAATACAGACGCGCATACCATCACGTTATATACAATAAAGTTTACTTTATGGTTTCTCGGAATTTTTTTTTTAAATTACATTACAACAGTTAATATAATTCAATAATACATTTGGTATATGGAATTATTTTTAATACCACAGTTGAAAATTTATTCGACCGAATTTGAAAAGAAATAAAAACTGTCACAAGAATCAAAAGAAAGTTATTTCGGAAACCTTCGCCTTGATATTCCGGAGAAATAGGTATTTGTTTTGCCGTCTCGTTGTGACCGGGCACGCGAGCTTTTCTCCCGTCGCTCTCCCGACATTCACGGATATGGTTAGGTCTCTTGGGTCTACTTAATTTTTTCCCAGAGGTTATATGTAAATTCTACCCAGATCTTAAAATAAAAAAAAAGGTACCCGCATTGTACAGAAAATCTAATCATTGTCCATATCAGCATAACGCGTATTTGAATAAAACAATTCTCGTCGATGCTACCGCTTCGTAAAAAAAAAAGTTTTAGAAGTCGAAGTGGTAAAATCGAAAATGAATATTATCTATATTTTTATATTTGTACAACATGCGTTCAGGTACATGAGACGTAACTCGAGACGGTTTATTGAAAAAAGTATAGGACGCCAAATACAATAAACTATACTCTATCTTTTTAAACCTTTCCCCCCTCTCCAGACGTAACTTATGCCTACTGAAAAATACAATCCCAGATTTAAATATAGTATGCACCGTTCTTGAACCTGACCATACGGTTCAAAGCCATATTATTGTTAAAAACTCGAAACAAAAATGTTGAATTTTTTGTGTTTATTCACCCGACGACATTTTCCAGGGTAACCGAACACTTTACGGTTTGAATAATAATACGTTCTTTGAGCGTTGTGGATAAATCACTGCATGCAATGGTTTTTTTTCATCTAAAAATTCCATATAGGTTCGTTTACTATTCGGTACTATTCGAAGGACCAAAAATAAGCAATACGACGACATAAAATTGTAGCATTTTAAGTAGTCACTTGAACAGCATATGGGAAATATCATTGTAAAAGGAAATGTGGTACGAAACGCCGAACGATTTAAACATCGACAGGTTAAAATGTCGACCTGTACGAAATATCAATTGATAAAAATCATGTCAACGGCTAAAAAATCGATAGTTCAATTTTAATAATAAAAACAAAATAAAAATATACGATACTAAGCCTTATTCACACGATGACACTGCAGTAGCATTGAGTACCTTCGGTGACACCAGAGTAACATAGCTTACCACGGTACCACGATATTCGCATGTCTCCAATAATGTTTGATATGTGGTGTCCACGTGTTATGCAAAAGCCATTCCCGTATAAGCAATCCCACGTATACATTTTTGCAAGTTTTCGAAATCTTAATTTTATCCGAGAATTCATATTTATCAGCTGTCTATGTCGTTATCTGTCAACATTTTGTAATTGCCGACATTTTAACGTGTCGATATTTCCTACCTTCCGACATTTCGACTGTCAGTATTTTGACCTGCCAACGTTTCGATCGAATCCCCGAAAACTTACTCGATTTTCAAATATTATTGTATTATTGTATAATATTATTATAACATATTACATTCCCGATGTACTCTGGTTTAAATTTTAGATTTACTATAATAGCACTTTTTCTAAAATTAAATCTGACTGGCAAGGTACTTTAAGAAGGTAATTTTTTGATTTTCCCATTAAATGGGAAAAACCGGAAAAACCGGAAAAATCGTAGGAAAAACGAGAAAATAGATACAATATTATTAAAAATATATACAAGCCTATGTACTTATTTTACTATAATAATACCATATATTAGTGTTGACAAAGCAACACTATCAACTGAACTCCGCTCAGAATCGTGTTTTCGTTGTTTATCGTTGCTTACAGATAAACATTAAATTTCCCCTCTAATACCTTTCCAACTTCTTAACTACAATAGTGACTGCACCCACGTGCGAAGTATTTCTGTCTTTTTCATATTATTCATGTGCGTCTTGTACTAAGGATATTCGTTGAGTGTACGAAATTCACAATTAGAAAATTTAAATAATAGTAATGCTTTTATATGAAACACTATACGCTGTCGTCACTGTTATAATATCAACGCCTTAGGTACGCCCCATTGAAACCATTTTAAATAATATAATAGTAATAATTCGCATAGATACCTATACAAAAATACATTTTATACATTTTTAACCTATTAATTAATTTATATTTTATTTTTGTGCCTGTGAACAACTTTTCTACCATAAATCTACATCTAATTTTCAAGTGTAACTAGTGTTTCTATCTTGTTGGTATTTCTGATTAGATATTTTGATTTCCTTTGAAATTTTCAAAATAATTGGGAAGGCCCGAAAAAAAATGTAAGAAAAAACGGACAAATTATTTGCCAATGACGCTTCATTATTTTCGATTTTGTTTATTCTAATTATGTTTGTCGATTTTATTTTAATTCACTTAAGATGTAAACCTAAAATTTTCACTGGATATTTATATTAGTCTTTTCTAAACGTTGACAAATAGTAAATTATGAGTTATTTTTAGTCATTTAACATGTTTTAGTTTTTAATTTTTATTTAGATTTATGTAGATGAAATTTTTTAGGCCGGGCAGAAATTCTGAATATTTTATGCGAGGTTCATCGTAAATTATAATCAATGGTAAAAAAAAATTGAGCTTAATGTAGTAGTTTTTTTTCAAGTTTAAATTTTGATGAAATTCGTAGAAATCACAGAATTTCATAACATTTTTAACCGAACTCTTCGCTAAGAATCGTATTTCATTAGCAATGATTTATTATCACGTACAGATATAAATTAAATAGCTCTATGTACCCTACCCCTTCTCAACTTCTTATCACCTCTAATAGTGGTATACCCCCATTAACAGTGTCAGCTTATATTTTTTTTTTTTTTTTTATGTGTACCATTATGCAATCGTTTTGTATTATATTTTTATGAATGCTATAAAATATTATAACCAAAATGTTAAAAACGAAATTTGATTAAATAAATTGAATGTATACACACATCATATATAGATATCGCTGACGTGAATACTTGGTTGAAAATCGATAATTATTGGAACTATTGAACTTAATTTCACGCACACTATTCGTTTGATTTCTAAGCATTGTTTCGGAGTTTTCAACTAGATATACATTGCTCGTTCAATCGAAATATACGAGTATCTATATATATATTATGTAATCGTGTATGTGTATATATATAGTTATATATATTATATAGTTTACCGAAAGACGGAAAACTTTAAGTTTATCGAGTAAACTTGGTGATTATCGCATAGAGCGGCGTAAGCGTGAAAAATATTTGACTCGAACGCAATTATTAGATTTTCTCAATGTTCCCGTAAAATAATATTTCGATTTTAGATGAAATTGCTCGTCTCTGGAGCGTATGACCCGCAGTAATAATAACAACAATAATAATAATTGTTATTATTATTATTATTATTGACTCGGGGTCTAGTTATCCCAGCTCCTTTACATGTTTCGATCAAGTTTCACCCGAATAATCTAACGCTTTCGAATTTGTTTTAACTCGTTAAATAGTGTATTGCAGAAATTAATTTCCCCCAGGAAAGACGCACTCTTCTTCCACCAGCTTGGTATTTACCTATGTTTCCGATAGATGTAAATGTCTTCGGGGCAAATACTGATAGTGAAATCGTGCTGACTACATAAAAGTAATTAACCGAAATCCGGTAACTGCTGCCTTTGAAACCCGGCAACCTCAACCACGAATACTCTGCAGACTACAGTGGATACGCGATGACTTGACATTTTAAAGTAAACCAAATAAATTCGTACATCTACACACAATTTATCCTCGGATATTCGTTAATTAAACGGCGAAATGTGATTCAAATAATCTCGAGTTCAGAGTTTGGGCCAATAAAAATAGAAATAACGAAATTCGAACTCGATAAATACATATACATATATATATAAAAATAATAATTTGCCAACCAAAAACTTTTCGAAGAAAGCAACCGGTGCGGCACTGCTATAAAACGTTGCTAAAAACGTCGTCAACGTTCGAGAAAATGTCTATAAGCTGCGATAATAATGAAATACACCACACAAATTGTTTAACTCGATCGTATAGAAATGTCACGTCTCGAGTTGGTACACAATCAACTTGGAACGTTTATTTAGGCGGTCAGCTGCAGAAGTCATAGTGGCAATTGCCCGAGTTCTCTCTCCCTCATATTACTCCCGACGCAGCTCTACCGTGATAAAACTTAATTATTCGCACACGAGTTCGGTGTTTATGTAATTCGATCCGTCTAACACGACTAACTAACTAACGCCATGATTGATGTGTATAATATACAGTATACACATTGCATAAATAGACTGATTTTTCAGAGGAGTTCTTCGTGAAATAATTACAATTTCTCTATCTATTCTATTATATACAACAAAATCACGAAGGAGGATCGAAATAAAAGTAAAAAAACGTTTACAAAGATTTAAAAAAAAAAAAAAAAAAAAAAAAAAATGATATATATAAAAACCAAATGATATTTTTGGCGTCTCTAATAATTAGTAACGAACCAAATAAGAAACCTAACCGTTAGGTAGAGAAATTTGAGCGGATACAGCCAAAAAATTATGCCTTTTTTTCACACATTTTTATCAATGCGTAATAATAACGCACATTATCGCAATGCCTTGATGACAACTGCAGTTACAACGTATGAAAAAAACTCGCAAAACAGATTGTCGACAACAAAAGTGACTTCGTAAATCAAAATGTATATTATTATAATACTCTTGTAGAAATACACAATGAGTTATCAACGTATGTTGCAAAAAAAAAATAAATAAAAATACTAATACGAAAATAATATTGGAAAAAAATCGATATTGTTGCTGTTGTGATTTGTTCCTTTGTAAACCCTTCCCCCCCCCCTCTTCACCTAATTGAATAAACGAAAAACGGCTTTCTACAACATTCGCATTAAAATCAAAGAACCAATTCCCAACAGCGGAGTCATATCGAATGAAAATTGTCGAAGTCATGATGAAACACACAAACACACACACACATACATATACGTTGAAATCAAAATACGTGCCTCACGTAACATCTCTTGGGATTATCGCACTTTCGGTGAACAATACCAATTAAAATATTTCGTCCCGATATTCTGTACTCAATTGTTAAAATATTAACACGACTATTATATTAAATACCTAGTACATACAATATTCTCATTAAAACGATTTATCGAATTTAATATGCGTATATCATCGCGGTCGATCGAATTATTTGTAAGGTTTTTCCTAACCGCCCCATATAATATAATATTATAATTGGTTTATCCGCGTGACCAAAAAAATCACGTTAAAAAAGATTTTAAAAATATTTCCATGACTGAGGACTGAATATTACTATTAAAAGTTAAGATTTTTATTATCTATGTTTTTTTGGACATTGAAATTTGGACTTTTGGTTCTAAAGTACGGGACGTCATAGTTTTGATAATAGTTGAAACGGAACATGTGAATTTTCATACTATGGATCATGTGAATTTTGACATGGGTCAAATGGAGTCAAAAATCACATGATCCAATGAAATTTGTTAGTTTTAACATTTTTAACAACGTTACTCTCCGGGTAAATGTAGACCTGTTTTTATACGTTTTAAAACGAACTAATTACAGAATCGGATTCGCTTTTAAAAATCCTGCAAATTTTATTATATTCTAATCAAATTCATTTGCGTTTATTTGGTACCTATATGATTACACCGTCGTCGTTGTCGTTGGCATAAGTTAAATCGAAACGACTCGGTAAACACTATTTCGTTCTACGGGTACTTGGTAAACACTCAGTTATGTTTATAGATCGATACACGTGACCGACGACTCAACGGTACACCAAAACTACTAAACAATAAGTTAGTTATAACGTTTCACTGTACAATAAGTCACCTAGACAAAAGCGATGCTGTAAGTCACACATACGGGTTTTTATTACGAAACATCAAGACTATCAAACATCTCACCCGCAGATATTTCGTTGATGCCATTCATATTGTTATGAGCAGTGGATTTAATGCATTAAACGGCATTTAAAAATATCCACTCATAAATGCATTTAAAATTTCAAAAAAAACACTAAAATTTGATATTTTTTTTTAATATAATAAACTAATAAAACAATAACACTTCGATAGATCAATAATTGAAAAATAAATGAAATTTTTTGATAAAGTATAACAATAGTCGTACAGCCTGTATAAAATATCTAACAAATTATATAAAAATTAATATAAAAAAAATTGCCTATTGAGGGCAAAATAGTTACGAAAAACTAAATCTAAAATGTCAATAATCCAAAAATTAAAGTTTTAAGCCTGAATTTATTTTTATGTAATTTTTACTTATACTAAGAAACAAACAAATGTTACAGATTCAGACATCTTAGGAGCAAAAGTAGAAAACAATTTCGGAGAGGGGAATGAAAAACGTATCTATCACAATTGGCTTTTTACTTCTGTAAATTCTGTAAATTAATTTATTATTTCAAAATTTAAATATAAATTGCAGGGTAATTTATGTTTCGAAGGGAGTTTGATGTTCCTTAGTTCATTACTGACATCCCTACTTATTAAACGCCTAAAAAAATGCACTGTCGATAAAAACTTGCATGTGCTTTATACAATAAATAAGTACAGTCTAGGGATGATTAATATTATAAAACTAGGTATCTAATATAAACATGTTATCCGGTAGGTACTCATATAACCAACGACAATTGTTTTAGTTTTCTTATCGAACAATTTTAGAAAAGCATTCGTTATTTCGATTGGATAAAAAAAAAAAATAAATATATTGCCAATACCGTAGAAATATTCGACGCCCTATACAGATTTTCGCGAGACTACACGCGATCCGTAATAAGTATTGCAGGGTCTAACCGTTTACCGCGACACGCGTTTTCCCGTTCGAAAATCAAAAACACGCATTTGCGTCCGGTCGAATTTTGGCACGCGAAAGTTTTTATAACGTCCGATTATTTTTGTATAGGTACCTACGTTTCCGGTATAAATTATTGTCGTTTTACCGTTTGTTTTTCGGTGAATTTTTGTTCTGTGTTCAGTGTTGGCCGAGCGGATGAGGGTCTACACGTATAAAACGGGCGACCGTATAACGAGTCAAATCCGTAAAATCCGGTAAATCGTTCCGGCGACGGGCGTTCTATACGCGGGTCGGCTGCGGAGGAGCAGGGTGCGATCAGTCGTCGCGATAACGAGGCTGAACGAGGAGAACGATACTGTCGATAATATATTATACCGGGTGTATAATATACGGTCAGTATAATCGGCGACGGGACCAGACGAAAAGATCGATTGTTTTTATTTGTCAGCTTATATATTTTTATCGATCGAAAACTGCATATAATTTATATATATATATATATACGTTCGGTAATAAACAACGCGTGTCGTATGCGGATGTGTCCGAATATAATATCCTCGCACGCGGAAACCAGTCGACGGAATATAACGACGACAACGTGGACCGTAATATTTCGGTGTAACCTCCAAAATTTACCCCCGTGATATTTAACCGGAGGGTAAAATTTCACTGCAGAGAAATTATACCCTCTCAATAAATTAGCTAAGGTAAAATATCATGAGGGTTAATAATCACTAGTACACGAGAACGTATATGTAAAAAAAAGAGTCAGACATAACTCCACTGTACGTAAGACGCTGATACAATAGGTACACCGTAGAGAAATCGTGGGCAAATCACAACAAACGAAGAACGATATTGAGTGGATAGTTTAGTGGCTAACTGAGGATTTAATAATAATAATATTAAATTCATTTTTCCCCCTAGTTTAAACTAAGATAAACCATAAATAAAAAAAAAAATCCATAATTCAAGTATGAGACCTCCGTATAGAAATAGCTGCGAGACGAGGTCAACTCTCCGACAAGGTTCAAAATTTCAGAAGACTGCGTTTTATTTATATAGATTTCGTCTAAAATCTATGTCTTTAAAATGTTTAGGATATCTATTTCAGCTGAGAATCTAGAAAAATATTTCGAATAAAATAGTTATTACCACCGCTGTGGCCCAAAAATCCGAATATTGTTTTAAGCCTTAAAGATATAGCCGGTTATTATGGTGTAAAAGTTTTTGAACATTATTATTTATACTTAATGAAAAATGTTTTTCGAGAAATAAAACACATTTTAAGAAACCTAATATAGTTCTACTAAGAATCTAAAGTTCGCCTTATTTGTATTATCAATCTGTGTACAGGATCATGAAAAAAAACAGATGTGAGCAATAGGGCCACAATTTTCCTCCAGCCAACTTGTACTCGTAACAATATTTCAGTTTTATTTGATTTTTTTTGTATAATTTATCTATTATAGCTATAATTAATAGAGACAAATTACATTTTATTTTGTAGGGATATATGAAACCCAGTATTTCCTGTGAAACGATGACATTTGAGCATTCAAATAGTTGGTAAAGAAGTTGAAATTGTATACCTCCAAAAGCCATATCCTGAATACTTACACCATGCATACACAAAATTTCATTCCTTGACTTCATTTGGGGAATCTATAGCAGTGTAAAAATCTTTTTAAAAAAAAAACCTCCTTCCGCAAAAACATGGTGAAATTCAACCAAAATTTGATTACTCCAATCCACCTATAAAACAACTCTAATTCCCGAGTTTGAGGTCAATTGGTCCAAAAAGAGTATCGAAGTGTCCAAAAATGGAGGGGAAAAAATATAACAGTGTATCTGCTGTATTATGAATGCAGTGAAAAAAAACCCGCACATAAATCGACAACTACGTATGTATGCTTATACGATTATCGCTTTTTCCCAAAACGTTTATAAAATAATAAATATTATAAGAAGGATAAACTCGTTTTAGCCACGATATATCGCGCGCGCGTATATGCTGTTCTCGACCATTTCGGAGGAATTTAAAAATATATTATTGATTTGTTATAGATAGAGAAAAAAAACCGAAAACAAACGCGTCCCCCCCGCCCTCGTAGACATCGCGCCGCGAAATTTAACGATGCCGATCGTAAAGTCGTATAAAACGCACGTTTCCGTGTACACCACCACAACAGAAAATTCGACGCTCCACTCAATAATAGTCACTATACCTACCTTTAACAAATTACTTCGAAAGGCGAGAAATACTTGGAATTCTGTAGAATATAATACTAACACACGAGTACTGGACGAGCCAAACAATTCTAAAAATGCGCTGTCGAACTGTACGGATACTCTACACGAATTAAGTAATAATTATCGAAAGGCTAGTTGATGGATTTTCCACTGTTGTGGTGGGAAAGTTGGGATGGTAGGAAACATAGAGCTATTTTATTTATACACAACGATAAACTTTTGCTAATGAAAAACGATTCTAAGCCGAGCTTGATTAAGCAATTCTTTAAAAAAAATTACATTAAAAACATATATTAAGTCACAAATTGTAAGTATAAAACAAAAGTGTCCACGAATTACTCCCTCTATATCACCACCGCACCCACACAAGTAACCACCGCCACTGCTGGTGTTATACACTGCTACCCTCTACACTATTTTTTTTTGCATAATATTAATATTTAATAAACATTTAATTATATCTTTAGTTTAAAAAACCAATATTGACATTTTATAATTACAAACTATTCAATCGTTGTTCCCATAACAGAATAAAAACTGTTTGAATGTTTTTTTTTCATTGCCGAATAAAAACTATTCAGATATCAAATATCGAATAATTCTGTTATAATAATGATTATAAATAATAATAATGTTAACTATTTGATTTAACCCCACAGAAACAACATACCTATACAACTGGAGTATTTTTTTTTTACTCGCAAACCATATATGATATGAGTAGTGCAGTCTTAATAACAACTTTAATATTATAAAATGATATACATATTATTTTATCTAAACAACTAAATAGGAATCAAAACAAATATCTAAACCACATAAACACTGCTATATTATCGTCCAACGTTATAAAATATCCAGGAATATTCAATTTGAGGGGAAAAAATAATAATCATGGTTCATGAATGAATCGTATAATATATTTTATTATAATTTATACATAACCCAATGAGAATTTAAAAGAAGGATACAAAAAAAAAGTCTATTCAATAAATCATCCGTTTTACCTTGAAACATTGCTAAAATATATAACTTATACAATTATTAAATAAATACTCATAGTTGTTGTAATTTTAAGCCAATAGGGGGAATATAAACACAAAAATCCACTCCTGCGCACCCAAAGGATTGTACGCTATATGGAATAATGTCAACAATAATAATATTCAACACAACTAAACACGTATAATAATAATAATATATATATAAAAAAACATCTCTCGAAGAAATGTGTTATGATAATCTTGTTCTCAGTATAATACAAATTGTTAACGACACGACTTGAAAAAAAACTGCTACAGAATAACACTTGAAATGAAGTAGCTGGTATGTACAATAAAGCGACATATACGAATAATACTAATGAGTACAATAATACATTTCTTAAAGTATGAAATACCTAGGCACTCTTATTTTTTAAAAAAAGTCATATTAAATTAATTGTGTATTATGCTCTAACATAATAACATATTATTTTTTAGTGATGAAGTTATTTCAGCTCACATTTGGAATACGACAAATAAGAATAAAATAAAAAGAATAGAGAGAAAGAGAGAGAGAGAAAGAAAAATAGAGGAATAGATACTTAAAGTCCGCATTTTTACGGATCGTAAAAAACAAAAATAATAACACAAATAAATAAGAACATTCATGTTAAAAATTTCGCGATAATATGTATATAAGCAACGGTTATTCTTAATTATTCTGACATAAATGGTCACGTCCAATTAATGAATAAATTTGTAACGTGTCAGATAAAATTAATTTTCTTGTTTTTTGTTTTAACGTTTGTTTTATTATTGTATCGACCTACCCCATCTATACATTATAAACGCAGGAAAAAATATAATTCAAGGAGATTTGTATTAAATTTAAAAAAAAAATTGTTTGTACATAATTATATTACTATATAGAATAAAACTATAATATTGTAAAATTGTTTTCAAATTAAAAAAATAGTACAGATTATGTGGTATAAATATTCACAAATGCAGTATAAATTAATATTTCTAGACACATAAATGAAATAGTGAAACAATATTAATACAGCAAGTTTATATGTATTATTACTCAATAATAATATTAGCACCTATTTAGATATTTATTAGGAAATTTAAAAAAAATATACTTCAGTAGATTTAAAAATATAGAACTTTCAGTTCTGTTAAACACTTAAAGGTTTTGTTAAATTGAAATTAATTTTTTAATATTAAATAGCTAAAACAGACTTTTTTTTTTCAGGGGAAGATCGGGCAGCTAGTATATTATATAAATATTGTACACATTTTGAATAAATTATCTAATTCGATCAATTAATAAATGATAAACTATTTAAAGTATAATTTATGTATAAATGGAAATAAAAACCTCCAATTGAAGATGTCCACATAATATTATAGAAATTTAATAAATATTGAATTTTATCCGCTATGTGTATTTCTACAGCAGTTAAAATTCCGTGCGTTTCTCTGACATCTAATTCGTGAAAAGATTGTTTTTTTTTGTTACTAAGTGGACGCGACGTATTATTATCGCGATAAATGTATAATATTTATAAGTATAAGCAAGACGATTATGCAATTTTAATTTAAAATGTATACGAGTTTTGTATAATATTGAGAACAAAATATTTAATATCGAATTCATTCTGCAAGTCGGACGTGGGACGTTCTATAAACAATATTGTGTATGATGTAAAAAGAATCGAAATAACGCCGTAGCCTTTCGATCAATGTACAGTATAATGTATACAGTCAATTTGTGTGAGCATAACATTCCGGATAAATGCGTAATACTCTCTCTCTCTCTCTCTCTCTCTCTCTTTCTATATAATGGCGTACGCAGGATTTTTCAATGGGGAGGGGGCTTGAAAATTTATAATTAATCAGTTGTTTCGTCACAAACTTAAAAAATAATGTAAAGCAGTAGATGCATTCTTAGTTCCGATTGATAATAAACTTAAAATATACACAAAAAAAATGAAAAAAAAAACTTTTAGCTGGTAAAAATAAAAATATTGGGCAGTAAAACACAATTTTTAAACTAGTAGAGTATTAAAAAAGCCAGAGATCAACCAAAATTAAAATTTTGTGAATTGTGAATTGCATTATTTACCATTTTTATTTTCAAATTAAAAATCGAACAAAATTCTATATTTTTACAGTCATAATGAACACTTAAACAGTTATTTTTAATGTGCAAAACTATGAGATACGTTTTATACGAATACAATGATGAAAAACCTAAGTATACAAAATTATATTCCTTTGACACACGAGTGAAATAAATAAAAATAAAATTATCTACATAAATGTTTTTCATTAATTAATTAATTAAAGGTCATATTATTATTATCTACAATATCCGAGGGCTAACTTAACAATGCGTTAATTGTTGCCTGTTGGTAACATCAGTTTATTAAGTTCAATATTGTAATCATAGATAGTATCTAAGGATGTGTGGCAGTCCGCGTATGCACGATAACGCCAACCGGCAAAATTATAATAATAACAAAACTATTGTTTATAACGAGAATCACCACAGTTAGAAAACAATAATACACTTAAAAACTTAATAATATCTTATTCTGTGATAATATAGTAGTATGATATTGGTGTTTAAATTAAATTATTTATTTACAAAAATTATGTGTTTTATGAAAAAGAGTCCTTAGTTACTAGTTATCGTTACATAAAACTACAGAGAAATCAAAAAAGGCTTTCTTAATCACGAACTAGATTAATAATTCAACAAAGAAGTCTTCCGTTCTTTTTCTATTAGTGCAATATCTATGGTAGAAAACATAAGCTGTAATAATTTTAAATAATGAAATCGTTGCACCGTAATTTGAAAATTTTTTTTTTTGTATCTGTAAACAACTTTTATGACAGAGTATACATTATAGCGCCTTTTCTGAAATTTTCCTTCGTTGCTGCGTTGAGAAGGGCATTTTTGATTTTCTAAGGTGTTTTCATAATAAATGGGAAAAACCAGAAAAAAACGTAGGAAAAACGGGATAATTTACGGAATGTATTACTTTCAAATCGTGTTTATTACGGCCTTTTAAAACACTTACAACCGAACTCCGTTCAGAATCATGTTTCGTTATCAATGATTAATCATTACGTACAGATATACATTAAATTTCCTCTCTAATTTTCCAAGTTCTCACATACAACAGTGACCCACCCATCGTGCGAAGTATATCGGTATATTTCTTAAAGTTTGAAATTGTAATAACATTTCAGACAACAATTAGTAAATCTATTTGTTAAACTTTCAGATGTAAAATCTGACCTATAATATACAGGCCCATAATTTACTATTTTGAGCGTTCTAACAACAATCGATCTTACAATAAGAATGATGCATATATCATAATATGCATATATTATATGGTGCAATAACGAATCAGTAAGTCCATTAGTCGTTACAGAACGATTATGCAATCCTTTACGTCCAACGCCCTTATAGATGCATTATTTAAAATAACTAGTCAAGAATATATACAGGCTGTCCCACGAAGATATACCTCTTGAATACCTTCGGAGATAATATAAATAATCAAATTCTATTTTTTTTTCTACATTACTCACATGAATGAGGACTACAAATATTTTTATTTGAATTAAATTTTTTTTATTGTTGAAAAAATAATTTTTTTTTTTTTATTATTTTCGGAAAATGTTAAGATAGCCATTCGGTATAATTTATTTGTCTGATAACCAATGTTATCTTGGGAATAGCCTAACTGTGTTACACGATGACAGGTTTTCACACCGATTGGAATAATTTAAAACGGCTGTTAGTTAGAAAATATTTATCGGATATAAATGTGTGATACAATAAAATTTTCAGACAAATAAATTCTATCGAATGGCTAACTTAAAATTTTCCGAAAATAATAAAATAAAAAGTTATTTTTTTAATAAAAAAAAAAAAAATTAATTCAAATATTTGTAGTCCTCACCCCTATGAGTAATGTAAAATAAAAACAGAATTTGATTATCTTCATTATCTCCGGAGATATTCAAAGGGTATATCTTCGTAGGACAGCCTGTATATCTGCAATAATTCCTATGAAAAACAGTCAGAGTCAACATATAAATTATAGCCATTTTCAAAAATATCTAAATATTATCAACATTGAAGACAGCATATATATATATATATATATATATATATATATATACACTCAATACACTCACTATACATACATATTCATATAGAGGGTTAAATAAACTTCATGAGTTAAACAAACGGTCCATAAATATTTAAATTCCGTTCAATATTATTAGGGAAAGGAATTTTATATGTTTACATGTTTACACTGAAGAGTACAGCTAGCTGTATACTATATATAATAATATTATATAAGTAGATACGTTATGGATTATTACATTATTGTAGTGTTTAAAATGTAGTAAGTTCTTTATCCTATCATATTGGATTAATTCCATTAAACGATATATTTATTACTTCAAATTTAATAAATATATAAATTATTTATTTAAAAGGGTACATATTATGAGTAATCCCCTATATTTAATAATAATTTTATATAGTTAAACGGAAGCATATTTTGTTGCGTTATTAAAAATCGTATGGATTAGATGTAATACATAATGTTTAGTGTACATAATAAATCATAACATCGTTAGGTATTCGATTTATTCGGTTTTGCGAATACAATATATTTTATTTATACGAAAAAGATAAATATTCCAAATTGTTCAGTGTATACAGTGGCGTACCCAGAAAGGGACTAATGAGGCTTCAGCTCCCCTCCCCTGTTGGCCGTGTTAAAGTTTAAACAAATAATATAAACTATTCAACAGCGAAAACTTATTTCTAATAAAATAATAATCATTGTACACAGGAGCGTAGTGGCCATATAATTTACTATCCTAAAAGACCAGTTATCAACTTTAGAGGGCCATAAAGCGTTTGCGCATTGTTTGTTTACCTGTACCAAATTATCGTACATCATATGCGCATCAATATACCGAACAATAGAAGAGTGTAAAATAATATATGGACACAATTTTTTGTTAAATAAGCATTTAAAGTTCAATTTTTGACAAAATTTATAAAAATTTCCACATTTTATGTATAATTATTCTATAGTTAAAAATTTAAGATTTAATTAAGCTATTATATATTTGATTATTTGAGTAAAAAATAATTAAAAATAACTTGTGTTCATTTGAATTAGGCAAATTATAGTCATAGTTAAAATATAAAATAAATACATAATATAGTTTCAGTAAAAATGAATTGATAATATGTTAATAAATAAATATGTAAATTAATTAATCACTGAAAATAATATTATGTAGCAATGCTTGGTATATTGTAATGCCCCATTATTTTTAAAAAATGAAAACTAACTAAGTCATCTACACAATTACGGTATTACGGTACATAATCTATATTTTAAAACAGAAATATCTATACAATATTTGAAAATTGAATAGTAAATTTAGAGATGTGTGAATTTTAAGCTTAGTTAAGTTAAGTTAAATTAACTTAAGTTTTTAGGTAAATACACTTTTTTTCAGTCCTATTGCTAAATAATATTGATGCACAAACGATGTATAACACAAAAATCGAACGATGCGCAACTGTCTCACGAAAAAGGTCAAAATTAACAATAGTGATGAGATGGGTCCTGTTTTTGTTTAGTCGGTGTATCGAAGAGGTAATTTTTTTCGATTTTATGTCAGCTGTTGTAATTTGATGAAAAATAATCATAGAGACATGTCATTTTTACTGAAAACCTACTTATAGTAGCATTTTTTAGGCATGGAAAAATTGTTTAAATATTCTGGAATTTTTTTCATTATTAATAACTGTTTAACATTTTTAAAAATTTATTTGATTTTATGTGGATAAAATGTCGTTGGTTCATACAAAGACTAAAAAATCCAGGACGAGGTTCATCATAAGTTCTACTTAGCGGTAAAACAAAAAGTTAAGCGTTATTTAGTAATTTATTTTTACATGCATTTTAAATTTAAATTTATAATAAAATGCATAGGAAAAAAAAACAAATAATTGTAATTTATTTTGTAGTTACAAATATTAATAAAACCGACAAGAGTCAACTTAACAAGAGCTGCCGTAATCTTTGGAACAATGGGCCAGATATTACCCAATTCATCTCACTGATTGCATAATTGCACTAACTGCTCAACTAAGAATTCTCTTTTAGAATTTTCTTTTAAAAAAAAGAATTATTATAAAAAATGTAAACATATATTACTTGAATTATCATACATAAAAAGTAGGTTGCGGATTATAATGCAAATTGTATTTTTTTCTGAATGTCTTAAACTAATGTTTTCCAAGCACGAATTTTGTTTTAGATATCAAAAAATTAAAATATGAAACTTTTTTTTATATTTTAAAAACATTTTTTAACATGTTAACTTTTAAGTGCATTTTTAGGTTTTTTAGGTTTTTATTAATTTATAATGAACCTCCTGTTTAATTGTCAAGCATTTCTATTTGGTCTAACAATTTTATCCACAGAGTACCTACCGAATTAATATTACGTAAAAAAACTCGCAAAATTACAATGTCTTTATAAATGGTTTAAAAATGGCTTAAATGATTTTAACATTTCACCACATCTATAACAGGTAAATATAAAGTTTCTGTCTAAATGTCAAGTCTCTACGAATATTGTTCACTGAATTATAGCAAAAAAACAAAATTGAAAATAATAAAAGTCATTTTTTCGTGAAGTATCACATCTTCTCTATGTTTTTTCGCTTGAAAAATCAAAAAATTACTTTCTTTAATTATCGCCCGGGTCAAATTTTCTTTTGGAAAAAAAAGTGCTACACTTGAAAATCGGAGTAAAATTTCTAGTAGAAAAGTTGTTCATAGAAAAAAAATAAATATAAACATCTATAACCAATACATTCCTCGTTCAACTCAGTATCGAAAAACGGAGGACTATCAAATGGTTGACTGAGTGTAGGTATAATTTGTTTTTATTTTTTATAATTTGATCGCAATATTGGCACAATTAGAATGTTCAAAAAATTCGTAAACTCTCGTTATTAACTCGAAGGGCTACACGACTTTCTAAATGTCGTCTATGCCATTTTTCAGGCGTTTGTTGAAATCTATCGATCATCAATTACATTTTAAAACCGTATACGATATCACATTTAAAATTAAACGGAGATCGAATACAGAAATGATTTTAAAGAGAATATGATACTTTTCATTTTCTCATTGGACGGTTTAGATAATGTTCAATATGTTATATTATATACCACAATTTCCGTGCACCCTAATTGCCTTTTTCTGAATTTGAAAATATTATTTGTACTTGTATTGGCTTTACGCCAGAACTATAAAAGAAACGTCAAGAAGGACGATCATTTTTGAAACTCACATACTTTAAGGAATGTATTTAAGTTGCTATTTTACTTACTATACACTCAGTATGGTTTATTACGAAAATATTATCATGATTTTGTTAGTATACGAGTATATTAGACTCAAGAAATATTTGCTATTTTCTATTTTATTAATCTGTATTTGTAAAATAATAACAATTATTTGTCTAGTCTAAAACCATTTTTGAAGAGAATAACCATTTTTACAATTCTATGCTATTTGATTTAGTATCATAGTATGTATTACAAGGTTTTTACACATTTTGCATTCAAGGGAACATGATCTGTTTTTTCCTAAAAACATGCTTTATGGGGTTAACACTCCTGCCTCGTAGAGTGGTCTAATTTCGAACAATTTTTCTATTTATTTATTTTTGGATACATAACTATACTTATACAGGGTTTAGACTAAGATTTTGAAAAATTATAATTCCAAACTCTTTAATTAAAGTTTAAAATAATTTCATTTTACTTTTTTCTGTTTTTTTTTTTTTTTGTGGTTTTTAGTTATATACTCAAAAATTGAATGCACCTGTAAAAATTTGTCCTTGGGAAATTAGACGTTTTTACTAGGCAGGAGAATTAACCCTGTAAAAAAAAAAAACAGACCCCTTAACATAAAAATGCAAACTGATTGAATTTTTTGTTAAGAATTATTAAAACTTTTTTAAATATATAAATGTTAACAATTTGTTAAAAACCACGATCAGGACGATTTTTTGATGAGAAAACCCGAACAAAAAGCGAGTGTATACAGTTTCAGTTTGTACTTAATTGTTCCGCTGTCGTCGCTTCTTATACGTGTCGTATGGACCAAAAAATATTTTTCTAGGTTAATGCGAATTGGAGTAAATAAATCATTTCGAACGAATCTCGCGATCATGAGCACGTCTACTATTGTATTCGTGTTCATCACGCGGTACATCAAAATGACGAAAATATATTTAGAATACGCGCTTTTCGTCATCATCGCACGCCTATGGAAACATAATATATTAGCTACAGAAGAATAAAGTAAATTTCAAGTGCCGTCGTCGTCACTCGTCAGTTGTATTTCACGGTTTTAACATAAACGTTAATACGCTTACAAAATATGTTTACCTAGTTATATATCACCTTTATATTTTCAAAACAATAATCAGTATCGATATTATATTATATACGCAAGAAAATATCCATATCAAAATTCATATACTGTCATTAAGCGTCTTTACATAACCTATTCGAGTTCAGCCCGAGCCGAAACGTAATCTAGTTGGTTTTCGGAGTTATACGAAAAATGATCTACATGTTGGGTCCAAATCTGATACAACTCCGAGAAATTTAGTTTCCTAAGTCTAAACGTAGAAACTACTAAATCGATGAAAAGCCACGACGGGGTTGCGTAATTTTACATCGCATAGACCGAAGTCTGTTCGGGACTGTAAATTCGCTACCAGTCCCCTCCCCTCCAGACAAAAAAAAATTTATTGTGTTTTTCGTGTTTTAATAACTGCAGTTTGTAAAGAAAAATCCTTCGGTACCCGAAATATATAGCAGTGGAAATAATTTTAAAGTCTAGCACAATGTATGTCGATTTTTTTTTTTTTTTTTGATTTTTCTACTAAACTATAATATGTTACATGTACGTAATGAAGAACCGGAACGATATACGAGAATTATTACATTTAATAAAATATAAATTATAATAAGTACACAATAAAATAATTACACGTCTCCGGAGTGCGATTTGAATCTTCTTCCGTATATTTTATTATAGAGGAAGAATAGTATATAACAAAGTTGCGCTGTATCTGGCATTCGGCCGATTTATACCGCGAGAACCGTACAATTTCATCGTCATTTATATCGACTACTATAATATAGTACTCGTGTTATGTAATCTCGTTGCAGAATAACGGTCCCGTTTAATATTTTATTGCCGTGGAAATAAAAGAAAATTGAGACCGTTAAAGATACATATTGCACTGTACGAAGTAGGTAGATAACAGTTTCGAGGGAAATGATTGCCAGCTGTATATTATTATAATAGCTGCAGCAGGGTGCATTGCGATTTCACAGAATCTACCGTCATTTTAATAATAGGCACCTGCCTACGCGATTGCACATTTTCGTTGACGGGCCAAAATATTTCGGTAAAGAAATTATTATTTTTTTTTTTTTGTCATATCGTTCATCTGTCTATAGTATGGTCGTCTTTAAATTATTCTATTATTCTTTAACCTTAGTATAGCATTGTCAGTGGCGTGCCCAGGAATTTTTATTACGAGGGGATGTAACAAATACAAATCTTGAATAAAGAGTAAAATCGTCTTCTCTGCCCAACTCGATTGTGGGAATTGCTAATTTAAAAACCAAATACAAAAAAAGAGCCAATTTCTAATCAAAGCATCAAGCTTTTCCTTATAACTTGTCTAAAATTCATGTATTTAAGATAACTCATATTTTTTTGTATTTATAAGCCAATGGGGAGGGATATAACCCCTGCGCACGCCGCTGAGCATTGTCGTTCAATAAATAATGATTCTTTGATCTGTTTTAGCGAATACAAATTATATGGTTTTTATAAAATAAAATAAAATATAGTTCATTATCATTATGATTACTGAAGTATAGTATTATATGAATATCTGGATCAGATAACATTACAATTATATCAATAGTACAAAAATATATTCTCGAAAGATTATTATAAAACGATAGAGCTTTAAACGACCGATATTACATTTCTGCGAATTATGTTCCTAGCTGGGTTTTCACTTTCTTTTTTTTTATAATAACTTTTCGTTTATTTTCACTGTCCCCGTGAAACGGTCCATTTTATTAAACTCGAGTTCAAAGACGATAATATTGAGGTATCCCGTAGCTATTGAAATTTTTTTTTTCGCAGCGAAGCATATAATGGAGTTTCTATACAGTAAATTCTATGGGACACTATATGTATAGGTACAATACAGCAGTATACTGCATTATAGCAGATCAAAATAAATATATATTTTTTCCTTTGCATGTAGTACAAATGATTGTAAGATTTCAATCGAAAATAGTTTAATGTCGATAACAATGTAATATATTTATGCAATTTGGTAATTTAAATAAGAAAGATATCCAAAAACAGTTTAAAAAAAAATATGTTATAATGGTAAAACCTAGGTACTAGAAAATGACATGTAATATTAATGAACCAACCGTATAATAGTCGGTCGTTATACTTGCAAGTTTAGGCTACTAACCATGATTAAGTTTTTTAGATTTCGAGTCGAGCAAGTATAAGGACACAGAAAAGCCGAGAAAAACATTTCTACTGCGTCAAAGTTTCCTTATAGTCTCTTAAATAAAAAAGTTAACGATAATTTAACAAAAAATAAGTATGCCTAAGAACCAGAGATTAAACTAATAATCTAAAAATACCTACTCATTTACTATATTATTAAGAAATTTACCATTTATCATCCAAAATCAATAATATAATTTTTAAATCATTGTTTTTATTTGTTGGCTTCATAATTATTACAGGTTTGTTTTATATAATGTATTTGATTATGGCCGTTTATATCTTTGATAAAACAAACTCTAAAAATCGGAATCTCCAGTAATTACTCAAGAACTATTTGAATACATTCATCTTTCAGATCGACATTATTTATTTTCTCTACAAAATAATTATTAAGAAATACATTAATTAGATTGAAAATACTTAATTAACGAATAAATATTCAAATACGATAAGTCAATATACGGTTGAAAAATAAATAAAATGGACGATTTTTGTTTCCATCAAAAAGTTTATCATAAGTTCCTTTGGGACTGCACCCGTATAACTTCTTTATGAATAATTTTCAAGAAACTTGACTAACCAAACTGGGATGTTGAATTATGTTATTTTTATGAATTTTGCAATTTTCGATTGCTTATTAATTTAATTGGTTTCATCGTGACTAAATTACGAAATTTCGTTTTACTTTCTTTCCTTTTTTTTTAGTAATTTCTATTTTTTATTTATCTTTTTTCTTTTTTTTAATTTAAAAATATTTCAACTCCTTTTCTCTTTTATAGTACACTATGGAAATTAAATATTTTTAAATTAGTTTTATAAAACTAAAATAATATATTCCATTTTTTTTTCTTTTATCAACATTATGCACTTAACGCTGCAATAATTTGTATAAAAATAATTATTATTTAAAATTAAACGGTCTGTGTATATAGGGTACCCTAAGTATTATCCGAATGATAATAACTCTGTTAATGTTCATTTTTTTTTTTGTCATCGTTTAAAATCCGATTGATAAAAAATTTGTTTTAAAAAAATGTTATTGGTATTCGGATTACATTGCATGTATTGGCTAATTTATATTTCTTGCTGAGCTCAGAATCTAATAAAACAAATTACTATTACTATGTAGCATATTGTATTTCTGTTATTTTTTGGAAGAAAAAAATTAAATTAAACGCTTTATTTAAACTATATAGTTAACAGTTTCTAATGTTTTACATATTTAGTTTAATTATACTCATATGCATAGGTACCGTTTCTGGTAAATTAATTCAAGCGTATATTTATCTATTTATTCGTTCTCGTCGTTTTCGAACTAATACTCGTTAATAATTATTCCGACATTAAATCAACTATGTATATATTATTGTGCTACCAACTGATATAGGTAGGTAAAACCATTAATTATAAATAATAGTATTATTACTATTATTTATAATCAATGGCAGAATTATTTGAGAATAAATAAATTGATAAATTTAATAGTAATAATATTATTGTTCAGGTGAGGTATAAAACAGGAAAAAATTATTAGCAAATCAAAACCAAATTTAAATTTGAAATTACAAATCCGTAATATGATAATATGATCGTCGAAGATTTAATATTACTTAGTATTAGTTAAGAGTAATGCGGATGAATATTAAAGGGTGTCTTCCAAAATTCAGCGATGTTCAACCTAAATTCCAAAACACAACGGTTTGATAATATTTTATTGGTGCATATCTTATTCCAAATGTTTCCAACTAAATTTCCATAGAATCCAATATTACCGATTATTCTGACCGACATCCCGATCAGTTCTTTTATGTTCTTATCACAGATGTGAAATATATATATGGTTCTTATTCGCCGTGATTTAAATTTATGCTCCAAGCATAAGGTGCCTATTATACTTGATAATAAAGGGAAAATATTGCAACCATCTGATCGGGGACCCTTTTTCAAACTCATACAAATAGAATCCGTTTATGGAAACTGCACCTTTCACGCAGCTTTTCACATAATAAGAAAAAGTCGTATTCTTAAAAATAATCCATAGTCGAATCAATTATATTAAATAAAAACTTTCACACGATTACTTCGAATCACTTCTAAGCAGGTGTAAATAGTTTTTCGTAAACGAATCCTTGGCAAGTCCAATATTAAAAGTACAGTGAATGGCACAGTTAAAACTCGTGTTAGAAAATATATAATTTTTTATTGCTACGCCATAATTTATTATATTATATACTTAAATATAATATGAACATACGGTCTTAATATAGTTATTTTATATTTATAATAGGCCTAGGATTTATATGCAATAAAAAATGATAACATTTATAAACATGCAAAATAAAAATGTTATCATTTTCAATAGAATAATACGAATCGTGAACATTACTCACTAAAACAACATTTGGACGTAGGAAAAAAATATACAGTTGCATATAAATCCAAGGCCTGTTTATAAAATATATAAAATGGATATAGGAACTTTCGCCGTTGTTCGTTTTGCTGACGGACCGATTCGCCGCCGAACATTTCAGGAACATCTAAAATTATAGTCTAAAAAACCAACGGGGGCTATTGAATTATTAACTAAACAAATCGGTACGGTGCACCAATGTACGCGATGTGGCAGTGAAATGGCGAAACAGACGACAGCACTATGGTGGTCAGTTGCAGCGATACGGACAAGATAGATAATATTTAATTTGATATACCATTCTACACATCAGTACTTCAGAGCACAAACAGAAAATCGCTGTACATTGCACAATATTAAATATTGATTGTACCTTTATTAATGTACAGTAATTATACTCGATTTAGTGATTGTTGATTGATAGTTTAGATTTTGAGATAATACAAATACATTTTAAAATAAAATATCACGCAATATTAACTTAAAAATGGTCTTATCCATTATTCAAATCAAATATATTGCGCCGTTGTCACATTCGTTCAATGAGGATCATGTTAATGGGAGGGAGAGGGACAGTATGAGCATTTTCCCGAAGCGCCATAGCTTTTTAAAACTATGTGGCACCCGGTTCAATATAAAGCTCGGAATAAAATTAACAATATTATTATTATATTAATTGTAAATTGTTTTATTTTAAAATTCTTGGCTTAAAATAATAATGCAAATTGTTTGGTGACTACGTGGAAGTAAAATGTTGATATTGAATATGAATTTAATAAAATGGTAAATAAAACAAAAAATTAGGGAGATTACCCCCCTCCCCCCGGTAAAGCTCTAAGAGGGGGCCATTTAAATATTGGTTCCCCTGGGAGTCAAATGGCTTTACACGGCTCTGCATTCAATGTAATAATATTCACGTTTAGTGGAACGAAGATTCGTTTATTACGGATATGCGTAGTTTGATTTTTAAAATGTAATTTTTCATTCGTATACGAAAATATAGAGAATAGTGCATATACGAGTTCAATTCGAAGAAGTTTAAGAATGGGGCCCCAAATCATGTTCCATTATCCAACGCAATCTAAATATTTTTGTGTCCAACAACGTTCCAACAGATCGATCGTTTATTTGAATTGTGTTAGACAAGGTAAGCTAAATATTTTTATCATATAATGAAGCTAACACGTTATCAGCCAAAATAAAAATACTCTCGGACCGCTGGTTTTAACGCGTTTATGTTATTTTAATATTATAATTAATTAGAATAATGTGTACCGGACTCGGGCTCGGTTATAAGTCTAACCTATATCATACCTATAACCTACACTGGACCGTGATTAAGTCGTTCGCAAATTAAAAAACCGTCCGAATTGTATACGCCGCGGCGGGCTCGCGAGTACATAATTTTACGCGGGAGTTTTTAATTAAAAGTTGTTATTAAATTTAATCACGCCCGCCAGGGCAAAGAAAATACCGCGGCGGCTAGATATTATTATTATTATGAAATATCTTAAATTTCACCACGGCGGCTCTAATAATTCGGAAATTAAATCCGGCGTAAACTGCTCACTCGGAGGCAACGGTGGTGGCGTTACCGGGAACGGGATCGCACACAAGATAAAGAGAGCCTTTCCGTAACCTGCACTCCGTCTACCTATCTACCCGTCCAGCCACCTAGAAGCCCACCAAACACTGTGTGCGCAGCTGTTTTATCTGCCGAGAAATGGATGAGAACCGTGTATAGAATTACATCGGCAATATCTGCCGGATAATATACATTACAGTTATTACCGTATCAAAGCTGGCCTGCAATATACGATACCGTGATATTCCTCAATTCCTTCACAAAACAAATAGGTACTGGTATTGAAATCTGTGTGTGTACAAATAGAATTATGGTAAATATCACAGACCTAATTTTTAGTTGGGTGCGCAATATTCGAGGTGTAACTACAGTCGATGTTTAGACTGTTCCTTGAGTGGCCCTGCAGAGTGAGACCGTAACGTAGAAAGAAAAATGCAAAAGTTGGAGGAACAAACTTCTTAGATAAAGAAAAACCGTGAAAGAAACGATGGACAAATGGGACAAGATGTAGAAACAATGATGATGGAAGCATTGGTAATTTAAATTCTAAAAAAGATGGATAAATTTCGCACGGGGGCTGAGCCATTGTTGTAGGTGAGAAGTTAGGACATAGGAAGAATTTTATTTCTATCTGTACGCAACGATAAACCATTGCTAACGAAAAACGAGTAAAAACAAATATTCTTTTATACGTGCACGTAAATTTTCCCGTTTTCCCTACGATTTTCCGGTTTTTCCCAATCATGGGAAAACCGCTTAGAAATCAAAAAATAACCTTTCTACCAACTAGATAAAATTTTCTTTCAGAAAAGGTGCTATACTTGATACACCGGAGCAAGATTTCTGGTATAAAAGTTGTTCACAGAATAATAAATCGCTACGCTCCGAATCTAAAATATGAGAAACAAAATTCATAATATTATATAAGTACTTAGGTTTAAGTACTTGATTATATTTATCACATTTTGTATTCATCATTGTATTGGATTTGATACCTATCCTAAAATATATAGCCATTATAGGTTGTTAAATAATGTTTACTAAATATATATAAGTACCTAATTTAATTTTTATAAATTATTCAGAACATTAACACATCACATGGTAACAAAATAATAAAGGTTAATTATGATACTACTCAACTACTATGATAGCTCTCGTTATACTCGGGTTCTTATTTTAATAAGTAAGATTTATGAGATAATTTTGGCACGTTTCATCAATATCACTATTGTCATCCATTTCACTCATCCTAATCATTTCATACCGTGTTTTTAAACACCTTTTTACTCATATCATTCGTCTCATTTCATTTACTGATATCACTTATCTAGAACACCTAAAGGCTTAAATGCATGGTTTCATCTTATCTTATCTTATTTCGTCACTCTCACTCGTCATAAAAGAGCCTCCCCCCCAGTCAAGACCGCGAACATATAATGGCCTCATTTGGTAGTCTTATCGTTACCTATAGATAGAAATGACGAATTGGACGGTTAGAATCCAGAACCCGGGACAATTGGGAAACACTACTAACGGTAGGGTATCGAAATTATATTTTAACCAATCGTAAGACAGTAAAAATTTAGAAAACAAAACGAAATTATATGTATACAATAACCAATAGCATTGTTCGAGTGTGCAGACGACTGCAATATAACACACGATCGGGTAAAGTATCACGATTATATAAAATAATTAATTGTACACCGCTAATAATTAGTAATATATTATGACACAGAGAGATTTTCAAGCATTTCAACCGCCCAAAAGTGATTTCGAAGTCGAATTAATTATTATACGGTTGACCACCGCCTTTTATACACCCGACAAAAAATCTATTAATTCAATTCAATCGCTATTCCTATAGAATACTCGAAGGAGCGAACGTAGGATGCAAAAGTCACATTGATTTTAGTGTTGAAACGAAAAAATCAAGACTCTGTTCAAATGGATTTGAATACCTGTTTGATATACCTATAAATACATAAATACGGGTGAATTAAAAATTTTCATTTTTACAGTGGTATAGTGAGAAATGGTTTTTTGGGTAAGCTTGATGTGTTTGGATGAGGAAGACTAATCAACTATTTTTGATTTTAAAAATTGGTTACTGAAAAATAATAATTAGAAGTTTTGACTAAATTAAACATAAAAATATTACAATATTTATATTTACATGCATAATATCAGAACTTCGATCAATAACCAATGAATGCGTTCAGATAAGCAATTTTTAAAAAAAAACTTCTCGTCACTAAGGTACTTCTAAAATGTATTTTTTCGTTGCTTTAACAATTAATGAAACATATTAATAACATATCACAGATATATTGAACACTTATTTTTGAAAAAAAAATCGGATAGCCTCTGGGATTAGATTTACCATGCTTTTTTTTTCTGTCTGTAATACATTTTCCAATCAGGCATTTTGATACAAACATCGAGGAGTGTTTTCTGGTAGCAAATGAGAGCCAGTAGGTGCACTTAATGGAGTTAGTTTTTTTTTTATTTTTCCTTTTCGTTTTCTAACGGTTTCATTATTTTTGACTTTGTTTATTCGTTGAAATTCGTTTGAATTCTAGAGATCTAACATTTTTACAGAATATTAAGAATAACTTTTTCTTTACGTACGTGGTCAAATTTTAAAAAAATGTTGGCGATTCATTTTTATTACTAGTTGGCAATTGACGATTTCAAATTTTGTTTTTAGTTTTTAGTTGCTTTATGTGGATACAATTATTTTAGCTAAGCCAAAATGAAATTTAACACACGTGATTCATTATAAGTTGTAATTTAAGGTACAGAAAAGTAGTGCCTTATAAAGCAGTTTTTTTATAAACGCTTTAAGTTCAAATTTTGAGAAAAATCTTAAAAATCATGACATTTCAAAACGTGTTTAACCGAACTTTTTTTAATTCAATCAACACAGACACGTAATACGATACAGTTCGAGTAGATTATATTTTAAATAAATCACGCGCGCACTTTATAACTTATCACTTGCTAGGTTTCGACATTATGCATATTATATATTTACCGAAACCCTATCATCATATTATTATTATTATTATAAGTATTTGCAAAATGAACTTCAATGAAAAAAACGACCATATTGATTTTTAAACTAAAAACTTTGTCAGTTATATATTAGTATTGTATTAGTTTTCAAGAAAGTTTTTTAGTTTTATTTTTTTTTTTTTTTAATACGCTTGAATTGTCAAAGTATTTTCATTTATAAAACGTGTATAAAGTTAGATTATGTATATTATTTTATATACATTGTACAGGGTGATTCACTAACTCTGAGAAAAAAAACTTATATTCAGAAAGATAAAAAAAAAATTATCTTTGTTTAGGTTATTTTGAAAAATCGTCAACGTTTCTTTTTACGCATTCCGCCCCTTTATAGATAACGACTTTTAATTTTAAATCTTTAATCGTAATTTTTTTGAAAAATTGAATATATTATATAGGCACATAATATTAGTATTATTTTTAATTAATTTTAATTTAATTAATAAAGAAATATTTAATGTAACAAAAATGTGTGTTATTTTGCAACCCTATTTTTGAATAAAAAACCGTACATTTCAAAAAAAAATAGTTAAAAATTACTATCTAGCCTTATACCTTACTACCTAACTTAGTTACGCCTATAGAAAGTATCTTGACCGTAAATAGATGCTGAACCTGCATTTGTTGAATTTTGAGTATGAATATGTATTATCTAAATATCTATTAGCATTAATATTAACATATACTCCTCAAACCGAGTTTAAAATAATCATAAACCAAAAATCTGATATAAGATTAACGGTTTTTCCATAAAAAAAAATAATAACAATATCATTAAAGATTGGAACTAGAGTTCTATAGGGAAACCGTTTTGAAATCAAAAGTTTATACGAGAGAAAGAAAGAGAGCGAATAACATTTTAAAAACTACATAAAAAGCAGCGTTTTATAATGCAGTTAAATAAAAATAAAATCCAATATACTTTAAATCTTCATAAATAATTGACATTTTATAGCAATTGAATCGCGCTTTGTACGCTGCAGTATATATTTATACACAATTCATTTGAATCACAATTTACTAAGGAGCGCAATATTGACGAAGTCAGACTTTTCGTTTTACCTTTACACCAAGAATGATTTACTCGAATTTAAAAATCGTTTTCTCCCCGTTTTATATTATAACAAATGACAATATATAACGCCGTTGCGATTTAATTATTTTAGCTTCGGAGCAATTAACATGACCGAAGTGTGTTATTATTATTAAAAGCAATTTATTTTATTTTACCGGGTTCCCAGATGCTTGAGTATAAATTTATGGGACGGGATTAAGAGAGGGAAAGTAATTTTTCATTGAAATAAGAACATCCAGTGTTTGGACTTTCTCTCCAATTAAATCCGAAATTCATTTAAGTCCCTATATATTGTCTATCAAATACCGAACGATAAACATAAAACATTGGTTGTTATTATATGAGATTGATGAGTTATTATAATCCTTGTTGTAATAGTAGCCCGAAGTGTATTAGCGTCCTCTATAAATCCACTGACACTCGATGTTTTCTTCGGAAATTGAGTTTTTATGTACACAGAATCGGTTACAACCCTACGTAAAACGGATGGTTTTAACTGTTTTTGCGAAGGGATAAAAAAAGGTAGACATTTTATTTTTGTATTTAAAAAAACGAATAGGAAACCAATCTCATTGGTACTGAATATTGTATCTTTTAATCTATTTATCTATTTAATAGTATATAAAAGAAGAAACTATTAAATGAGTGAGGAAATTGACAATTAACCGACACCCAAATAACCAACACGACATTGACCGATAATCAAAATACCGACTCAATTATTAAATATTACGAAAAATAATTATGATGAAAATGATGGTTAATGAATAATATTTGTCAAAATCAAAATAATTTTATAATAAAAAATAAAAAATAATTATGGCATTATTTTATAATATTATTCTCGGTAGGGACAATTATTAAACATCACGCAATTATATAGACTACTATTACGTTAGATTGTTGGATATAACAATATACCAATACTTGATGTAACGATGTATACTATACCGTTTGATACTTTTAAAAAAGGTTTTATGACGACTATAACCATAATAATATCATTTTTTTTTTTTCATAATATTTAATAATTGGGTTAGTATTTTAGTTGTTAGTTAACTATCTATGTTGATATTTTGTTGATTGATCAACTGTATTGTCAATTGCCTGTGTCAATCAATTATCCGTGGCGACCAATATTATCCTATTGGTTAATTGCGTAGCAACACACAGCCCTCACCGCTATGTCAACAAACTGGACATTTTGCACATAGGTCCCTATATAATTTAAAAATCATCGCAACATATTTTCTGATCATCCATGTATCTAATGCACCCACAATTTAATGTACGATCAGAAAACGTTCAAAGTGCGGGTGTAAGGTTCACTACTTCTACCATCTTCGCTCGCCAATTTGAGTGTCTCTATGCGGCCTTTTTTATAACCTCGCCTACGGAGGAAAGAGGAATAGCAGCTTACCTAACCTAAAACCATATCTGATAGTACTTCAAGGAGAATAGTGACCTAAATGTAAACCTAAAATGTACTACGAGACCGGGCCTTTTAGTCGTCGAAAAGCCATTCGGATGCAAGAAAAATACAAAACATGTGATGGCTTTGAACTTGATAACCTCTGAATTATTCACCACATTATCCCATTAGGACACAATAAGATTATAAGTTGACTTGTATGATAAGACACTCTACTTAAAAATGGGAGGATGGAATAAAGAACCCATGACACGTTCAAACATTCAAAATCACATCAATTAGTTGACGGAAATTAAAAAATTTAACACCAAAACGTCATCTATTTATGGGATTTCGAGTATAGGTTACTATTTGAAAATCAGAAGTAATCGGTATTTTCAACCCCAAAAAATAAGGCTGAAAATAAAACCGGCAAAGTAACATTTTAGAGTTTGTTTCTTAAATTTAAAAAGAAAAAGAAACGAATATACTTCACACGATGGGTGAATTGTTGTTGTAGGTGAGAAGTTGAAAAATTAGAAAGGAAATTTAATATATATCTGTAGATACGTAATATGATTACTAACGAAAAACAATTCTGAGTGGAGTTCGGTTATACATGTTTTAAAAATCCATTAAATTTAAAATTTGAAAATAATACATTTCGTAAATTTTCCCGTTTTCCCACATTTTTTCCCGGTTTTTCCAATGTATTATGAAAACCCCTGGAAAAATTACCTCCTTAAAATATCACCCATCAACTTTTGTCAGAAATAATGGTACACATGAAAATCGGAGCAAAATTATTCACAGATAAAAAAAGTAAAAAATAATAAACATCATTGTAAAACCAATACATTCCTCACTTCCGCTCAGAATCTAAAACAAACTTCGAAAAAAGTTAACACTTTCCGAGTTAAAGAATTTATTACGTTATATTAATCACCCAGTATAAAGTACCTTTATATTTACTATTGCCAACAATTTACAGCTGATCGGACGAATTCGGGATAAAAGTTAAAATCAATATAGATAGTAGTTGTAGGTGCTTATATTATTATAGTACTATAGAAAGATACGAAATAAAACTACAAAAACTACACGAACAACGGAATATTATTATTATGAAACTTATAATACAAAATTAAGAAACTTATCAAAGTTCAAAAGTCCAATGTACATTGTAAGTTGCAGGTGTACGACGAGTTTCGTTTAATATTCATTCGGTTCATGAATTATATATAAGAAAATCAATTGTGTGGGAAACATAATGGATTTTATTTTCTCTTTTTTTTTCTTTTGGTATCTTTTGCGAAACTTGTTCTAAGCACCATGGACACATTTTTACACTGTCAACCGACACGCTATTTTTGTCCATCATCCGACATCCCGGGGGTCTAATATACGAAAAACAGAACATTGTAGTTGACAAAGTAAACCTACCAACCTATTTTCCAGACAACAAACTAGCGTACAATATCAGTGATACGGTTATAAAACCGTTAGTTTTGATGGTGTGTTCTCTCTCAGGGCATATTTAACACGACTAGAAACGATGCCTGTAGTTTTGAAGAATCCTTTTTATAACACGTGCCATTGCCTACGTAGGTAGTTTATCCTTACAAATTATTCTACAGCACCGCGATTATGATGGATGAATACACAGGTGGTGTAAATAAAATAGGGGGGGATATTAAGATTCAAGACGTTTTCCCCATTTCTCGCTATCGCAGTCACGAACCTCTCATATTTGATGTCTACTGAATAAATTGTGAATGCAAGGTATATATGATTACGAAATATAATAATAATAACGATTCTAAGTGGATTTTTTTTTTTTAAAGAATGTAAAAATGATTTGAATTCACACATTGGTATGGGGCAAATACTTGTAACGAAGTTGATTTTGGATTTTTAACACGGAGACGAGATAAAATGAATTTCGTTAACATTTATTAAAATATCAAATAAAATACAAAGTTACACTTATATATTGTAAAATAAAAATTATAATTGCCGCTTCTGACCTTTTTCGGTACTCTGGAAAGTTTAGAATAAAACAATACATGGGGAATTGATATAGACAACATATATTACATGACCTATTATTGCCTATCTGCCATAATCCAGGAGTTTGAAGTACCGTGGTTTAGGCGTCGACTTGCTACCGAAGGTGCTGCTCCGCTAAGCGTGGCGACGTCGAAGGAGAGAGGTCGGCTGCGATACGATTGCATGCGGTCCTTATCGGTGGTACCTTTTTAAGCTGCGCGCAACATATTTTTACTTCTATGCAACGTTGCCAAATATGTAGGTGCTCGGTAAATTGGATTTTATCCATCGGACTTATTATTTCTAATACTAGACAAAAATACGAAATTATCATCACTTATCTGGAATTATTATTTTTACGGTAAATTCCTAAATAAGTACGTACATACTATTATACTATAATATAGTATATACCACTTCTATAAGACCTACTCTAAAATTGTTAGTAGTGAATGGGCACAAATTACGATACATCAGACAGCGGGTTGATGGATACCTACGTCAGATAGAAGTGCTGTAAAAAACAGTGTACGTCCACAGTATAAATGACAACTGATAATTCCATTTTAGAAAATGCTCGTGAGCATAACCACCCTGTAGATTCAATAAAAAAATAGAGCTGATACTAGGGATGGGAGTGGCCACTATTGTAAATGAGAAGTTGGGAAGATAGGACACATAAGGTTATTTCATTTATATCTGTAAGCAATGATAAACATTACTTGACGAAAGACAATTCCGAGCGCAGTTCGCTAATACATAATTTGAAGTGCCGTAATTTTTTTTTTTTGCGATTTTCGTTTAAATTTGATTTCAAAATGCTTATTAAAAAAAAAAAAAAAGTCCAATGATTTTGGAAATTTTACCACGTCTAGGTAAGTCCAATATAAGTATTATTACCAAGTTTCAAGTCTGTACGTGTATTTATAACCGAATTGCAGCAAAAAAACTCCCAAAAGTTAAAATTCCTGAAATGCTCAAAAGTGGCTCAAAAGTTTTAGCCATGATACCGTAAGAAAATAAATCAAAAATGCAACAAAAAAGGAGTCTTGTGATTTTTCGATTAAATCATTTTTTTCAGGTAAAAAACCGTCGCCCGTGTTTTTATAAAATAATTAAATCGTGAAACTGTACATTTTCCTACGTTTTTTTTTCCTATTAAGTGTTTTTTTTTAAAAAAACGGCATCAAAAATCAAAAATTGACTTCACTAAAGTGTCATCTAGACAACTTCAGCTTTCAGAAAAATTGCTACACGTAAAAGCCGGAGCAAGTTTACTAAAAAAAAACGTGTCCACAGACTAGAACAAAGAAAATAAATAAACATCCTATTAAAACTAATAGCTCCCTCGCTACGCTCAGAATCTAAAATCGATAGACAAGTTTATGTGAACATTGCAAAAGAAAAACAATACGTTCCATGTCTACCCTGCCAATAAAATTAATCAGAACCGAACTTATGAATAGCGCAAATACTGCATTATAGCGTAAAGATGTATAATCAGTTAGAAAGGATATTTATATCGAAAGAAGAAAAAACTTCCCTCCCTACCATACATCTGTAGAAGATGCCATACTCAATTGAAGGAGTTACAAAATAAAGATTTTTAATCATTGTATTTTATGACGTAGACTGAGTTTATAATAAACATATTGTAACATGTTACAAAACGATTATGATATTTGGCAACGTCGCTTCAAATATCGCGCGCAGTCGTGTACCCAACAGGATAAAACACGCGCAATCGCACACCGGCAGTAAGGTCTACGTACTGGGGCGGAGTTGCCGACTTGCTACCGACGGTGCTGCTACGCGGTGTGCGTAGCCCGTGGCAGCGTCGCGGTGTCTGTCCGCTGGAACGGTGGCGGCAGTCCTCCCCGGTACTGGCGGCGGTCCTCTGCTGGTAGAGCCACGGATATAACGTGGTGCTACTACCTAGAGAGCGTAGCCCGTATCAAGGCGGGCGCACACGAACGCGCCGAGCTTGTGACGCAACGTTACACGCACGGCGCGGCGTGATTTTGAATTCACTGCGGGCACGCGCCGTGCCAACGATCCGCTGTGAAAGCGCGCGGTTTGCCGCGAACATTTCCATACAGTTCAGGGCCAAAAAGCGGCGTGCGCGTTCCAACGGCGATAAAAACGTAGAAAAAACAAAAACAAAAACAAATACGTCCGCACTACGCCGAATCACAATGACCTTTGTGTTCGGCGCTAAAATCGACGAAAAGTGGTTCGGCACGAGTTCCGAGTACCGTCCACGCGAACGGGCGCGCCGAGGGTGCAACGTTGCATATTGTTATCACAGGTCCGGCGCGCTCGTGTGCATCAGCCTTTATACCGTGTGCCAATCAAAACCGTCACGAATCAATCGTGCTAATACAGTGGGTTGCTTAGCAGATTGATAGAGTTTAGGAAAACTATTTTTGTTATTCGGTTGGAACATGTTGATTAATACTATTATTTTAGGTTACCAATAGGCCATAATCACCATAATTGTAAAAATATTCCCAATACACACAAACAGTATTTTCACTGGTATTATACATGTCGAGCGTTGGAATTGGAATTCGGAAACGCCGTGGGTAGATAACCATTATTTAACCACGGGAAACACGTTAGTACATTAAACAAATTTTAACGCAACACATTTTTCGTCTTAAATCATTGGTTAGTAAAATGTTAATTGGTTGCTTTATTTTGACGCGTAAAGGTTAGGTTTATCACGCCCACCTGATTAAACCCTATTCCCATTCACAATCCGATTGATCACTTCCTCTCCAACTGATTAGTACCTGAGTTTAATTACATTAATATCTAACGACTGACCGATCTGCCAAATTGATGAACAGACGTTTAATAGCAGGTTTAAACGCGGTGTTTCTGTCGCCAATGCGACAATGCTGAAGGATTAGATGAATCCTAATCTGAGGACATTCGTCCAGCACTAATGTATATTGCGGCGATGTCGACCGTGTAACTGAGTGGGTTTTGTTTTACCACTTTCGTAGATGAGTTGGCCATCGGTGATGATTTATCGTGGTGATATTGGTCACTCATGATAATCTTGTATGATATCAAAGAGGGGAATAGATCAGGGTCCCCAAATAAGGGTGTTAACGGCACTTTAGGGTGACCGTAGTGAGTACGGAAGAGTGGTGCATCACCAGCGCTGTCTATTGGTGACGACCGGATGCGGCGTTATCGGTTGGTCGGTGCATGTTGTGGTAACGAGGCCACCAGGCGCGTCGCTCACACACTATTGACAGACCGGTGGTCCGGTTACATACTCTAACGGTGCCTTTACAGCTTAAACCGTAGTAAACACACAGTCCGATTAGGATTGAACTCAACTATTCGGTATAAGTGGTATAGGGAAAGTATTAAAATCAAAAATGAGGATTGACCACTGGTTAACCACTACATAATAACCACATGATTCAACCAATCACAGTCCTAGAATATTTCACGTTTCACGGTAAGCTATGAAAGCACCTTAATAATGGAATAAAATTAAATATTTAGGTACAGATAATATGTATAATGTGCATAGGTATAATTACAAAACACATATATAAATTTAAAAAATTTGTGTGTATATTGTATTCATTTGATATTTTAGAATATTCGAAAACTCACGTCGATCCACATCAAATTTTATTTTAGAATTTGGCGCTAAAAAAAAAGACAACATTTTGATTTTAGATTCGGAGCGGAGCGAGGGATTTATTAATTTTACTATGATGTGTTTTTTTTTTTTTTTTGTGTCTCTAAACAACTTTTTTACCAGAAATTGTATTCCAAAATATAGAGTATAGTACCTTTTCAGAAAGGAAATTGTGTATAGTTGGTGCATTAAACAGTTTACTTTTTGATTCTCAAAGGGGTTTTCAAAATACTTGGGAAAAACACAAAAGAAAATTATAGCTAAAACGATAAATATTTACGGCACGCCATGACGTTACCAATTTCATTATTTTAAATATGTATACACGATGTTTTCTATCAAAATATTACACCAATTGAAAAATGACAAAAGATTGATTTTGTTCCTTGTATGTAATATATAGCCACTAACAGAGAAAATCATTTTTTTTATGTACAGAGTAGTTTTTATAATAATTGGGATAAACCAAAAAAGACGAAAAATACGATTTTTTTTCAATTAACGAATGAAGAAAGTCTAAAAAAACAAATTCGAGTTTAATTAATTTTTTTTATAAGCGTTTTAAATCAAATTTTGACGAAAATCAAAAAATTAGGACATTTCAAAATATGTCTTACTGAACTTCATTCCAAGTCATTGTTCATTAGCAATGGTTTTTTTTTCACAGCTTATGATATTATATTCGGGTAAAAAAGAGGTTTCCTTCTATCAATAATATAATTTCTAGATAAATATTTTTTTTAAATGTATTAAGCTATTTTATTAGATTTTATTTTGCTTATATAATAATAATATATTAATAAATATTAAAAGTAATAATTCGTAGAAAATTAAATTTTTAAACTATCGGATAATTTGAAATATTCAACAAAAATGTTATTCTTTAATGTTCAAAAATATTATTTTCTATGATCTAAATAAGCTTAAATTTTTGTCATTTTAAAAAATATTTATTTATTCCTTTTTTTGATCTAATAATTTTTGAATATTATTGATCTTTTTTCTTAAAAATTAGATTGTAAAAAAATAAACACTTAAAACAGCTTATCTTGATGAATTTGATCATGATTTCAAGAAATCATTTTGAATATCTAAAAATCCGAGGGACAATGTTTTTTACTCAATCGAACATTATCACGAGAAGAGTAAAATAAAATATGAAAAAAAAAAAATCTTAGTCCACTACCCTAATATAATATATCTAATATTTACATCTCTAACCACCGGTAAACTTGAAGTGAATTTAAATGATGCTTCTTTTAATATTTTTCTCAACTAAAACACTAGAATAGTTTTAAACTATTCGTGTTCCGTAAATTCAATTTAAGTATAGCAGTGATTATATTATCACAAAGTTTGGTAATTATTGGAGTTTAATTTTACACTGCGTACACTACATAATATGTAAATATGTAATATTAAACGATTATTTATGTTACACATTATAATATATATCATATAGGTATTACAGGTATAAAATAACTGCACAAAATAACACTACAGTATAATATTATAAATAATATTTTTAATTTAAACGTGATGGTTATTGAATTCAAAAAAAACGATTTTTTTTTAATAGCGATGAAAACCAAAACATATTGTTCCTAATTGCTTTGTTTCTGTTATTAAAGGACATTGAACGAAATGTAACTTTCGCGTATAGGTACCATCTGCGTCCAATTGTCCGTCTACAACGGAGTTATTGCGCAAAACTTTTTGACTGTTTTACAACTCCAACAATATATGTTTAAAAAAACAAAAAAAAAACACCATAATATTGTAAAACAAATATAGCTATAATTCAGCTCAAAATCTAAAAAACCTGAAATGAATATAAATAAATAAATATCTATATATATATATATATATATATATATATAGACATATATATATAAGTATATTTGTATATTATGAGATCTCTGATAAAATATGTTACCAATGTTTGATATTTTATGAACGTAACGTATCATTTTAATGAAACAAAACGGAACTTTTTTATTTAGGTAAGTACCTATTCGCTTTGAGGGAATTTAAAATCATTGATTTTTTTTTCTTGTTAATTCGAATACGGTTTTAAAATGTTTGGAGTTATATTTTGTATACATGTATTAATTGAAGCGTATTACATCTATTCACATTTTTTTAATGTAACAGTATAATAAGCGTACATAATATGAATACGAATGTAGATTTGAAAAAAAATCAAATGTATCATCTACTTTTATTTATAAACAAATTCGAGAGTACAGACGTACTGCTCGCACATACGTCTGTGTTTAATATGTCTAATTATAGTGTTCTTGTTGATGCAATAAAATAATAATAATATTTGTATATTCTAATTTTACCATGTTTGTAAAGGTTAGGTTAGATGAAAAATTTATTTTTTTTACTATGATATGTTTTTATTTTTCATTCTGTCTGTTAATAACTTTTCTACTAAAAATATATAATAAAAAACTTTATAAGAACTTTATCACAGTATTTTAGATATAATTAGTGCATTGAAGAAGTCATTTTTTTAGTTTTCTTATTCTTAATAATTTGTAAAAACGGGAAATTTTCTGTTGATTTCATTAGTTACATTACCAACAAGGGAATAAACACGACTAATATTACTCCAATTAGAACCATATTATTTTTCGTTTGCAATGATTTGTACGATGATACAATGATTTATTATGGTATACAAACTAAATTACTCTGTATAGTGTATAATGTATACCCTACACTTTCAATACCAACCTACAACAGTGGCCTACCCCTGAACAATGTCACATTTTCTTTTTCATTTTTGATTATTCTCCTTGAAATATTTGAATTTATTACTACCTATCTAAATCATTCTGTCAATATATTATTATTATCTTTTTACGCGCACAGAAATTTATATTTATTAATATAACATTGATACTTATATACTATACTCGGTTGTTTAACGATCAATATTTATTTTAGTTAGTACGGATTTTTCTTAAAGTTAATTTAAGCGTTATTGATGAAATTATTATCTCGTATATAAAGACGGTTTACCACTTTTGAAAAAGTAAAATATAAATTATATATTGAAAAGTGTAACTAGATACCTACTATAGTGACTTAATAGTATTTTAATACATTTCTTACCGTATACATACTAGTGTACATATATGTGTAGATCTCAACAACAAATGATACTATTAACATCAATAAGAATAAAACAACTGCTTATTTAAAACATCAAAACATAATATTAACATACACCTAATACATCTAATTTAACTGTTCAAAACACTCCATCTATATTTATTACTATTGGGTACTTCAACAAATAAATTTCAACTTTTATTATCTACTTTCGAATAAAACTCTTTAAATATGCATACATATATATACTCGATGGATTTAAGTAAATTCTTTTTAAGTAGCCTGTTATTTTTTCGCTCAAGTATTGAAACATTTTGTACGTATTTTTATCACTATAATATTTTATATTCAGTCAATAACGCCAAATCCATTATTATAAAAAACACTATACAAGTTTTTTTTTCAAACATTTTAGTTCATAACTGCAGAAATCGATTTGATCAAAAATAATCAATTTTTCACCCTAACTACAAGAATAAAATAAAAACAACGACAACGATTTATCGAATACTCGGTCAATACAATATTGTAGAATCAAGACAATATTATTATGTTGGACGAAATTCAAACGAATATATATATTTTGGTTTCGTTTCATATTTTTCACCACGCGCTGTATTTTTCCAGTTGCCACTACCGAAAAATACGGCCCAATGTAAATAGTTAAAGGCGAAATTCATGTATAATGCATGACAAAATAGTATAATATATACTGCAGCTGATGTGTAAAAAAAAAGGTCGGTATATTCCTAAGTTCTAACCGTCTAAAAAAAAAAAAAAAAAAAGGAAGACTGTATATATAGTATAATAATATATTATTATTCTCAACAATAGAAATCTCAGATAAGATATAGAATTGACGAGAAAATAAGACCGCGTGAAAAGAAGAAAAAACACCAGAGACAAGAATATTTATATACACCTGCAGCTTATTTCCGCATCTTTAACACCCGACATCGAATTTATATACGAGTTTGTTTAACGAACGTCCCATTAAAATTCAAATAACTTAGTGCAGTGTTCCGCAATCGACGGGTGTCATGCACCAGCACCGACTTTGTCAAACGTGTAAACAGCTAAATTATTAACGGCTGCAACGAATCGGGTCATTCAAATTAAAACCTACTGTTTGGATTATCGGATTCGAATGAATGTAGTATTATATATTATGTATTTTTGTATTATACGAGAGTCCACGACGTAGCAATAATCAAATAAACTTTTGAAAACGCGTAAAATTCAATTTCGTTGACGATTTTTTATTATAATAAAACAATATTGTTTGCACGTGTCCACAATCAATGCATTTTGTTTGCATTTGGAATTTTGTTATGTATATTTAATTTTCGATATGATTTGCGCACATATTATAATATACAAACACAAATTCACAACGTCATACCTAACCAACATAATAACATTAATGATTGACTAGACGAGAAGAATTGTATAGAAAATTGGATGGCCTGAAGGACACTGTTTTTGGCGAATCGCATTTTCCAACTGACTTGGCTAGAACTGTTGACGTTAACACTATCAAATATATTACGGTTGAACGAGTCAAATGTGACGGATGATCACGGGTCCAAAAACATGTAGTATAACCTTATCGATGTGCACAGAGCTGGAAAATGCGTCTTATTCATTTTGACGATTTTTTTTTTTTTGTTTCTAGAAACCTTTCGAGATATATACCAAAACCCAGTACTTTTAACACAAAAGGCACCTTGTACAAATAAATCGCATTTCCACGACCTTTTCACTAGGTACCTACCTCCAAAGTAATCATGAATGCGAGAAAAAAAGTGATGAACATTTTTCTTGAAAGACCGAAATGTTTAAATATTTAATATCATGAGAAACGATTTCTTTTAAAATATAGTGTATACCTACGTAGGCAACACACAACCTTATTCGTATTTTTTGGAGATACTTATTAATGGTCTATATATAGTGCTATCAATGATAGCACAATATATGCCTATTATAACTCATTAATATAATTTAAATAATTTTGATTTACAAATTAGATATTGAAATTTTTATCTACTAGAGTGCACATTTATTTTAAAAAATAAAATTATGTATTATAAGTACTATACACTTAAAGAATATGCACTTTTTATAAATATATAATATATTTCAATAACTTAAAGAAATATTAGGTACTTTGTAGTAAAATAACAATGAATTATTAACCATTAGTATATGAATATTTATATTAATAACTGTAATTTTACGATTTACTAAAATATTTTAGTCTTCTTTTGATTACTATTATAAGGAGTTTCAATAAATGCAATACAATTTTTTTTCTGTTTTAGGAAAACATATAGAATGTATCAGAACTATTTTATTATTTAGTTTAAATTTTCAAGAAGAATGCATCTGCAGTTTTAAGTTATTTTATAATAATTATAAAGTTTAATAAAAAAAAATATTTAGATGATACATTTAAATTATTAAAAATACTAATTTAAATTATTTTTGAAATCACATACCTGCATTAATTTAATCTAACCGAATAAAAATAAAATGTTATAAATTTTAATAAAAATAAATGGAGTATCAGTACTTATGCTTTAGGTATAAACATTTTTAAACATAAATTATAATCAATAGAAATATTTGTTGTAGGTATAATGCAAAAATCAAAAATTAAAATGTATTATTTATAATTTAAAAAGTGTATATTTTCTATGTATTTTTACTACTATTAATCAGAATTCATATTATAAAATTAAACATTCAAACATGCTTGTATTTCAGTGGGTATACTAAATTATAAAAACTGAAGTAGGTATATATAATATCTTTTTTTTCAAAACGATATTTTTGATGAGTATAGTAACGAGTATAAGTATAAAATTACGATCAGTAAAATGAAAAAAAACTAATTAATTCTTAATAAAAACTAATTGAAAACCTACAATAACCTTTATAGTAGCATACCTATTAATAATATTAATAAAAAAAAAAATGTTAAAATATCAATTCAAAATTAGTGTCAAGTTTTAAAAGTTCAGCAAATCATGACATACTAACGCGACTACAGTTTATAATAATTACAATCCTTTTTTAATTATATCCCTTCTGTCCCTTCTGAATTAAATATACATAAGTTCCAATAACATTAGATAATTTTGTAATGTAATATACAATATATAGTAAACATGATAGTAAATTTAATTTAGATTCTGAGTAGAACGTAGAAAACTATTAGTTTTACAACTAATAAGTTATAATTTTTTCAGTTAGTAAATACTTCAAAAGATGCAGTATTTTACCTGATAGTATTTTATTTATACATATTTTTGTAACACTCAATATTTTTTAAAAAAAATATGCATTAAGATACTTAAGTTTTGGTTTTTATTTATTTTTGAGTTGCCATGGCAACAAAAGAAAAAAACACGACCATTACTACAACCTTGAAAGTTTACAGATCTTTGTTCAGAGTTATATTTTAATTGCAATAATTTATCGTTACTTTCGAATTTCAGTATGCAAATTAAATTACCCTATTCTTAAATCAATTAAATCCTATAACTTTAAGACTTCCCACCTTAAAAAGTAGCCATAGTGCCTACCCATGATGGTGCGAATCAAGCCCGACTTTTATTGTTATTATTACTATTTTACACTAGTTTTTAAACTCTGAAAGTTTTACGAATCGGAAATTGAACACAGACGATACTTTTAGATTTCTACATACTTATACATATAGTGAAGAATCCTTACAGAGAACCGTTGTGCCAAACCCATCTGTCAGACGAATAAAGAAGCCCCACTTTCCTTTGTCATGATTATTAAAAACTGTATTACAGTTATACGAAAAGATTTTTACTCCTTTAAAATCTTTGAGACTGTTAATTAATTTATACTGATGCGAGGGCAAATGTGTAATTTTTTAAACATATTAGATTCAATGTAACCACGCCACATACAGCAATGTTTTTCTTTAATTTTTTGTAACCTATTTTAGTTATTTGTATAACATATATATACATTTTTTTTATGCAGAGTAAAAGAAGCAAATTATCCATTCAATCTAAAAGTTTTGTAGAGTAACTTTTACAGATCGGAAATTAAACAAAGATGGCGGGCAGTTCTCTGAAACTGTTTTATTTTTTTAGAATTTCTCAGTAATTTTCCAGAAAGTTAGGAAACTATAACTATATAGACCACATAAAAACAATGAAATTTACAGTACAAACATTTAAAAAAATATATTATTTATTTATTTTGACGTTATTCGGAAAATCATTTTATAAACACACAATTTTCACCTGCAGTTGTTTACTTTAGTGTTTTATAGAAAACATAAACCCTCATAACAAAAGTATCATTTTAAAAATATTTTCCTTCAAATTAACAATTTTTGAAAACACTGTCACAATACTTTCCTACAGTACTTTCGATTTAGTTGTTTCATTTTTGTCAATGGACAATATCATTTTTTGATTTTCCTGTTAATTGTTTTAATAAATGGGAAAAACTGACAATTTTTTTTGATTTCTGGGTACGGTTAGACGAGTAGATAACATGATACGGATCAAACCATCGAACCGTGAAAATGTTATCTTAAAAAGAGAAATGGTCAAGTCAAATCACAGCGATATCTGAATGATGAACATATTAACTACTTCATTTTGGCCAGGCTGCTTCCTCGTGTTATATATAACCATATTATCTATACTCTATAACCAATAACCGTGTTTCTGGATTACCTTGGCAACAAGGAAAAAATAAGACTAATAGTACTCTGCTCAGAATAGGTTTTCACTAGCAATGGTTTATCGTTATGTAAAAATATAAATTAAATTACTCTATAAGTCCTCCTGCCTTTCAACATCTTTTTTAGTACAGTTAAACAGCAGTATCAACTTTCTTTTCTTTTTCTTATTTTTTCTTATCAACTATACGTTGTTTTCAGTCAGTATAATAGCATTGAGAATATTGACATCACATATACGAGTAAAATTAACGTATAACCTAACTCGATAAGATGCATGTACGAAATTACATAATACATCATTATTATTATTATATATTATTGCATATAACACAAATATATGTTTTTTAAACTACATAAAATAATGCTATATGCGTTCACATTGAAAATATAAAAATTAACATAATTATTATTCTACTGTCGTTTATTTCACAATGAAAATTAAACCGAAAACTATTCACCACCCCTTTTTTGTTTAAATTTATGAAAACCTCGAGGCATTGTTTTTGTTTTAGTAGCGTAATAATAATTCAGATTTTGTTCATAATGTTCACCGCATATAATTCCTTTATTTTACTATGATAATTATATAATATTCCACGAGAAATTATACCATCAAGTAAATTATTATACGAACATATTATGCTTTATGTGCAAATGGAATAAACAAGAAAACAAATTATAAATTATTTTATTGTATTATAAATAATATTACAAATTTTCAATTGACCCATTTTTTTTAATATTTTCCATTTGTACCTTAACATAAAATACAGTTTTTACTATAATAATTTAATATCATTATCGTTGATCCTGATAAGGACAAGAATTAATTTTAGTCCACACTGTTTAGAATGAAGAGTGGCGCTATAAAAAATTAAAAATATTGTTTTAAAAATTCTACATACTTAATATAAATAGTTGAATAACCTGTATTGCAATTACAGACATTTATTTGTAATTTAAAATACTTGTACATAGTTTACGGTAATTCATTATCTCAAAAACCTTTCAAAAATTTGTTTGAAATTCATAATCCATCTCCTTCTACGAATATTAATCGTGGATTAATCACGATTGGTTGCATCACTGGTTTAGAATATATGAACAGGATATTTTAAATGTTTATTGTTAAAACACTTAAAAAAACAGTTTTTAAATTTTCAATCAACGTACTATGTTTATGATGCTGTGAGGAAGATTATTTAAACCATAGAGAATATTAATTGTATTAACTTGCCTTTAAACTAATATTAAAAGAAAAATATGAGCAAATATGAGTCAGAAAAACAGCGAAATATTTTTCAATAATTATATTAAGGAAACCAACAGTTTTCTTATTATCATTGAATGAACAGGTTAATGTATGTGTATACTCTAGGAAAATATACATTTAATACAATTGTATGAACTTAAATAAATACAAATATTATTAACACTAATGAATCATTTGCACATTTTTAAATATCTTGAGTAAATTCTGAAATCAACGAATAAAAAGTTGTCTGCTTAAATTAATTAATATCGCTTTAATATCCCGAACATTAATGGAAAGAGATTTTTTTTTTATATACAAAATTAATATTTTAATTACGTGTATAAATATATATATTTATATATATATATATTTTTTTTAATGTATTTTACTATAGTAGCTTTATAAGCTATATACCTATTGAGCAATCTTCCCCAATCAATTTAAATCTAATACTACAAAAATAATAATAATAATCAAAATTGTGTTAAATATTAATTTTGAAAAAATAAAATATAAATTACAAATGGAGATGATATAATTCAAGTACCTAAGTATATAGTCAATATTATTCGTTGAAAATATTCTAAAACCGACGAATGTAACTGTTTTTTTTTTTTATTATTATTATCATTGTAGTACGTATTTAATTTAACGGGATAAAGGTTTACGTCGCAGGTTAACGAATATACGCGCCTTTAGATTTTATCTGAACCGTAAAAATTTAAAGCAGTCGCTCAGGAATATTATTCTCCGTCGGGTAGGGTAAAAGTCGAATGTTGTGCAGTCCCCGTTGTCGCCGGTCTCTATGTAATATAAGCACAACGACGAGTAGGTACAACGTGAAATTTATACTGCTATAGGGACGATTTTCTGTGCAATAAAATCTCGGGTAACGCGCAGTCGTATAATTAAATATTATTATACGCCCCCGCCTGCAGAGGGGTCGACCTTATTATATATTATTATTATTATTATTATTATTATTATTGTTATTATTATTATTATCAGGTACCTATACAATATTATATTATTTTATGTGTATACTATTTGATTGTATTTTATTTTATACCCGACGATGGAAATAATATCATTATTATTATTATTGTTATCGTCGTCGTCGTCATCGTCAAACAATACGGCCTGCGCGTATAATACGAAATTCCGGGTAAAAATATAATATTTCAGTTTATGATGTTTCGCGAGAATAAACGTTTAATTTGTATGCTCGCGGATACTTCAAAGTTTTACGCTATATAACCAATGGATATAGCACGCAGTTATATAGTATGCAAATACAGACGCCATGTATTAATTTAATTCGCAATGACGATGAATTCGATAATAATATTTGTTGGTCGAGTCGCTTGTGATAATAATTTAAAGTGGACTGACACGAGATAATGTTAAACACATATTGTAATATACGTGAGTTACCTCCAAATCTATTATATTTGCCAACATTTTAAATAATAAAATCGTTTTTGAAGAAACAAAAATGGGAATAATTCATGGAAAAAAATTTAGAACTTAAAAATACATTAATGACAAAAAAAAAAGTTTTTTTAAGCCCTCCCTAAGATATTTTAACATATGTATATTCTTTATCATACGTAATAAATTATATGATTTATAATTAGGGCAGAGGACTTTTAGCTCTAAAAAAACAATAAATATGAAAGCACTTATACACTTAAAAACCCTATAATATGCACTAAAAATATGCTTTTATATTTTTTTTTTTTTAAATGAATCATTTAAAAATATAGACACCATTTTTTTCACAGAATTATTAATAAAATTTGATTTCTTTAAAATTTGTCTTCTGATTCTAAAAACAAAATTGTTTGTGTTAACTGTTTATAAATAAAATGAATCTAATCGGCGGCCCTCAAGACGTGTTTCAAGAAAAAAACCATATTATTATATATGATTATAAAACAACCATAATACCCATACAATACAAATTTAATTAATTTTAAATTCAACAATATTTTAGCTGTATGTAAGATGAAATTAAAACGTCGAGGGAAATATATTGATAAATTATTTAAAATATGCTTCTAAAAGTATAAAATGGAAGTAATATGCCCTAACATAAAAAAAACTCGAAATATGCCTTGATGTACAAAAAAAAATTTCAAAACTAGCCTTGTGAAAGCATGAAACGTATTTGTTTCATACTCTGTTTTTGTTAATGTGCAAAAAAATATGCAAATGCTACAACTCTGCCCTTTTTATAACCAATGGTAATAGTAGCTATTTATAAAATAATAATAATAGTATGTAAGTAGGTTTTCATTGGATTTCCATTTTAATGTTCCTATGTTCCATAAACTATGATCAGTTGATACCCTATTATAACGACTTGCCGCCCAAACACATCGTCGTGCAGCTATACGGGTGCCGTGTACAATATTACACCGCGTCGTCCAAACATAGAAATATCACTAATAATTTATAACATATGAAATATACGAGGGGTTCAGGAGCAACAAACCAGAGAAGTCACTTTTTTCCAAAATGGTAATATTGATACCAAACAATTTGTATTGGTGTGCCATATTTTTTATGCGATCGAACCGGCGAAAAAACCAGATTAGTCGAAAGTATTAAGCGCCAGAAGTTTAAGCCTACAGGAAAGAAACAGGTAATTCAATTGATAACCAGACATGTGTTAGGTTAATACATGGCTATAGCCGTTACTTATAACATAATATGACATTATTGTATTGTGGTTACTACATTTCAAAGTGTCACAGTAAACTTAATCCGAACTTTTTACTTTGTAAAAAAATTTGTTGTTTTGAAATTAAAAACACGTTTTTCTCAATTTGAAAAAAGTAACCTTTCTAGTTTTTTTCCTGTTCCCTTCATATGCACATAATACAATTATGTTTTGATATGGATATATTTCAACCTATATAAATAGCTTTTTAGACCAGTAGTCCTTTTGATATCAAGCTTTATGCAGAACCATTTAGAATCATATATTGACATCCATGCACTCGGAATCTATAAGATTCTTTATAGGTATTATAGTTATAATATTTGCATTAAAATCGACCAATCTTTTAAAATCAATCGAATATAATACTAATATATTATACCGTATAAAAAAAAACACCATCCTCAATATTAATATAATTATTTATCTATAAATTGAACGATTTAGGTGCGGATAAAGTATAATTTTTACTCCGATAAAGTTCGTTCTAAGCGACGTTAATTGTAATTCTCTGACAGACACAACAATAATGCATATAATAATTCAATTCGATATTTTATTGTAAACAAAAAAATAATAATAAAAACTAATGGCCGTGTTGTTTTTATTATTATTATTATTATTATAACATTATATTCTTCCATCGTCACCGATCGTCTAATCCCCCCGACTATAAATTTAATATAATATAATATTATAATTATTTTTTATAGTAATCGATCTATGTCAAACCCCGCCCCCCCCAAAAAAAAAAAAAATAAAACTGATACATATTTATATAATTATATCCCCCGACAGTTTTTACTCTGTTTCTCTCTCTCTCTCTCCGGTGCGACAGTCGTCCGGTTTCATAAACTTGCTATAATCTCCCAGAGTAAAAGAAAACACCACCGCGGGGGGATTTATTAATCAATTTTGACGCAAATGCCGAACGGGTCCCAAACACATATACCTACCAATAAAGCTTTTATTAAATCATCGCAATACAGTGTAATATTATAATTATGAATACGGTATGGAGCATTAAACTCGTGTGTTTTATAATATACAATATATACCTATACGTGTATACCTGAATTAGAGGTATGACGCGTGTATACCTAAAAGTTTTTAATATCAGACGGGCCATTTTTACGATTTTTTATGTATTTTAAAATTAAAAAAAAAAACCTCGAAATTCTTTAAACGATATTAACAAATCGATATTATTATAATGGCGATATATTCTGTCCTCAGTGGCTTATTTTAAATTTGTTTTATTGCACAAGATAGACACACGTGATGTGAAAATAATAATAATAGACTAAGACATTAAAACATAATATTTAAAAATTTTATAACATTTATCCTTGAATTCCGTAACGACAAATGCGCTCAGACATCTTCTAGACAACAAGACGAAAATGATTGAAATCAAAAACTAGTTAACACAGTATATTGAAATATTATGATTTAACAATTTTTTTTTTATATCGTAGTCATACACTATGACATTTAACTAGTCTTTGATTTCAAGAATATTCATCTTGTCGTCTGAAAGGAATCTTGATGCATTTATCGTTACGGAAACCAGGGGAAATTCGTGCCTTCGCGCGTCGCACTGTGCCGATGCCATAAAAAATCGGCACAAATTAGTTTTATATTATTTTGTATTTTTTTTTTCTATCAATAAACAACTTTTCGACCAGGAATCGTGGTCCGATCAACTTCAGGGGTGGTTTTTGGTATAAAATGTTCTCTAGTCGATGTATTGAAAAGGTTATTGTTTTATTTTTCTTATGTTTTTCTTAATAATTGGGGAAACTCGTCGAAAAAACGAAAAAGTTAACCCAATTGTTTCCGTTATTTTGGATTTTGTTTTTTTGTTATAATTCTGTTCAAAACAATCATAAAAATCTGAAATGTTCATGGAAACGGCGTTATGGTTTTGACCCAACCAAAATAGCTGAATTTAACACGAGGTTTATCATAAGTTTTCTTAATAGTTAAACAAAAATTGAGCATACTCGTAATATAGTTTTTTATTGTTTTATAATCGTTTAGAGTTCAATTTTTGATGGAGATCATACAAATCACGGCGTTTAAAAACATGTTTAACCGAACTTCGCTCAGAATCGGATTTTTTTTTGTTAGCAATTATTATAAATAGAAATTAAATAACTCTATACTCAGAGTCTTCCAAATTTCACGGTACATTCAAATTTTCTACAAAATACTTTTTTTTACAAAAAATGTCTTATTTTTCAGTTTTTCACTATTTTAACGCAGCGTGTGCGCCTTAGCGCAAATGATGATCCACCACTCTCCCACTATCCAAACTTGAAAGCATCATAATTATTATACAGAACTATATATAATGCAATCCGGTTTCTTGAAAAATCGTTTTCGTTTTAAAATAAATAAACACGCAAACACGCAGTCCTTTGAGTTTTGACTACCGACATCGCGTGAATTCTAAGCTCTGGCAAACTCCCCTCGGCCAAACATATCAAAAGAACGTTCGTGCCGTTTTCGTTTTTAACGGTTCTCGCGTCGTCAGCTTTTTCCATCTCGATCTGTGGCGTTGTCATGGAAACCCGACAAATATAATAATATCGCATCGAAACGTCAGGAGAACAAATGCGAACTGCAACGAATGGCCGTTGTCAATACTTCCGTTTGTAATTCAATTATAAACGATTATAATCTGTCCTCAAAGTTGACGACGGAAAAAAAATATCAGACTTTTCTGCCTACACATATCGACAATATTTCACGGAGAATATATTTTTTATACCACGTACTATACGGAAATAGATCGGTCAAATGTGTTATTGCATAAACTTGAATCGACTTTGGCTACATATACATTTTTCGATTATGAATTCGAATATAAACAATTTTCGGTTTAGAATTGGCCCGGCGTAATACGTTTTACAGTAAACCAGGGGTTATGGATTTTTTTTTTTTAATTTAAGTTCCAATACACATTCGTAGATTCGCTCACGTTTGTTTTTTTCTCATTTATTATCAAGAGTGCTGGCTATATATATATATATATATATAGGAATCGGCAGGTGGTCCAACATTAAAGTCAATATTTATTTATTTATTTTTTTTTTTTATTGTCTAACTGTAAAATAGGTAAATGCACTTTTTCTCCGTCTTTAACCTTTATATTAGCATATTGATCGTAAAACGTTTTTATACCGCGCACAATTCATCGGTATTATAAATATATTTTTTTCTTGTTCAAATAAAAACCTCCCTCCCTTCCACGAGTTTTATATTTTTTGGTTCATACGGTTTTCATAATAAAACAAGAAGATACCATACTTTTGGTAGAAATAAAATAAGCTTTGAGAATTTCAATGTTATTAAAATTAAAAAGATATCCTAGGATAATGGAGACAGGTGCAGCCATTGTTATAGGTAATTTAATATATATCTGTAAGCAACAATAAACCATTGCTAACGAAAAAACGATTCTGATCACAGTTCAGTTGATAGTGATGCTTTGTTAACAATATATATTATGTTATATTATGGTAAAATAATTAAATGGGCATTATATATTTACTTTAATAATATTTGTTTAATATTGTACCGATATTTCCTGATTTTCCCATGTTTTTTCCCGGTTTTTCACATTTTTTGAGAATACTCCGGGGAAAATCGAAAAATGACCGCTTTAAATTACCTCCCTAATCAGATTTCCTTTTAGAAAAAATGCTATCATAGTATATCGGATAAAAATTTCTGATCGAAAAATTGTCTACAAAACAAAAATCTTAATATTTTACTAATATATTTTGTATTTTCTCCGTTTTTCACGATTTTCCCATTTATTGGGCAATCTCCTGGGAAAATCGAAAAATTACCTTCCCAGTCAGATTTCCTTTCAGAAAAAGTGCTATCATTTTAAATCGGAACGAAATTGCTGGTAGAAAAGTTCTACACAGAAAATAAAGTCCATAATATTGTTTTACTAATACCTACATTTCGTACATTTTCCTTGTTTTCGACATTTTATCTCGGTTTTTCCCATTTATTATGAAAACCGCTTGAAAATCAAAAATGACCTCCCTAAATTACCATGGAAATAAAATTTCTTTTCAAAAAATAAGCTGCACTTAATACATCGGAGCAAGATTTCTGATAAAAAAGTTTGCACAACAAATTGAGGAGTATTTTGCGATTAAAATAGTCCGAACAAGCTAAGAAAAAACTGAGAAAAAAACATCCGGACCTAATAATATAGGCCTTTACAGTATGAAAACGATAATTGAAAACACTTAATATTCTTGCACAGAGTTATTTAATTTGAATTGTTTTTTTTTTTAGTTAGTTTTTATACTTATATTGTAGTAGCAAACACATGTGTATATTACTGCATGTGTATCTATATGTAAGCGTACGTCGTTATTATTTGCATAAAATAACGACCTTATTTATTTTATAAAATTACATTTTCGTAATAGTTTAATGTAACAGAGCAATATAGTAGAGACATAGTATGGAAAATAACAATATAATTTCGTTATCAATGTTAAACTCATTTTTCCGTTTTGAATGTTTTAATCGTGGCCGGTAGGTACACACATACGAGAATTATATAAGGTCCAACATTTTTTGTCTGAAAAAATAAATAAATGGGTGTCAGAATTTTAGGATTTAAATTGCACTCATTAAAACTGTCGTTTGAGTATTCCAAATGACCAAAAATGTATGTGCTCGCAAAAACCTTTATAATTACCTACCTTTAAAACATTGACCAGCAACACTAAATGTATTTACTTTTTATATGTATAACAATTGATTGTATTATGTATTTTTTATTACATGATTTGTAAATAGGTTAAATTAAACGACAGCAAAATGTTGTGGTTTAAACATTTAGACAGATTGTGAAACCAAAAATTACTATTTCAAATAGGTATGTTTAAAAATATATTTTTTATATATAATTAGTAATTAGAATGTAAGTAAACAAAAAGTTAACCAAAAATAGTTAATGGCCAATGTTACAGAATTTGTATCTAATGATCAATAAAAAAAATATATACATATAAATATATTTTATTTGATTACCTAAATAGAATATTACCAGTTGGAAAACAGTTATTTTTTAAATTCATCAAATGAACGTTCATCATGTTTTAATTTTTTATGTAACTAAGAATTATGTATTTATTTCATTTTGAATTGATGTTTTATTCCGAAATAATTATATCTATTTATAATTTGCTATTCAATTTAATATTTATTACTTTATTTGGTACCAAAATATTAATAAAATATTTTTAAAAAAACATATAAATAAAACTGATCCAAGTTCCAATTTTTAAATTCTATCACGTACAATGATGATTAATAGAAACAATTAGAAACTATTATTAATACTTATTAACTGATCACGAAATTATTACCTCATGGGGATTTGAGCCAATCGGATAACAGAATTGGCTTAGAGTTTTCTAAAAATGAACATTGTATTTATATAAAGAATGACGGATTATACTCGGGCCCCGCAGAGCACGTAAAGGACCGGAATACGTTTTTCGATTATTTTTGATAAAATTCGCACTGCAGACCGAAAAATCGAATAATGTTTATTGGCACGGTGGGTAACTTTGTATAAATCGTATGTCACCACATGGATTTCAATAAACGCATCCCAAAAACCACTGACGACACGCGTCTCTGGTTTTAATAATATGCGTCTGATATTAAGTTCAAAATCATGCAACGGAATTCGATGTTACTGTTGGCGTGTTATTACGAATATCGCAACGTACAAAACAATCATTTATCATTATTATCGAGTATAAGTGAGGGATCTGATACAATCCGATTATAAATAAACATCGTGATGTGTATCAGAGCACATCTGGCATTTAGCAATAATCGATAAATTGGTGTGATTGAAAATATGCTAACCTTCGTAAAGATCTACTTCGAAAAACCTTTTTGAACGTCGTTTTGTTCTTTGTCCTTTAATGAGTTATACATTTAACAACATAATAATATAATAACGGTTATCATTACCGATAAGAAAAAAAAACTAGAAATTATTATTGGTTTTGCCGAATTTAAAATCAAATTATCGTTGAATTACCAACTAAGTAGTATACTTTTCCAAGAATTTAGAGAGGGTTGACCGTGTGATCCCACCAATTCCAGCCTTGGTAAATATTACATTCGTAACGACTTTCATAAATTTTAATATGTATAATTGTGAAAATTTACAAAACAACAAATCGATATGTAACTGATGAATGTTATTGTATTAATAAATGTATTATAAATAGTATGAAATATATACTGTTTGTTACGATATTGTGTTATAATATTATCCCATTTGATTTTAATTCTTCTTTTTTAATAACTTAACTGTTTTTGTAAAACTTAAGCTGCCACATGCAATCCTTTCCGTTTCATCCAGCCAAATGCTAGTTGTTCAACTGAAGTATTTATGTCTACCGTCCACACATAACCTTCTCTACTGCATCCTTTCATCTCGTTTGCGGTATACCTAGTGATCTTGTACTCTTTTCTTATGAATGGTTTCGGTAAGAGCTATTTTTAGTAAATCATTTTCCGCTCTCAATTTGTGTCCTAACCGTTCTAATTGCTTTGTTCTTAGAAACGAAAATATATCCATACAGCTTGTACAAGTCTTCATTTTTTCTTCTTTCAAACGTTTTTTACTTTGAGTTTTATACTGTCCCAAAAATGTTCCTCAATGTCTTTCTTTCAAATATTACTGGCCTATTATTTTCATCTTTAATCATAGACCACAGTCCACATCTAAAAGGTGACTACGGGTTTCAGAAAACTTGTGTAAAGGAAAATGTTTTACTTATTTTTAAATAATATTTTAATAATATTTTAGACTTGAGTAACTTATTGATACTATTATAGCAGTGAAGTCCAATAGCAACTATTTTGCTAACTTCTCGATGCATATCATTTTTACAATTTATGTTCACTCCTAGATAATTAAAGATTTTTATTTTTCCAAACGTAAAATTCACTACTTGTAAGTCAAGCTGGCCTTCATCTCTCCTGGAGAGAACCGTACGTTTAGTTTTTCCTCATTAACACATAGGTCCATTGTTTTGCAGACTGCTAAGAATTTAGACATTGCTTGGACTATATTTTATCTTGTATTACCTAAAATGGCTATATCATCTCCTTAAACTAATATTAATTCATTCCCAACTATCTTAACCCATTATACAAGCATTATTTTTCTTACAGTTTTCTCTAAGTCGTAATTAAACAGGGTCGGAGAAAAGGTATTTTCCTGACGTAAACCTGAGTTGACTTCGAAATCCGATACCTCTCCCAGAAATTTCACTTAAAATATTATTTTGGTATTACATAGTTAAATTATATCTATATATTTATTCGATATCCCAAAATTAATTATCGCGTTTCATAGCTCCTCCCTATTTATACTATCGTATGACTATTTGTATTCGAAGAATACCATATAAAGATTTTAATTAAATTGCGAATTTCAATTTTTTAAGTAATATATCAAATCTATAATACAGTCATACAGCTATATATATAAAAAAAAAAATTGTTTCTTAAAAGTATTAGAAAAATATATAAAAATTAAACTACACTGCGACAGGTAATTCTAACTAAACTCTTGACTTAAACTACGTTTTGAATGCTCGTTTTTAATAATATATACTTCCATATTTGCCGAGATACTCGATGAATATTAAACTTTATAAAACGATCATTAAATATATATATATATATATAAATAGAAAAACAGGATTTTTATATAACTACGTACAAAGAGGATCACGTTGCTTTTATAAGATGACAGCCATCTGATACTTCAGTTACTTTACGAACTCCAAAACACTTTGATTTTCATCTTATTTTTTTTTTTTTCATAAAGTTTTTTTTTTTATAAAAATTTAGACCAAAAAATAGTAATTATAGAGATCAATCGAAAATTATTTCAAGCTTATAATAAAGCATTATAGTTGGACTTGAAGTGAACAGTGAACAACACCAAACTACCACGAATTTATATATTAAAAAAAAGGTGCAACAATTAGAATTTCATCCAAAATCAGCGATATTCAATCAAAAAAATAATATACACTTTGAAACTCAATTATGTTAACACAGTTTAGTAAAATTGTATTGTTGATTTTAGGCCCAAGATTCATTATTTTTAGATGGTGGATGCGCATACAATCGTATATTACACGTACAATGTATTTTTGATAATTTATTAAACGATTTAAACATGGTCCGGTCTAATGTAGCGAGGTTTAAGTTTACACTTAGAACACTATCGTCCTTGCCGGTTTAGGTTTAGGGCAGGTTAGCGGATATTCACTGTATACGAAGAGGATCGCGCAGCTTCACTCAAGTTGACGTTCGAAGCCGTGACAAGCGTATAGAAAGCCGTCCCCCGCGCACGTACTACAGACACGATAATGCTGCCGTGACCCAATTAATGCACTAAATAAAATACGCCTAAACCTAATTTATTTTTAAAATTTGGGATCTAACTCGAGGTTGTCCACAAAAGATGGGTTCTCATCTTACGCACGTGGATACTCATAAATTCAAATATACAATCGCACGCGTGAAAAGCGTACACATCCATCAGCCTATAATATTGCAGATCGAAGATCCGCCGTTCAAGTTTACCAATTTTTACTCTCAGATTTTTTTTTTTAATTGTAGATAGCCCACTACCCAAAACGTTTGAAGACCCCTAAAATCAAATTGAATTTTGGAACACAATGTAAGATATAGCTATAAAATTTCACAGAAGAAATTGAAATAAGACGAATGAGCAATACTAATTTAACAAATGTATAGACAATTTCATAATTATATTAGCCACAGATTACTAAGAAAATAATAAGAAACAAGAAGAGAGTTAATCTCTTTTTTATCTTTTCATTTCGTCTTTCGACATAAACAAATATAAAAGAGATAGGTATAAGAGATAATTATAACAAAATAATAACAAACGCCAAATTCTCATTAATTAATAGATTATGAGATTCATTTAGAAAGAGTTCGAAACAAATTAGTCTTGATTATTGTAGTAATAAAATTTAATATATACATGCCATCATTTTAAATATAATAATCTGATTACAGTTAGGTAGGTAGGTTATATTATATAGGTATCTATATAAGTTTTGAATATTATTAAGTACGATGTTTTTGCATGCACTGGGTATATAATAAATGGCGACACCAAATAATATTGGGCGTGGATATTAATAAACTTTTGGTACTTTCTCTAAGTATTTATATACACTCATGTTTATATTTATATCATTTTTATAATCTTTAATTTACTTTTTAGTTTCTAATATGTACCAATAAATCATTTTAATAATTTTGATAAGTACTATAGTCTATTCTATGCTATATGTACTTAAAAATTATGGTTTAGTTATTACATGTACCGATTTGAATTAATTAAATAATCTATTTTCAGCGCCTTATGGCATACGAAACTTAAATGACGCCGTGTTCTCCACCCCACTCGGAACAAAACAATGTCAAGTTTCGGGAGTAATTTATAACCACAGTCAAAAGGTAGGTGTATTATAATATAATACAGTTACACATATAATAAGTAATGTTCACTATATGAGTAGATACAAACCAAATAACAACGGAAAAATCATTTACAAATAAAAATAGGTTTTATTTTTGTCGATTTCTCAGTTTTCTAGGGCCTCGAGCCTGGCTCGTTTTCTGATTCTGAGTACAATAATTTATCGTTGCTTTCGGTATATCAACTAAGTTATAGGTTATAGGCTTATATATCCTAATCTTCCCGACTTTTCACCTACACCTGCAATCACCTACCCATAGAGCAAAGTAGTTTTTTTTTTTTTTTATCTTTTCATTTCGAATATCATCATAATTAGTCTTTCGACAAAAACAAATACAAAAGAGATAGGTAAGAGGGATAATAACAAACGCTGAATTCTCTTAAATTTGAATTTATTTGTATTAACCATATTATTATTAAAATAGAAGTGGTTAAACTTTTATGATGCACTCCCCGATTATACTAATAAATTATATTTTACAGATACTATTCACCGACCACTGTAAGGCGTGTATTTGTATCGACGGTCAAATATTTTGCTATTGGCAATGCGATGAAGCTACTCCAGACACAATGGACCCAGACGTTGAGGATGCAGAACCACAATCTACGTCCATGGCGAACAGTAATGACTAACTATAAACACTATAATAATACACGGAGGTCGAGAAAAATTAACAGAATACAAAAATAATTAATAACCTACCTAATACATCAAAATATTAATTTTTATGAATTATTTTATACGCATTATACGCTCTGTATGACTGCATAAAATATTATCAGGATTTACGAGTTACAGCAGAGTATCTAACTTTTTACATGTTTTATAGTCATTTGACTAACAAGAAATTATGTTGAAATTTTAATTTTTTTTTCTTCTCCTTCCTTTAGTCTGTATATTATGGATGTTAAACAATAAAATACTATTTTAGATACACTGGTATACAGATTGTTGTAGAATAAAGGGCCCTCATCGTCTTTTTCGATTTATTTATTCCGCACGCTACTTCCTGGATGTTTGTTTCTCAACGAACGCTCTTTATGAATTAATTTGTATATTTAATTAAGTTTATCAAATTTGCATTTATTTCACGATTGTGTAAATATTTTTAATAAACAATTCCGAATAAATTTCTATATTATATATACACGAAACCCAAGCAAATTAATGTCAATCTAAACAACGCGATCTAAACTGAATATTGCTCAATAAATAATAACATACATTTATTAAGATTAAAAAAAAACAACAATTGTTTTTTAATTATTAATGATAATAATTAAACAATCTCCTGTTTAAGTACTAGATAAAAATTTCAATTTTATAAACCAACAGCTACATATTCTGAATTCCGTCCCAAATATATAAATATATAAATTTAATTTAAAGGTACAACAATTCCGTTCCGTTTATATTTTGCATTATTTATAAAATATATATTTTGTAAATTTAATCTTTAACTAATCCGTTAAACCTAAAACCTAGGTTTACATAAAATATAGATCTATTGATGACAATATCAATAACAATATAAGTATTATTTAGAAATTAAGATAATTGATTTCATAAACTCTTCAGCCGTTATTGATGAGTATACGTGTTGGTGAAATAATAATTTATATATAAGAAATGTATAGTACACACAATGAAAAGGTTAACTTTAAATTGTTAAAAATGAATATAAATTTTGTTTTCATATAGATTTAAAAAACAATACTAACACTGAAAGTGAATTCAACAATGCAAAGCATATATAAAACGCTGTCCAAGGAAAATGGGAACGGGTGCAGCCACTGTTGTAGGTGAAAAGTTAGGAAGGTAGGATATAAACGGTAATTTAATATATATCTGTATGCAACGATTAATCATTGCTAACGAAAAAACGATTCTGAGAAGAGTTCGGTTGATAGTGTTGTTTTGTCAACAATAAATATGCCATATTATGGTAAATAATTGCATATACATTAAACATTTTTTTTAATAATATTTTTAGATTCTGAGCAGAGCCAAGAATGTATTGGTTTTACAATGATGTTTTTTTTTTCTGTGGACAACTTTTTTACCAGCAATTTTGATTCGATTTACAATGATAGCACTTTTTCAAAACAGAAATCTGACTGGGGAGATTTAGGGAGTTCATTGTTTGGTTTTCCCTGAAGTTTTCCCAGTAAATAGTAAAAAAACGGGAAAAAGGTATGAAAAACAGGAAAATAGGTACAATATTAAAAAAATATTAAATAAAATGTTTAGTGCATATATTATGCACTAAACATTTTATGGTAATTATATACCATACTATGACATATATTATTGACAAAACAACACTACCAACCAAACTCCGCTCAGAATCGTTTATTCGTTAGTAATGGTTAATCGTTGCTTACAGATTAAATTACCTATAGCGATGGCTGCACCTGTCCCTATTATCTTAGGACGGCTTTTTTAATATTATACATATTTCCCGTTCACCTAGTTTTTTCATGATTTTTCCAGTTTTCCCATTATTAGGAAAACTGGGAAAATCAAAAAATAACCTCTCTAAAGTACCACCCCAGTCAGATTTCCTTTCAGAAAAAGTTCTATTATTGTAAACGGGAGAAAAATTGCTTGTAGAAAAGTTGTCCACAGAAAAAAAAAAGTCCGTAATATTTTACTATAATATACATTTCATGCATTTTCCCGTTTTTCCTCAGTTTTTATCTGGTTTTCCATCTTATTGAGATAACTCCTGGGAAAATCAAAAAATTATCTCTCTAAAGTACCTCCCCAGTCCGATTTCCCTTCGGAAAAACTACGATCACTATAAATTGAATCAAAATTTCTGATAAAAGTTGTACATGGAAAAAAATAAATAAATAAACACAAAACCAATACATTCCTCGCTCCACTTAGAACCTAAAATTAGTAAATTTTTAAATATTTATATTAAATATATTACAATTTTGTAAGTTGACCGCCAAGAGGGTTTTCACTATGTCATGTATATTATTCCTTTTTAACACAAATAATGGTTTTTTATAAGTAGTATATAAAAGATCACATGGTGATCCGTATTTTAATAATATAATAAAATAAGTACATACTTCAAATAATGGTAATAAAGTAAAATAATTTTTTAAATCAAGAAAAAAATAAAGAAATTGTCTTCAAAATTTTAAACCACAACCATGATAGAACTAAAGAAAATAATTTAAATCGCCAAAAACTTAATAAAAATTAAAAAGAAAAGCTGTTGATGATATTTATAAAAAAAACAGCGAAACTTAATCATATAGAATTTTCTAATAATGGTGATAATTAATATAATAATATTATAATAAACCTTCTTTTTATTAGGGACAGAATTGGTATACATACTTTTTTTTTAACAGGGACGGAATTGATATAAAAATGGTTATTGGAACGAAACCCGGATGCGGCCAAACCAACAATTGATAAGAACTGTATAATATGTTTTTAATTATTTTTCAGCCATCTCGACTACTTTCGAAACAGAAGAGAGTTCAAAAGTAACAAACATTTTACCGCATTCGAGCCCTTCGGACGTTTTGCAGACGAGCACGATGATGCCAAACGAAACAACAGAACCGTTTTGTCTCGTAATGGGTAAGAGGCCCGCGTTTGTTTGATCGTCAAGATGAACATGTTGATTGTAATAGAATATTAAATATTTCAGGGGTTAGATATAAACCTGGGAGCGTTTTGCCGAGAGATACGGGGTCCTGTTTGGAGTGTCAGTGTGGCCGAAACTCGCAGATTACGTGCAGCCCAAAGGACTGCATAACGTTAAATTCGTTGGGAGATGAAGATACTTCCGAACCAGAATTCTACGGTAACAATAACGGCGAACAGAACAATGAAAATTTCAATTTAGACATGTTTGCAGTCAACGTCGTTTGAAAAACAAAAACAAAACAAAATTAATTTCAAAACCAACTACATTATTATTAATAAAGTTCGTTTTACTTTAATAATTACTTGTAATATCCGTTAAAAAAACCCTTCCCTTCAGCCTGTTATGTATATTTTGTTTTATTTTAATATAAAAGTAGTTGGATACATTACATAGGTTGGATATTGGCTACATACTTTTTTTTTTTTTTTTTAACAATAAGTTGCAAAAAATAGCAAATAATTGTTTTGTAATTATCACAAAATACAATTAAAAACATTCGTCCTTTGAAAAAAAAAGTATAAACTCATCAGAATTTAGAAGTTATTGAACGAAATGTCGGAATTTCGTTACCATAATATTTTAACAAAAAAAAAAAAGATAAAAGTAACTTTTACAATTTGAAAATATAATCACTATACATGGTATATTGTATACCTATGAGTGTTTGTTTGATTAAAATGTTCACAAGTATACATCTACATCATTGTTTGATAAATGTAATATACCTACCCACAAAAACGTTACATGCGCTATGTAGATAATACACAAACCCTAAATCATGTCCCACGAGGATTTTATCGTACCTATTGGATTGAATGATGTTTATATTGCTGTCAGTGTATACCTATGTTCTAATCATTTTAAAAGAGAGTAAATTGTCGTGGAAAAGGCATAATTTGCAAAACATTTATTTGATTTAGTACCTATATATATTTATGGAGAAGAAATAATTATGTGTTCATCACTAAGCACGTGTCCCACCGTATTTGACAGATTTTTCTAGGATTTAATATTTAAAAAAAAAAAAATGTTTTATCTGCTTTTCTTTCAGTGGACATCTATTTAAAAAAAATTTAAATTATATTTTCATCTAATCATTGAAAAACAAATTACTTTTTATTTATTCACTTTACAACATATTATTAAAATAGCTATTTTGTAAAAGATATTGTTATTCAAATTTGAATGCATCATACAATCCATATCCTGCAATCAATAGTTTTTTAGTTACAGTCGCTTTAATTTATAACATTTTCAATTTAAAATAACACAATAAATAAAGTTATCACATTACACGGTAAATTCGTTATTCGAACCTTTTTTCTAGAAATTAAAATTACTGTTATTTAAAAAACTATTGATTAGATATGAATGTATAATACATTAAAATATTCAAAATAATTTCGATGATGTTGTAAAGTAAATAAATAATATTTAGAAATTAGTAGATGAAAATAAAAATTTAATTTTTATCTACATACAATGTATCCCTCTCAAATAAAAACGGACTGAAAAACAAATTTAATATTAACAGTTCTTGAAAAATCCGTCGAACACGATTTATATATACATATATTTCTCACGTTCCTATAGATTCTAAATATATCAGATATACCTACCTAATAATTTTCTACAGTGCATACCATGATTGAAGTATACCAGGTAATTACATTTACACGCCCACTCTAATGTTTTCTTGTAGGTACTTACAAATTACAAATAATAGCATAAGAGGCTCTTCTTTGTCAGTTATGATTGGTTCAAATGTTGCTGTTGAAAATTTAAAAATTGTAAAATAAACTAAAATGTATGATAAGTTTGTAGTTAAATAAACGGTTGATTTTAAATTGAATAAGCATAATAATTAATGATAACATAATGGCTGGGTAGCCATGTAATAATACAGAATCTGATGTACCTACCTATCACCCTGTCATTTTATTTTTGATTTCATAACGTCAACACGTAGGTATATGCAATAACCTGGTATATTTCAATCATGTTACATACTTACTCTGTTCAGTGAATACATAATATGCTGCACTCGATTCGTGCCTAATACATAAAAATGTAGTCAATACAAATATTATTATAGGGGTAATTAATTTCGTTTTATTTACATGTCTATATAATATACCTGCCTCGTATACGAATACGTCTGCGGAAAAGTACCTAATAATCAATACGAAATAACTTATTCCTCTTGACATAATATTATTTCGATTATTAACACGATCAATTATTAATTAATTCCAAAACCGTTATATGAGAAATATAAAACAATATAATATAACAATTGATTAGGTATCTACAGACGAGTGTAGTCAATTTGCACCAAAATTTACCCTAAATGTATACAACATTTGTAATTTTCACCAACACTTTTTAACTGCGCTTATAATTTACACCAAAATAAAGATATGTGATTGGCACCAAAATTTAAATCGATAATATTCTTTCGATAGTATCTACGATTAGTATGACATACATATAGTACATATAGTATTCGATCTACGCAGTTTCAATATTAGATATTCGATATCCCAGAAATAATACATATATATATATTATCGTTTTAAGTGTGAAAATAGAATAATATAAAAATGTATGATAGTTTAAAAATAACAATTAAATAATGTAATATTAATATTTTATAAAACGAGTGTATATAAATAAATTCATTCTTTAAAAAAAAAATATTCTAAAGATAAACTTATCTTAAAGAAAACAATAATTTTTGGATTTTTAAAATTAGTAGCATAGGCAGCTAAAATTTTCTATTATTTCTGTGGATCAATCGAATAGATATTTGAAAATTGAATACATATATCATAAATACTCATTTTTTTGCAAATTACAGAAGTATTTTCAACTACCTACGGTGACGCAAATTGCATACCCTTATTTTGGTACAAATTACAAACTGCCTTACAGACAGGTAGGTTGTATGCATAAAGAGAAGTTTTAGGGGTTTAATTTTCCCTCGCTCCGAAATTTAAAAAACTCATTATATATTTGTTCTACAGTTCAAAATGTTTAACTTGTGTTTACTTATGAATAATATTAGAGCCCCCATCAATCCCAAAATTAAATTGTTATTCAATGTACATGCCTGATAAAATGGATATTCGATTTTTTTATTTTGTTAACATCATATGCGTATACAATAGAAACTTTTACTGGTTTACCTACATACAATTTAATAAAACATATTGATTATGATTTTTTGTTTTTTTTAAGTTAACAATTTCCTTTGTAATAATAAATAAATATTACTCCAATAAATGTACCAATATAAACAAACTACATACTTAAAAGAAAATTCTACATATTTTTTTTTTTTTTTATGAACACATTTGTTGTACACCCAGAACTCTTATAAAATATCATTTTATTACTATAAATTATACCTTATTATATTAATTTGTCATATTGAATTATATAATATTTAAGTATCGTAATTGTAGTGTCGCTCTAAAATATCATATTATTATGTACATTCATTTTACAATACATATCTGTTTAGATATACAGTTTTTCTATAAAAAAAAAAATAATAATAATAAGATGTATTAAGAAAACCTAAATATTAAGAAAATAATAAATTATAAACCTATACTCTAAATATCATTCATTACCTTAGTTATTACATATTATATTAGTATGTCCAATATTTATTTTGTGTTAAATGTTTTGAATAAATATTAAACTAATATTATACCGCGTTTAATATTTCATTAGCAGGTGGTACTGTGGTAATATATGAAAAAACAAAATGTGGTTGCTCCTTTCCATCAATATTCATCATTATTGTGTTTAATTTTTTTTTAACTCTTACGTAGTTAAGTTTTTATGGTTTTGTTAAAATTATTTCATTTATTTTAGATTCTGAACGTAACGAGGAATGTGTGCTTTTTTTGTTTGTGTCTACATAACTTTTATGATTTTATCTAGTTTGTACATTGAGGTATTGTTTTGATTTTCCTAATGATTAATAATAGATATAAACGAAAATATGAAAGCAATAATAGTTTCTACTGTTATTATATTTTTTTTTTTTTTTCAGTAAACAATAATCGGTAATACTTTAAAAATTCACCGAATACTTATATCAGATGGCATTTTTTTCTTTCTAGATATTTATTTAAAGTTTTTGTGCATATAGTACAGCATTATGATAAAATATTCTAACTTTTTTTAGTATATAATACAGTTTAATCATAATTTTATATTATTTATTATTTATTTTTATTTTATTTTACCAACGCCAAGTGGCAGTTTTAAGTACAGTTTTAATGAAAACAAACCTGTGTTTTATAAATTTATGATACAGATATAATGCTTACAATATAATACTTAGTACTTAAGCCAAATGTACTTATTTCAATTGGATAGGAAACAAAAACAAAAAAAATGCGATCAAGGAGAGAACTTGTTTAGGCGATACCTTGCATTGGGTGATTTTATTCATAACAGGTACGATGTTGGAAAAGTTGAAATGAGTGATTTCTAGGGTTGTGGTTAGGAACACGGAGGATAGGAGATCAAACGAATCAAGGACGCCATTAAGAAATAGGTATATAAAAGAGTTATTCGGCTTCAATACAACGGGAAGCTAAATATTGAAGTGAAAGAGTGGAGAAGATAGAGAAATAGTCGTGTGGGGGATGATCAATTTTAATAAGGAAGCGTAAGATAGAAATCTGTTTTGGACACGATATATTCGCAGCTCATCACAGGCAAGTTAGTAATGTCAGACTACCACTTCATACACCAGAAACTAGAATATAATAGACCAGGAAAATATATATAGGATACAGAGACAGTGGCACTCAATAGGAGGTTAAAGTGGTTCAAATGAACCAAGTAAATTTAGGGGGAGTACCTCATATGTGGGTCGTAAATACTGTTATTATCGATGCTTGTTTAATTAACAATTATAATAAGTCTCCATTTTCTTATTATATTATATAAAAGTACCTACAACGTTGGGCAAAATTTGATCTAGATAATTTTAAAACAAATTATTCGAATGAAAATACATTCAAAAATTTCAAAGCTGATTAAAATTTATTTGAATAATTGTCTAACATAAAACTCAAATAATTTTCGTTTGTTTTATTTGTTTAAACACTGGTTTGTAATTTAAAAATATTCAATTTTTTTTCGTTACCAATGGACCGGTATTAGTTAAGATAAGCATCACTCTTGCGATTCGATCACATTATATAGATTTAGACTATAGACTATTACGGAAAGTGCAGTATTTTTTTTATAAAGCTCAATATTATGTTTGAAAATTATTAGAATGCATTTTTATTCCAATTATCAGTTTTGAAATTATTCAAATGCATTTTCATTATAATCCATAGAAATTATTAAGAATATGACCATTAAAAACCTATATTAAAATGGACAAGAATATATTGGTTTTATTATGATGTGTATTTTTGTATTATTTTATTTCCATTTTTTTTTTTTTTGTCTGTGAACAATTTTTCTACCAGAAATATTGCTCCGATGTATAGAGTGTAACACTTAGTCTGAAAGGTAATTTTTTCTAATTAGTGCATTAAAAACATCAATTTTTGATTTTCTCAAGGGTTTTCAAAATAATTGGGAAAAACTCGAAAGAAAATTGTAGGTAAAACAGCAAATATTTATAGTGTCACGGCGTTACCGATTTAATAATTTTAAATTCGTATATACTATATTTTCTACCCGAAATATTGCTCCAATAGAAAAAAGACCAGTGACCTTTCTTGTTGAATTCTTAATTTTGTTAGGTAGATAGAAAGTCGTCTTGATTTTCCGTGTAGTTTTTAAATAATTGAGCAAAATAAAAAAATAAATCGTAGAAAGAACGTAAAAATGTTCGATAATAATGGTTTTATATTTCAATTTTAGATTCTGAGTGGAGCGAAGAAGCTTATGGTTTTACTATGATGTTTACTTTTTTTTTTTGGTTCCGTAGACAACCTTTTTACCAGAGAGGGGTACTAATTCCGATTTTATCAAGAGTTTTCTCATCAAATGCGAAAAACCGAAAGAAAAAAACGATGGAAAAACGGGATAACATCAGAAATGTAGGTATTAGTTAAAATATATTACGGCCTTTTTTTTTTTTCCTGTGGACAACTTTTCTACCAGAAATTTTGCTCCAACTTATAATGATAGCTATATTTCTAAAAGGAAATTTCACTAAAATGGTACTTTAGAAAGGTTATTTTTCGATTTTCTCAAGAATTTTCCCAGCAAATGAGAAAAACCGGGAAAAAACACGGGAAAATCGGTACAACATTAAACAAACATTATTAAAGAATACATATAAAGCCTACTTAATTATTTTACTATTATATGGCATATTGATTGTTGACAAAGTATCACTATCAATTTAACTCCACTCAGAATCATTTTTTCATAAGCAATGGCTTATCGTTGCTCCCAGGTATACATTAAATTACTTATAACAGTAGCTGCACATTATCCTATGACATCTTTTGTTTTTTTTTGTTGCGATTCAATTAAAAATTGTATTTGTAGAGACTTGAATCTACACAGAGAACTTATGTAAAAAATGTTCTATTGGTAAGGTACTATTGGTTATTTATCGTAAAAATTTCAAAAAGAAAATAAACATACGGAAATAGAGTTACAAAATACTATTTTAAATAGTGTTGATCACGTATTTAGTCAGCATACTAAATGTGCAGCTTATTTTTGTAAAATGGTCAATGATATGAACAGACAATATACAAACTTCACTGAAAAAATTATAGCTACAGATTCAAGTTTTTACTCAACAATAATGCAATGTATACGTTTTTGGCCAGACAGTCACAGTATGAAAATGTTGATAGTAACGTTGTCGAGTCACTAAATGAAATCATAACAAATTTAATTTGAGGGAAAATAATACATTTTGCAATGTCTGGGTCTTATAAAGTCTTATAAAGGTCGATGTTCTGCAGCGACTGTAATAAAAAATACCAAACGTCTCTTATACACGTTTCATAAAGTTTTGTTGCACCGTAGTCAAAATAAAAAGTGCTCATCATCAATATTAGAATTAAATCGCCTAAAAAAACGCAACAGACAAAATGTACTTAGACAAAAATCGTATCGAAAACAATTAAAATTTGCAAATGATTATGCTGATCCATCATACGGAAGTAATGCACAAAATCCATATATAACTGAAAACGAATTTGAAGAAGAAAAAGAAATTGTTTTAAATAACTTAAAAATAACAGCCGATAATCTCATAAATATTGAAAGAGAAACAGTTGATCAAACGAATTCCACTAAATGATTTGAACTGAGAAGAAATATAATTAAGGCCTTAACTTCGGACGAATTATTGCATTACGCCCAAATACTGGATGTTAAGGAGTTTTAAAAAGTTTACTCTACAAATCTCGGCACTAAGGCATTGGAATATGGTAGGGAACATGAATATCGAGCGAAACGAGATTTAGAATTAAGTTTACATGTTAAAATTAACGACTGTGGATTATTTATCGATTCAAATAATGTTTTCTTAGGAGCTACTTCTGACGGTTTAATTGGGGCAGACGCTTTAATCGAAATAAAATGTCCATATTTAGCAGAAAATATAGATCCAAATGACGTTATTATTCCAAAAAAAAATAACTACTGTTGAAAAACCAACAAAAATAAAGAAACAACGAGTATAGATAAAAATCAAAAATACTATTATCAAATGTAGGGATAGCTACACATTATTAAGCGAAAATATGGAATTATAGCATGTTGGACTAGGAAAAGAATCAAATATAAACAAATTGAGAAAGATGATACTTTATGGCACACAGACATTTTTCCTAAATTAAATGATTTTTTTTTAACTATTATTATCAGAGTTAGTAGATCCGAGACATCCAAAATCAATGCCTATCCGAAATTCAAATTATATACTTGAAGCGAAACGGAGAAAGAACGAACAGAAGAACGGAAAATGAATAAATAAAGTTAAACATTTTAAAAAATTCAAAGTCAAATTATTGTAAATATGAAAATAATTGTTCTTATTTATATTGACTTTATTTCATTATTATTTGCATACTTATTAAAAATATTATGGTCTATTAAAATAAATTTTACAGAAATAAATCGTCTACATTTAAATTAATAATATATACTACCTGTCCCTATCATTTTTTATTTATATTGTATGACTTGTATGTACTATGAAATAACAGTAGGTAATAATAAGTAACAACAAATTTATAATAGTTTTTAGTTTGCTATAACTATTATAAGTTATAAGTATCGTTCATTAGTTTAGATTCAACAACTTACAAGGAAACATACAAACGACGGAAATCATAAATTCACGAAGACATGAAACTTTATAGTCTGGTAAAAAACACATAATTTTAATTTGATGGAAATAGTGTATAAGTACCTATTCTGCAGACCATTCAACAACAGTTAGTTCATAACATAATAATAAAAACCAGAACATAATGATAACATCCAAATTGCAATAAACCCAAAAATAAATTTGGGATAACGATATGACCTATCTGTTAGATTGATAATGTGGAGGGTGGCGGTACACTTTTATAGAACCGCACTTTAATAACCGTTTACGACTAACACAAGGATACCACGACA